AAATCCAAACACAAGCCAGCAACCCCAAGCTCTTGCAAAAAAAAAAAACGATCAATCTGAAAAAGGGGAAAAAAAAACAAAAAGAAATACTCACATCACAAACCTTCAAGATGAACAGGAAAGAAGGAAAGCAAGTTGGAAAACAGCGGAAGATGAGCAGATATATTCTCGTTGGTCTTCGTTGGCAAGAGGGAGCTACGACTACGAACGAAAAGCTCCTTCCCGTCGCTGCCTGGGGAGCTATGAAGCTGCAAGACAGCAGCTTTCCGCACGCCAAAGCTCGTCACCGTTGGTGTCTGAGCAGCGGGAAGCCGCATGAAGCCGTGATGATGCATGGTCGTCTCCAGCTCTGGTCTTCGAATTTCTGATGTCAGCGACGATCTGAACCCACGAGGCTAGAAACGAGCAATATTTCCCAGCTGTATCAAGATGTAGCGATCATCTCAGAAGGCGAAACCTAGAGCTGCTCACCATGGTTAACTTTTTTCTTCCTTCATGATCACAAAGCATTCTTGATGCAATGGAAAGGCTCATAAGCTTCACCTGCTGGCAAGAAGCTTTGACTGCCAGAGAGAGCTTCAGAGTACCATGCATGCAGCAAGTCGCCGCCAAAATGTGGAGTCGTCGTCGCTGCCTGAGAGCGTGCGTTGGCATCTGGAGGCATCGGAAAACTGCATGGAGGAGAATGACAGTATCAACAACACTTGATATAGCAATCTCAGCCAGAGAGAACAAGTATCATATCAGGGGTCTGTAGGACTTGCCTGTTTTTTATCTTCCGCATTTGATTGCTTATTGTAAGTGACGGACAGCAGGCTTGAACTCCTCGCAAGAAGCTATGACTGCAGATGAGAGCTACAAGCTGCCACGCAACCATAGGGAGACTTGAAACTTGAGCTCGTTCCCAATGTTACACGAGAGGCTGGAGCTCGTTGCCGTTGGCATCCATTGGCGTCCGGCAGCGGGAAGCTGCATGAACCCGTTCGCAGACTGCCACGATATCGTAAGCGATCACAGATCTGAAATCCCCCGAAAAAAGTTGGTCACAATTAAAATTGCCGATATTCGATATAGCAATACTCCAGCAGGAGAGAGCATCTTGCATCAAGGGTCCCAATACTTGCCTGGATAGCCATCTTCCTCACTGGTGTTCTCGGGGCGCTTGTTGACAACAGGCTTGAAGCTTCAGCTCGTGCGGTCGTCTGCATATCTGAGAGCTTTGACACGGGACAAGGTGGGCTGCAAACACGGGTTCCTGCTCGTTGGAAAACATGCATATGACGAGTCTGGAACTAGGAATTTCTTTTCTCTTCTATCTCGATCTTCCACCACCGATATCCTGGCCAAGCTATCATGCACAAGTTAGTCACAATACTCACAACTTGATGTGCACATTTCATGTTTCAAGACTCACCCTGTAACCACTAATCTTCTCCCACTCGACCTTTTGACGAGTGACGGGCAACTGTCTTCGCAGACCCTTGAAGGCACCCTCGTTGAGTTTTGTGAAAGCTTGGTTGACTTCTGTCTGGTACTGCTTCTCCAGCTTTGCGATCTCGCGGACGGCATCGGTGGCCGAGGAAACAGAGACGGGCTTGGAGGTTTGGAGACGCACGTTGCCGTCTTCGTAGTAGTGGACGTCGATGCTGATGGCGCCGGAGAGGGAGTTGTTGGAGGGAGAGAAGAGGTAGTGTGCGCGCCAGCGTCCGTNTCCTGGTGTGTCCGTGTTAGTCTTGTGCTTGCGAGAGAGTGTGATGACGGCGTACCAGAAGTTGTTGGGGCTGTATTTGTTGCTGACGAGGACGAGGGCAATCTTGGAGTCGTTCTCGGCGGGGAAGACGCCGACGGTGGCAGCTGGGTAGTGTTCGTCGGCATGAGCGCGCAGGGCCTTGTGCAGCTTCTGAATGGTGTCGGCGTTTTGGCTGTCGAGAGAGTGGCTCTGTGCGTTGGAGGCCTTTTGCTCGACGGGGTCAAAGTCGAAAGCGGTGTTGTTTGCGCTGTCGTAGTAGCGGTTGTTGCCCAGGCTGTTGAACTCGCTGACGAGGACGCTGCCGCTGCTACCAGGCAGCTTGACTGTGCTGAATTGTGTCTCGTGGTACTTTGTTATGGCGGGAGAGATGTTGGAGATCAGACTTGACTCGGACGGTGTCAGGGCCTTGATGTCTGGAGTAGTTCGTGAGTGTTGGCTGCGAGGGATCGAGTCGGTGCTGCGTGTATACCGGTGATGACATTGGACAGCTATCAGGAGTCAGCTTGTGCATCTTTCAAGTTCAATCTGAGCATGTGATACCTCGCCTGGTGGAGCGTCCTCTACAAAGGAAGAGGCAATCTGTGTTGACGACATGGTTGATCTGGTTGTGTCTACTTGTTAGAGGCCGTCGATGATGCAGTTGCAGGAGGTCGCGTCTCGGACGTCTTTGCGGGGAAGGTGCGCCGAGCTCTCCTGGTAAGTGGTGCAACCCTGCTCGAATATCACACTCACTGCCAGACTCGCAACCATTTTGAATCTAAGCCGCTCACAAGTGAGAAGTGAAGCTTTACCCAGAGACTGTACTGCATCTTTTGATGTCTTGTGGGAAAATATCGTTGTTATCACAGATGGTGCACGTCTCGAACCAAAGCTTGCTGAGAAAACATAAAGGACGTGGAGCAAGTAGACCTGAAACACTTAAACATTGGAGCACCCAAACATAATGCGTGCGTTGTTGTCATTCTCGTGATTATGGATGCAAGATCATGCAGCCTATCCATGATACTCGGCTGTCTTCTAAATCTTGTAGAAGCAAAAGGCGTGGTAGAAGCCAGCCGCCTCCATCTCCTCCTTTGTGCCCAAGAATCTGCCCTCCCTATCCTTGACGCGCATACGTTCACTCAGCGGGCCAAGTTCGTAGTCGTCCTTTTCGTCTTCCCAAACTTCTGGGAAGGGCTTGCGGTACATCAACTCCAAACCATACTCTTCAGCAAGAGCACGGAATCCTTCCCATGGCACCACAAATTCGGGCACATCGACGGCTTCCTCGAGATAGTAAAAGTACTTCCAGCCAAACGGAGGCCTGAAGACGCCGTCAAAAGGCAGAGGTTGTGATTCTGGGAATTTGACCTTGTAGATCGAGTTGCCCCATTCCAGGGGTTCTTTTGGCAATGCTGGCGCTTTTATAATTGGCTTCGGCTTCTCCTCACCAGCGACAGCATTGTCGATGGGAGCCTCGGGATTCCAGTCGTCATTGTCGGCAGTTCCGTTCGCTGTGGGCTGCAGACTCTTTTCAGGGTCCCAATCGTCGTCGTTGTCGGCACCATTGGCAACCTGCGGTGGATCAAGAGGCTTTTCCGGATCCCAATCGTCTTCGTCGTTTTGCGCATGTGGATCCAAACTCTGCTCGGGGTTCCAGTCGTCGTCTCCTGCAGCAGCTGCACCTTCAGATGGTTTCTCTGGATCCCAAGCATCGTCGTCGTCATAGTTCAAGCCAGCTGGCGGTGAGTCTTCTTTAGTTGGCTCCGTTGGCTTCACGCCGCCTTTCATGTGTTGCTCGATCTTTCTGCGGATGATATCCGAGTTGGGCATGACACCAAGGAAGCGACCGCCCTTCTTCAAGGCGCCGGCGACATTTTTGAGCATGCCTCTGGCCTTTTCTTCACTCTCGTAAGAGTAATGTAGACAGAACATCATCGAGACGACGTCAAAGCCTCCTTGCGAGAAGCGGGCAGTAATGGCGCCGTTCGTGTCGGGGCCAGCGTGAGGGTCAAAGCCAACATCGCGTACTATGGGAATGTTGGCCAGACTGACACCGAAAGCGTCTTGGGCAAAGAAGTGAGCCTCGAGCTGTTTGGCATTCCTAGGGCCCCTCCTGCGTCGCTGCATCTCGATGTATCTGCCTCTTGCTTGGTCGATGGAGACGCCGGCCGGGTCGACACCGACGTATAGACGAGGTGTCTGAGGGGCTGACTGCCATTTTTGCAAGTCACCGCCTTTACCACAGCCCATGTCGAGGACAATAGGGCGGTGGTCTCTGTCTTCTGAGGGCGAGAACTTTTGGATCATGCAAGACTTGATCCAATTGTTGAGGGAGCGCAAGCCTTGGATCTTGGACTCTGATCGTCTCCAGTCTCTGCCTCTTTCGGGGACAGCATTGTAATGAGCGCTGACGATATCGGTAGGAACGGTAGCTCTATTCTGTTGTACCAGCTTGCGTTCCTCCTCTTCGCGTTGTAATCTCTTTTGCTCGGCGGCCTGTCTGGCAGATGCGCTGATTCTGCTACTAGCACCGGGACGTTTTCGTGGGGGAGAACGAGGTGGAGATGGCGGATCGGGGTCGTCGCGACGAGTGGAGCTGGTGAGGGGACTGCGCTGCCGTTTGGGAGCTCTACTCGAGGGAAGGTCGGCCTCTCTGATGCGCTTGCGTGATGGCTTCTGGTATTGGTCTGGTTCGGGGAGGGGTGAATCGGTGGGTGGACTGCGGCGTCCTTTGGTCGAGTCTTGGGGCTGGCGAGGCATTGTGTCGTGTGACGAGGGGAGATGTCGTATCTGATGAAGCAGGCAAACGACTCGATGTGACTTGATGAAGGTTGCGTAAGAGTATGACGGACGGGCGTATTGAGGGGAGTTGGCTATGGGAAAGAGAAGAATAGCAAGCAGCGTGAGATCGGCCTCTTTTCCGCGGTTGCAGTGACGCTCGAGAATAGCAACAGGCGCCTCGCCAAGAGCTGAACAAGAGCAGTGCCGGTTTTGGGAAGGAGCGACCAAAGGACAATTCCAGCTCTGTAGATACGGAAAGAGCTCAGAACTAAGATTGAAGTCTCTAGAAGCTGCCAGATAATAATCAATACAAATGGAAGGAGCGAGTTCCTGTGATGAGATGATCGGGGCTCGGTGAAGCTGGCCGGGCGCACGGACTCCGCGAGTCTCAAGCAGCTCCAGCAGCGTCACCGTCGCCGTCTCGCCGTCAAACACTCGCTCTCATCTCTCATACCATCCACTCCTTCTACCCATCAACATCGCCATCATGGGTGACCCGCAGTACATGAAGTTCCCCGACCTCAGACTGGCCCAGTCCGTCTTCACCCTCGCCTCGCCCTCTGCCTCGTCGTCAGCGAAACAATCCTCCCTCACAGCCCTCCAAGATGCCATCCGAGAGCACAAGATGGCTCCTCTCTACCACTACCTCGCACATCCCCAGACCGGCAAGCTGAACGCCTCGGGAGAGTCTGGCTCCAGCCAAAAGACCTCATCATCCTCGCCCGTACCCTCGCTACGAAGAACATCCAGCATCAACACGACCAGCATCATCGGCGTTCTGGGCGGTTTTAAGCAGACCGGTGGAGCCGACTTGCCATGGGACGAGAAGCTGTACGAAGAGATGAAGCGCGAGAACGAGGAAGAGCTGGCCGCCATCCAAAAGGAGGAGGACGAAGCCGCCGAGCGCGAAGGCGACACCGAGGTCAACACTGCCCGTGGCAAGCGCGCAGAGCTGTATGCCCGCATTGGTGACAAGGACAAGGCTCTCGAGGCTTTCGAGAAGCTGCTGGAAAAGACTGGCATCCTGGCCTCCAAGATCGATATCGTGCTGGCCATCATCCGCATCGCCATGTTCTTTGACGACAAGAACCTGGTCAAGAAGAGTGTCGAGCGCTGTTCGGCCTTGGTCGAGTCTGGTGGTGACTGGGTATGCCGCATGCCGTCTTCTCTACTACACGTCTAACACACTTCGCAGGACCGTCGCAACCGCCTAAAAGCCTACCAAGGTCTCCACCTCATTACCATCCGCTCCCACGCTGCCGCCGCTCCTCTCCTTCTCGACTCTCTCAGCACTTTCACCGCCACCGAACTTTGCTCATACAGCAATTTGGTTGTTTACGCCGTCCTCGCTGGCAGCGTGGCCCTGCCTCGCCGTGACTTCAAGTCGCGTGTCGTCGATGCTCCCGAGATCCGCGCCATTGTTGGGTCCGAAGACAGCAACGAGAGACTTGCCGGTCTTTCTGGCGCCGTCTCGTCGCACCCATCAGCCGGCACTGACGCCAGCGCTATGGACGTCGACACCACATCATCAGCCACTCCCAAACCCGCCGTCGTCAACCTTACCACTCTAAACTCAGGCTCGGCCGAGCAAGAAAAGGCCGAACCCGAAATCGACTTCTCTCCCCTCGCCCAGATGATCCGCTCCCTTTACTCTGGCCACTACCAAAACTTCTTCCACGCCCTCAGCACAGTCGAGACCCAATTCCTCGCTCAAGACCGCTACCTCTACGAACATCGCCGCTGGTACGTCAAGGAGATGCGCCTGCGTGCCTATGCGCAGTTGCTACAAAGCTACAAGGTTGTGGGTCTGGAGAGCATGGCCCAGAGCTTTGGTGTCAGTGTTGATTGGCTGGACCGTGATCTGGCTCCTTTCATTGCCAGCCAGCGTCTTCCTTGCACCATCGATCGCGTCAAGGGTGTTATCGAGACACAACGTGCTGGCGACAAGAACAAGCAGTAAGTTTTGTGTATCTCTGACATTGACGACTATTGCTGACATGGTACAAACAGGTACACTGATGTCGTCAAGCAGGGTGATCAGCTGATTACCAAGCTGCAAAAGTACGGTCAGGTCGTCAGACTGCGCGGTAGTGAGAGAACTTAGATGCTCTGGACGACAAGAAAGTATAATGCATGATGGATGGCAAAGGAAACGGCATGACAATGTACCATAGAACGGTAAAACGATCAAGCAGAAGAGCATATTCAAGAATTGCTCTTTCTTCAAAAACAACCAAAGCACAAGTCTTTGTATCAATTTCCTCGGTCTTTTGGACCCCTTCCATTGTGAGCAAATTCTGGGCCCTTGAAAACACCGCTATATCTTGCATAAACCCCTTCTCTCACGTAATCCCCAAAAGCCATGTTCCATTTACGTGCGCCCCAGAGGTTTTGGTTAGAGCAAAGTGCAGGCAAGTACACTTGACCTTTCAGAAGACGACCGAGAAATATGGCTACTGCAGAACACGATGTGTGGGAGCAACGTCATTGATGCGGACCTTTGTAGTTGTCGAGTCAATCTTGACTTGTTACCTTTCTGTCAAGCTGTGAGCATATTTCTTCAGAGCCAGGATCTTGGTCAAGTATCGTCCAAGACTGTCCACATCCATCAAGGCCCCAATGTAGCCGATATGTTGATCGGGTCTACACACCACAACACATCCTTCTTCCTCAACAATACCAAAAGCTTTGTATATGTCATCTCCTTGGTCGTTGTCCCTAGCGAAGATTTTCCCGTAATCGTATCCCGTCTTGTCGTCCCATGGGTGGAAGATATTAGGCAACGACAAGGCGTCAACTTCATTCCTGGCACTGGTGTGGATGGTCAAAATCTCAATCACAGAGTCGAGGGGTGCGGATGGTGGTGTGCAAGTGCGGATGAACAAGTCAGGGACAGAGAGATGGTTGCCTAGATTGCTGAAAGCAGAGAAGCGGTCAGGGGTGCTGATGTCACCAGGGAAGAAGATGATACGCCATTGTCCGGTGCTTTTCAAGGCAGAGTGGATGTGATTGACTTCGGCCGTGAAGTGGTTTGTGACATGGTAGGAGGGCAGGCGTTGGCCCAAGGTTAGATTGCGAGCGAGTTGCGGTTTGGAGTGGACTTGTTGCAAGTCTTCGGCGTTGCTTGTGTGGTTGGTGATGTCTTCCGCCTCGCACACCAAGAGACTGGGACTATACTCAACAGTAACACCGCTAACGAAGTCTCGAAAATCCTCTCGAAATTCTTGGTAGCGAGCTGAGCTTGCGGAAGGACCATGACAATAGAAATCACTCATTGCGCGGTCTTTGTGTATCAGCTCTTTGGCGACAGCCATGCGCTCGGAGGTGTAGGTAGCCAGGATATCTCTATTTTGTGTGCGAATAGCGGTGGCGATCTTCCAGATGAGATTGTGACTATCTTGCATGGAGACATTCATTCCTGCGCCCATGGTGGGAGAATGAGTATGTACTGCATCACCGGCAAGGAACACGCGGTCATGGTGACTGAAGGATGTGGCCAGCCGTTGACCGACTGTGTATACGGAGAACCAGTCACAATGGTTATACTCCAGAGTATATGGCTGGAGAATCTCCCTAGCAATGTTGATGACATCGTCAGGGGTCACTTTGCTGCGATCAAAGTCGCTTCCTTGGCTATCAGACTCGCCAAGCTGGACATAGAACCTGACTAGTCCGTTCTCTCGTGGCAAAATCATGATGCTGCCTGACGAAGAGTGGATCACGCAGGATATCCTGATGTCTGGAAAGTTGGAGAGTGGAATAAAGTCCATGACGCCAAAGTGCTTGTTCGTTGTATCGCCTTCCATTTGCAGACCCAGAGCTTTTCGTGTCCAGCTGTGCGCACCGTCGGTGCCCAGAACGTACTTTGCTCGGATGGTCTCCGTGGCAACCTTCTCAGATGCTGGGACTCGGTCAGAAGATGTACCTTAACTAACAGAAAGATACATACCCGCGAAACCGGAAGAGTCTGCTCGTTCATCTTTCTCCAGTTTCTGAAGGTAGACTTCGACAGGATATGCATCGTGGTCATCCACTCTCGTTCCATCAACATGGAGCTTCACAGGCGTACATCTGCGTTCCACTCGTATCTTGCCGACATCTTGTTCGAGGAAATTGAGAAATGCTTGTTCAACGCTGCCTTGACCAAGACTCACTTGAGGAAACCGACTACCCGGCAAGTCTTCCTCGCCCGAGCGTATCGACTCTGTTCGTTCGATATGTTCTTCTTCACCTTCCTTGGGATTCTATAGCAGCGATAATTAGCAATAGACTTCCCACTTGTCTTGTGTACATGCCCATGAACTGATCTCCTTGATTACGCAAGCTTGACCGAGGATCTCATGGGCAATGCTTGGGCTGCCGAAGCTATCCATGATTTCGAGAGTTCTACAGTGTAGACCGTCTGCTTGGCCAGTTCTGACTCTCGCATCTTTATCGTCGATGATTCTTGTTTTGAGCTTGCATTGGCTTGCCCAAGCAGCAGCCATCAAGCCTGCAGGTCCGGTACCAATTATGAGAAGATCGACTTCCGACCTTACTTGAGGCATGACAGAGAGCGGAGAACGGCTGCACAGGTTCGTGGCAGTCGGTAGGGGGAAACGAGCAGGGAGATACAGAGCAGAACGAATCAGATGTCGTGAAAGACAGCATCTCTACCGAGCATGCGTCGCGTGTGACTTGTCCGAATGTGGTAGATCATGCTCGGGAAAGAGAACGGCATCATGTTTAAGATTATCGCGTGCATGTTTGGGCACATGATGCTTCCTTGGTCACGACGTCTTGGGAAAGCACGATTCGAAGGACTTTTGCTGCAGCGATTTCGAGTTTGAACCCTGCAGTTTTTGACGGACGATCTCGAGACTCGACTCAAAGCTCGAGATGATTTCACAGCACTTAAAACATGATAGTGTCTGTGGTGTGCGACACTGTTGCACGCTGTCGCAAAAGGCAACAGAGCTTGCTCTGGGTTGCAAAAGTCGTCGCTGTGAGGGTTGGCCAGATTGGATGGCCACAAGCGACAAGCACATCACAGTGACTCCATGCTGCATTACCCTTCCTCAATCAACGCATGCATATCAGCAGAGGTACAACCTCAAACAAGACAGATAGACTTCTTTCCAATCAGGCCTGAATTAGGCCACGTCAAGATGACTGTCCTTTGTTCGCGCTTCTCCTTCTCCATACTGAGAACAGGGAAGGCGCGAACCACCGTGTCGTAATGCCTTTGCGTGCGAGATACCTCGTCGCGGTTTCTCATTCCATCTTTCTCTTCTGACCAATTTTGTCTTCGCGTCTGTGAGTATCCATCGTCGCCTCCAATTATTGCATCTCTCTACTCGGAGTTTCATCGCTATCAATCATCCTTTCGACTTCAACATAATTCAAGACAACTCTCCACCATGGACACCCCCCAAGAGATGCCTGCCAAGAAGATCGAAGTCGACCTCAAGGACATTCGCTCTTCGACTCACAATAACTCGTTGTTGAAAGAGCTCGAGGAAAGCCTCTCAAAAAATCCACCCGCGTTCCCGTCGCGACTCCTCTGGGATGACAAGGGCTTGCAATACTTCGAAGCCATTACTCACTCCCCCGACTACTACCTCACCAACTGCGAAATCGAGCTTCTGACAGAACACAGCCGCGAGATTGCCAAAGACATCTACCCTAACACCATCATCATGGAACTAGGAAGCGGTAGCCTCAGAAAGACCAAAATCCTGCTTGATGCTCTAGAAGCCCTGGAAAAGCCTGTGGACTATTGTGCTCTCGACCTGAGTCGTCCGGAACTCGAAAGAACCCTGACCAATATCTCGCCTTCTTCGTTTCAACACGTGAAGTGCCATGGTCTGTTGGGCACCTACGAAGATGGCATGCGCTAGATTCGATGCCTACCACTACCACTCGCCGTGCGTCCGAAGTGCATACTCTCCCTAGGATCCACAATCGGTAGCCTGTCACGCCCTGAGGCTGCCCAACTCCTCGGAGGCTATGTTGATGCCATAGCGGATGTTGAAGCCATGAAGAGCTCACCGCACAATGCCATCTTTCTCGTGGGCGTCGATGGATGCAAAGACGCCGACATGGTGTGGCGCGCCTACAACGACACTGAGGGTTACAATCACCGCTTCATCTCCAACATCTTGCACCACGCCAACAAAGTGTTGGACATCGAAGCCTATCACTCAGAGGATTGGACAGTCGCAGGGGTATGGAGCGCCGAGAAGGGATGTCATGATCAATTTCTTATGCCTGAGCGAAATCTGTTTGCTAGTGGCTTGGAGTTGAAGAAGGGCAGGGGTCTGCATGTTGTCAGCAGTCACAAGTTTGACGAGGATGATCAGGACAAGCTATGGGAGGGTGCCGGCCTGCAACTTTCCAGCTGCTGGAGAACCGAGCCCCACAAGTACACTCTCAACCTGCTGACTGTAGGCGATGTTCTTACCCCTCTCAAGAAGCTGGCCTTGGACGACATTCGTGACGGCATTAGACATGCGCCATAGACTTGTTGGCATACATCCTGATGGTCCGAATTGATCATTCGTTATAACATGTCTTGACAATCGTTCTTGAGTTTTGCCTGAATCAGACTTGGGTCCTGGGTCCCTCTCTCTCCTTGCAAAGTATATTTCCGACTACATTTTTCGTCTCAGATAAATCCATAGAAACCAGTAAAAATTCGGATTGTACTCCCCCCGTGGTCCTAATCCGTGAAATGTTCTTATTGAGAAGAACACGAAAGGAGAAAGTGAGAAGGGAACGACATCCCAAGAGCACCGAAAAACGCTGACTAAGCAAAATTCTCCTCGGCTTCGCCGCAACTTCACCTTGATGTTTCATCAACGCCATCTACTGTACTCGAATATCCCAATAACTTTTTAACAAACAACCTCATTCTCGAATCACAGAATATCAAGAAATGCTCCGCGAAGTGCCAGGCGCACTTTCACATCCCAACATGTCTACTTCCCCCGAACCCATCACCACAACCTCTGAACTCCACGACGATATTTTCGGCTCAGCACCGAATTCTCCTGATCTGGCGCCATCACATGGGAATGAGGACGATAGTATCCAAGTACCGGAACGACTGCTCAACACGGCAAACTCAGAACGCAGCGATATACCCCGTCTACGCAGCGTCCACGTAACCTCTGGCTACCGCGACGGCATCTCCGTCTCCAAAGCCTCACATGTACAACACGGATTCGACGAAGGGTTCTCCCTCGGCGCCGTCATTGGCACAAAAGCTGGCTTCTTGCTTGGTGTGCTTGAAGGCATTGTCCGCTGTATCTCTGCCTCTGCTGCCATCTCCACAGGAGTCAAGGAAGGAGTCATTGCAAAATTTGTGGCTGCGAGAGAGGAATTGGCATTGCAGAGTTTGTTTGGCAGAGAGTGGTTTGGCGAAGATGGAATTTGGAAGTTTGAGGTTTTGGGTGAGGGGAGGGAGGAGGAAGAGGTTACATTTAGGGATGTGGCTGAGGCGCATCCTGTCTTGGTGAAGTGGGGAAGAGAGGTTGAGGGATTGAAGAAGAGGTTTGGGGTTGAGATTAAGGCAAGAGAGAGAACGGAGGGAGAGGATGAAGACGAGGCTACTGCTTGAGAGGTGTTTTTGTCACGACTCATTCAACCCTCTGCCATGCCATGCCATTTGGACAACCTCCTCGGCAGCGGATTGGACTCGCACTTCTGGGGCGACACGATCTCGACTCCCCCTGGCTGCACATTTGCAGTTTGGCTACAGCATGGCTCATCTGACGATGTATCTACGAGCACACGAGGGCAGCGACCACCACAAGCCCGCCAAGTATCCAGACAAATTTCGAGTCGCAAACCACGCGCTGCGAGATACCGAAACGCCGACTTCGTCGCTTTGCACGAGGATATCTCAGTCACAAGGATCTCAACCGTGGAACAGACGTCTGGAAACTTCCTCGGATACCGACATTGACGGATAATATCCTTCTGCCTGACATCCCAAGTCAGACTACACAGCTTTCGAAAACTCTCCTTGTCGATCTGCTCGAGTCAATAAGTCGCCGACAGATATAGAATCTCGAACTGCAAGCATCTTCGGCAAAAGCAATCTTCACATTGTCAGATAGTCACGGGTTGCAGCTTCCTTCCAAATTCAGTCGTCGCATGTAGAATGGTACAATGCTCCTGAGTTGAATCATTGCTAATCATAGCAGCGATGCTCTAGTGCTTAACCCCAGCACACATCAATATCTCGCAAACACAAGCATCAAGGTGGTCGTCTGGCAGTCTTTTTATCCAAAACTTCCTCATTTCAAACGTCTCGCATGCAATTGTCCTTTTTCCCCGGCTCATAGATATTTTCCTCAACCTCGACTTCATCTTCATCTTCTTGTTTCTTCCACGAGCCCCGGGAACAACGCCTCGGGAGTCTTTTTGTGGGTATATATGCGCAACACAGCTTCTGTGGTATGTTTCCGAGCCGTAAGCCTCTTCATCGTTGTCTTGACGTTCTCAATACGCGGGTTCTTATTCCCCGTAGCAAGGAGTTTTTCCTCCAGCTGATGTACAGTTTCTTATTGTTGACGATTCCTTGTAGACGTTGGAGATATTGTGTCATATGCCTAGTTTCTGTAGTATTTGGTTTTTGGAGCGTGGAAATATGTCTTTTTGTTCCTCGTAAATTTTCATGTCGGAGATTGACTCCAGAGTATGTGTCGATGAGCAAGGCTGAGTCAAAAGTCACAGTTGTAGTCTCGAAATGTGTATTCGAGTTAGATCGAATACTTGAAACCAAGCGTACAGACTCGATGTTCAGACTGAGATGTGGATGAATTTTGACAAGTGACAGACGTTCACGTTGGCACTTGATTGCTATAAAGAAGGAAAGTGGAGATGTTGATTCGTGGAACTGAGTGTGATTTTCTTTCGTGACAAGATCTTCCTGATGCTATTGAGTGTATAGTCCCTTGAACGAGAGTCTTTCGTGCTGTTTTTCCTGCTACTAGTGTGCCACCAGCGTGCTACCTCGAAGCTTTCCATCACTCTTCCTTTCTAACACCCTTCAATGACCTTTCGTCGCTCACACCATCAGTGGTGACAGTAAGGTGCATGCGTAAACCTTCATGGTGTGAAAAAGAATCAATCGCTGAAGAATCTCCTGTCTTTTGCATGCCAATGTTCATTCCCAGGGGCGGCGGCGGAGGTCATCGTTCTCGGGAAGGGGACCCTTGAAGATGGCACCGGGTCTAGTAGCGATGCGTCTCCAATTCTCAGCCTCGTCGATGGCAATCTGTTCGTCGTCGAACAGGCTCTGACGCTTTCTCTTAAGGTTTTTGTGATGTAAGCTGATGGGGCAGGGACGGCGATAGCGACGGGTTGGTAAGTCTTGGTGGCGTTCTTGACTGGCTCGACGCGAGTGTTTTTGTTGGCGACTTGAGTGAATGCGACATCATGCTTGTGTGGCTCAGGGTCTCTCTTCACTGGCTTGAGTTGAGCATTCTTGTCGGCGGCTTGAGTGACTGGAATTTCGGCGGCAGTGTCTTCGTGGGTGGACTCTGACTCGTTGGCTGCGGCAGTGGTGGAAGTAGTAGACGCGACGTCCTTCTGGGCGAAGTGCTCAAGTCCTGAGTGAATGTTTGCGGTGCCATCTCCATCGGAACCGCCAGCGCAGCCATCATGGGAAGAGTCACGAGGGGTCTTGTCAGTACCACCAGACTCATTCTCGGGGAACTCGTTATCGTCTGGAGGGAGTTCCTTAATCAAGATGGCATGCTCGCCAATCAACATGGGTCCAGCTTTGACGGCATTTTCGTAACCACCACGAGTCTCGAAGGTGACAGAAGCATGATACTGTTCGACGAGTCAGTCACCACATCTTCAACCCCTGGCTCCAACAAACTTACTCCGAATTCAGTGCCGTCATATGTGAGGATTGCAACGTGCTCACCGTGCTCTCGATAGCGCTAGTCAGCGCGGTGAGATTGATGCTGTAGTCAACGTTCTTGACGTAGGCGAAGACACGGCTGTCGTTGTGCTCATTGGGGTCGCGAGCAGAGGGCTTGCAAGAGCAATACTGGACTCTGATGGGCTTGGGGCGCCATTTGGGGATGCGGCCAGTAGGTGGTGGGTGAGGTAGGGGCGTAGGCATGACCATCGTGTTGCGAGTGACTGAGATAGCCAAGTACAATCTTTGATGATAGAACGTCAATGTTGTTGTTGATGCTTTCGGTGTGCTGTGTTGATAATAGACGCGGAGGAATTGTGATGAAGGCGACGCGTTGAAGAATTCGTGTGAGAAAGCAGTTCTCGTCGTGTTCTGTGCCGTTTCGTCGAGTGACTTTGTGACGGTGGTTTAGGTAGACAACAAACAGTGACTCGGCTTTCTGGATGAACTATGGCACTCGACACACGCAGTTCATGTGCTCACTCCGCTCACTTCACCATTGATCATGCTCAGTATCATGATCTACGGAGTCTCTTGTTTCTTCGCCGATCTTACATTGCAGTTCAGTGGCCTGATTCCAATCTCTCACCATCACTCAATTGCCCCAAGAATGACGACCAAGCTCACCTGATCCATCTCACTATATCATCATGTCTTTTTGAGAAGACGCAGAGCAGCCATCGACGCATGCATTGCCCGGGTTTGTTGCAGGCGCCCTACTCAGGAGTATCCTTGTCGACTTAGGGGCTATCAGCGAGTCGAGATCGCCTATCCCGAGTATGGCGAGTTTTCTTCCAGCATACCAGCATATTGATCAAGAACTTTGCCCACATATCCGACAATAGCCCATGGCGACCCGCTATTGCTGAAAACGATTACCCAAGAACGAGCAATTTGCCTACTGAGACTGTGCAACATTGTAGAAATATTGCCACGATCCAGATCACTCAGCATATGGATATGTCCCAGGCTCTCGTGAGGTTCAAGAGTTGCTGCCACTTCTTCTATGATGCGTATGACTATTCCGACAATCTTGAGCTCGACCTCTGAGAAATGGTTATTAGTGAGGTCATTTTGTACAATACTAAATATACTTACCCGTGGCTTGATTGANNTATGGTGAGTTTCGGCAAGCTTGTTGAGCCACTTGGTCAAGAAGACAGCAGCCTCGAGGTAGTATAGCAAGTTTTGGTTGTCCCAACGTCCAAACATGATACGGCCGATGTATTTGATGCCAAACTTGACTAGGAAGTTAAGGGCGTGAGCCGAATGCAACAATGCTAGAGTCATGTTGTCAGTGCGAGATGGCGGTGCCACTTCGAAGAGACTTCTTGCTACTTTCCGCGGGTTCCAACTGTCCAACTGCATAGAAGAGCTATAGTTCGAATACAGACGGATGCGTGCGAGTCCTAGAAGTGCGGTAGAAGTAAGAGAGTTGGAGCCGTCGGGGTTCAGTGGGTCGAGTACAGATTCAGGGGCCTGTCTCCAGATGGTAGTCCACTGCTTGAGCGCTANGTCTTCGACAATCAGTATCTGTCGTAGAATCAAGTAAAATCCCCTGAGTTGCACTTACTCTATCTCGTCCATATCAGCATCACGAAGTGTGTTATGACGGTTTGTATGTAACTGCCGCGCTAAGTATATACGTTGTCCCAGAGCTTGTACGAGTGCAAGGTTCGCGAATGGTGAGTAGCTCAGATGTCTGTCTGCCGGAGTGTTCGAGAACAGTGCTGATAGGGCATTTTGAAAGCTGACAGCGTTGACAGAGCGAGATCTGGCATCTTTCCACACATTCTCAGAAGGCGCTGTCCACTCCGCCGTTGAACACGGCAAGTCGACGTCAAGCTGGCTGCTTAATGCGACTGGTGGGGCGTCCAAAAATACAGTGTGGAGATTGAGCACGAAGAAGATACCGAGTTGTGTCCTGCGATAACTCTCGTGCATCATCCACTCATGCCAATCCTTACAGCCATTCTTGTCCGAGGATTCCCAGAGAGTGTTACTGTTTCGTAGATGACTTGCGAGCAAACTTCGCAGTGTCAATGTATCCTTCGCTGCCAGATCAGCACATTGGCAGACGGCAAATATGTCAAGCAACAGAGCCGCTTGTACAGTGCGTAGACGGACAATAGCGTTATCCAAGCAGCTATGCTCGTCTCCACCATCTTCGTCTTGCCAGGTCGCCAAAACGACTTGCTTGCCAGCTCGAAACAGCTTCATGGCAGTCCGGATCTCGTATCTATATACTGCTCCGATCGCGGCCATCGCCAAAAATAGTCCTGGATGATTGTGAAATTTCGAAGGTCTAAACGTCACAGGATGGATGATGGGTAGATGGTCCTGAAAGTCTTGGAAGAATGGCGTGATAAAACGGCCAAGGACAAGTCTCGAGGGCATAATGAATTCTGCCAGCCGGCTTTGGAAAGGGAGCAATGCGGTGATGATCTGGGTCCGTGTGATTTCTAGGATCTTCCAAGGACAATGAACAGGTCCCAACTCTTCAAAATCATCTTCCATAGGCCTAATCCGAGTGGGTGCTGATAGGACTAATGCAGCATCGATAGTCTGCACGGGTGCTTGAGCTAATCCGGTCGAATTATGCAATCCGTTTCCTGAGAACGATAGGTCATGTAAGTTGAATGTTGGGTCGTATAAAAAGTCGAGTCCTGCATTCAAGCCCATGCTGTCGGTGAAGCTGGAAAAGTAGTCAAAGTCGTTCGAGAAGAGTAGATTATCGTTGGTCGACAGTAAACCTGGNNAAATATGAGGATGATGCAATACTCTTGACGTCCGGAACGTACCTGATGCCTCCGGCTGAATATTCTGTCCGGCACCAGCGGCGGTCTGTAATTCATATCATGGGTGAGAAGACTCCTCAACTGTTGCAGCCATCTGACGTCTATCCGTATGGTTGGCTGTAGGTTCAGTTTCCTCAATGGGGCTTTGCATAGACCGTGAGGATGGAGTGCCCTCGGGTGAGAGGGTAACCAGATGCTTCCCATTTTCTTCGTGTCTTTTCAATAAATCTCTTCTAGCAAAAGATTTACCACACGAACATGTGAACGACTTTTCGTTGGNTACCTTTGCTTAGTCTTAGCAGATATTGACAGCAGAGAAGACAGACGGCAAGGTACGAGTAGTTATGTGTCGCGTTAGGTGTTCACGACGACGGAAGTCACGCTTGCATATCGAGCAATGGAAGACTTTGGCCGCATTGATTCTTCTCAGCGACGTGTTGCTTGACATAGTGAAGTGTGCAATGCACAATGATGGGATGATCAAGGTAGACAAGGTGTCGAGTCGAGAAGGCGAAGCTAGGGGTGGAGCTTTGGGATGAACTCCAAGAATTGGGGTAATAATCGGAGAAGCCAAGAATTGGACTTTTGCAGCTGCCGACAGCATCAGCCATTGAGGTCTGCATCGTTCCTTCTCGCCTCCATTGACGCGCTTGCCATGATAAATTCTATTCGACTATCACTATTTTGCTATTCTCAGCACTCTGAAACTTCGTATGCCGCAGCACCTATCCCGTGTTCAAGAGATCCATAGATACACGGGCTTGGGCAGTTACTAACGACTGCGAGCGGCACCAAAATTATGTGAACGTCTTCTCGTATGCAAGCTTGAGGGTACCGGCCTCGAAGTATGAGAATGCGACAAACATAACCTGCTCACATTGTTACCTCTCGAGTCACCTGGGAACAACAGCGTCGATCCCGCAGGTGCTTGGAAACCAACTACCCGCAGATGACTCTCGGTTCTGATTTCCGCATACTCTACTACGACCTATCCTCGAACGCGTCTTACCAACAAATGTATATTGCGTACTAGTTCTGGTCGCTCGAGGTGGAGCTTAATGCTGGTTGACACAGTCACAAGCTCATATAGTCTTGCCTTTGCTTCGCGTCGCCTCGTATCCACAATATCAACTGGTACGAGATTAAGCTCGTTGGACACGAGCATTCCTTTTGTGTCCATATCATCGAACTTTCAGACATGTGGAGATGCATAGACAATCTTCTGCTCTCTCGACCTCTTTGCACAATCCCGCCATACATACTAACGATAGGCCTTGAGCGCAATACCCTGTCGGGTGCTGAAGAACATCTGAGACTACATGCTCGTTCGTATAACTCGACCGTAGTAGAGATGAAGACATATTGCAGGTCCAACGCTAGGAGAGAACATCTGACCGCAATATAGAGTCTGCATTCGCGAAGCTACGACCATGGCTTGGAAAGTCTTGATCAGTGGTGTGGTCATTGACCCACCTCCTTGGCTCTTGTCGGCAAATACAGGGCAAATTCACATTGGGTAGGCGAACACTCCAAACTATCCACGAAGACAAGTTCATCCGACGAAGAAGACGAACAGGTCTGATGTCATGGGCCAAAAATAACAAAGTTCGAGACCAGCCTCGGCAAGACCCTGCAGGATTCTATTTTCGACGACCGTTCGAACGTGTCTTTGCGCCTCCACTGCGAGACTACACCTCAAAGAGCTATCCCGAGGTGATTTCGCCGCCTCATGCTTGGCGAATGGGTCTGGTACGAGAAGATCGCTGGAGAACTATCCACAAACGTGGAGTCGATCTCTTCTGTACGAGAGTGTGCATTAACAACAGCATCGTAAAATCTCAGACATGGTAACGGTGAGCGAGAAGCTCTTCTGGGCTTTTGTCATGAGGTGTAAAACCATCAACCACTATGTAGGAAGATGGAATATATAAGGCCTCGAAGTGTTCCTTCCTTCAACAATCATATCTCATCTTCATCCAGCATCTTCACAACACATCAACACATCAACACCACAACACATCAATACCACAACACCAACACATCTTCAACCTCCAACATCAATAAATTACCACACATCGACCTTAAACTCCCACAACCAACAAGATGCTCTCCAAGAACCTCATCTCCATCCTGGCTCTGACCTCCGCCGTCTCCGCCTCTCCCGCTCTTCGTCGTCAAGCTTCGAGCACCGACAACTGTGTCGCTAAGAACAACGCCTGCCGCACCACTCGTGGTGCTGACGGCCTTCTGCCAACCAGGCTCAATGCTCTGCCGATGACGCAGCTTGCAAAGGCGCCTGTTATGCAGCATACAACACTTGCAGAACTACCCGCGGTCCCGATGGCCTCTCCGCCAACCAGGCCCAGTGTGTCTCTGAATACGCCTCGTGCCTCGGCGAGAACCCTGTTGCCTCTACTGGAGGTCTGATCTCGAGCTTCATTCCTTACAGCGCTACTGCCTCTTCATCCGCAGCTGCTGCGACCACATACGCCTGCAACCCCGCTCACTCTTACCCTGGCGGCCAGCAATGTATCTCTACCAACGGAGCCTTGACTCTTGTCACATCTGCCAGCACAAAGCCTTCCTCGACCACCGCTGCTGCCGCTGCCACTTCGTCCGCTGCCGACAACTGCAAGACCAAGGACAACAAGTGCCGCACCACTCGCATGAAGGATGGATCTTCTGCCAACCAGGCCCAGTGCTCTGCCGAGAACGCTCAGTGCCAGGGCGACTGCTACGCAGCTCTTGGCAAATGCCAGACCACCCGCGGCCCTGACGGTCTTTCTGCCAACCAGGCCCAGTGTGTCTCCGAGTATGCCTCTTGCCTTGGTGAAAACCCAGTCGCCTCCACCGGCGGCCTGATCTCCTCGTTTATCCCCTACAGCGCCACTGCTTCCACCATGGCCACCTCGACCGCCAAGGCCTCCTCTGCCGCCGTCTCTGCCGCCGCCCCCGGCTCCAACCCCAAGAAGGTCAACGGCGCCACCTGGACTTTGAACAACGTGATTCGCTACTGCGGCGACAACAGCAACACCTGCGACTACAACTTTGACATTGTGGCCAACGGCAAGACCGAGCACTGCACCATCGTCAACGCCAGCAACAAGTCCTTCAACGGCGAGAAGTGTGCCAACGGCGATTACACTGTCAGCTGGGGATACGTCGCCAACCCTGCTCCTGCCTTTGCTGTCATCACTGTTGTTGATGCCAAGAACGAGTTGGCTTGGTTCGGTGCCAGCAATGTCGACAGCCAGCGCACTTGGGGTAACCTTGGTCCTGAGCAGGTTTACACTTACAACTAAAGCTATTTTTTCTGAGCTTGGATAGACTAGAGAGGAAAACGATTTGTACATATTGATATGATGGGGGGATTTGAGGTTTTGGAGGATGCGTCTTTGTTCACGTTAGCAAGCCACACTTTCGCTAATTAATTCTGAAACAATCTTACTGCGTCTTTACAACCCCTTCTGCCCTCACAGTGGCGCAAATGGACAGTTGTTCTATCGTGACCGGCTTAGTATCTGTCTGAGACAGTGAGTCCTCGCTTTCCCAGCGAGGGGGCGCTTTCACACAAATGTCGCAATGGATGCTCCAACCTTGGTTGCTTCTTAAAGCTCGATCAACCGTTCACGAAAGGGTTGTTTCTGTTTTGTTTGTCTTCTTGGTGAGAAAGGCCTTCAAAGCAAGATCGAAGGGTGGATGGAACTCTTCGCGTATAGGGATACTTGGATATGCGTGATATTGAGTGACTTTATGCGCGAGAAATTAATGAAAAGTCCCATGGATGATCGTTGATCTTGTTCTTCGCGGCGCATCTTGATTTGGGAGCTCATCCCCAAAGGCAGTTGTAGAGTATGCCTCCATCTTTTCCATGGCTGCGACCAGAAGTTAGGCAGCTGCTTTCATAAGCAAGCAGAGTACGCAAAGAGTGCAGGTATCTTTGTGAGAGAGAGAATAATTCAAGGTATTCCACAAAATCGAGTATCAAACTGAGAAGAAATAGCAAATCCCAAAAACTGCAAACAAGCCTTGTACCAGAAGCGCCCCGAGGTCCTTGATGATGTCAACATTCATCCCGTGGTCCACATGCATATCCCAAGACCAGACTGCTAACGCAAGCAGTCTCCAAAGTGATTGTCTTCTGTGAGTTTTACATGCTCTGCCTCTCCACTACTAACAGAATGTACAATATCCGTAAGAAGCCTCCACATCAGGATCAACGACACTGAAGTACGATCCATCAGCGTTGGCGTCGTAGTATGCAACACATTCCCAGTTGCCAGTTGATGCCAGCTTGTTGAGATCGAACGAGTTGTACCAAGATGGCTGAGCATTGGAGAAAGATGCGCATTGGGCGGCCGCATCGCATTGTGACAAGGTTCCCGAGTAAGTCGTACTATGTGGTGGGGAGGAGCTGGGCATGCTGTTTCCAGGGTTTTTGTGTTCTCACGGAGTCCTGATCCATAGAAATATCGCTTGTATTGGTTACCACCCGAAGCGGCTGACGCTGTTGCTGTGGGACATCCGCTTGTGATGGAGTAGGACACCACTGTTGTCGTTGAGACCTGGACAGCAGTGTTCGCCGGTCCAGCGACAGTGGTGGCAACATAGATCGTCGACGTCGATGTCACGGGTGAGGCTTGAAGGCTACATGCGGATGCAACGATTGTGGCAGGATACTTCTTGAGATCTGCAGGGGTGGAAGTTGAGGTTGTAGCAGCACGCTTGTTGACAGCAGCGGACGTGCTGAGATCTTGCGTTACCATAGCGCCACCGTGAAGAGTAATCACGCCGTCGAATGATATATCAGTGACTGGGTATACAGCAGTCGCCACGGCCTGGCGTCTAACAATCTGAGAGATTGAAGTGACAGTTGTGACGGAAGCGACGGTAGTCACAGGTGTGGTGGTGGTAGTGGTGGTGACTGTGGTGACTGGGGTGGTGTATCCAAGTAGAGTGGAACAGTAAGGCTGGAGAGAGTTCCACTTGATGTCGGCAACAGCTTGGTACTTGGCGCCATTGGCATCTCCGACGGTGGGATCGATATCAGAGGAGCTGGCGGTCTTGGAGTAGCCGAAGCTGTAGTCGACAGTGTACTGATCCTGACCTCTCCACTGTCCGCCATTCACAGCGTAAGTTTTGGACCAAGCTTCAGTGTAGAGCGAGCAGTATTGGCCTTGAGGAACAATGGTACCGTTGGCCAACTTAGCCTGCAGAAGGTAAGTGTTGAAAAACTTGCAGACCTTGGCAGGAGTGCCGTCCTTAGGAGCTGTGGCGAGGTTGTACTTGGTCTGGGCATCGCAGTAGTTGGAGCACTGCGAGACGTCCCATGTTCCAGTGAAGATCTTGGCTCCCATATAGGTGTTGTAACCCTGGGCATCATAAGGTGCGTTGATGGCGAACTTGCCGTAGGGAACGCCCATCTGGTAACCAGCAGGGGTAGAAATTTGGGTGGTGATGTAACCGTTTGAGCCCGCAATAGCGACGTCAAAGTTACCACGCTTCTGGCCGAAGTTTTGGGCATTGTCCTGGGTGACTTGGCCACCCCAGTACACGCATTTGATCATGGTAACCGAAGCAGGATTCGAACAGGACGAGTCGTCGGGGTTGANCTGCAACGAGTTAGCTGTGGTTCAGATATAAGAATAGGATCAGTACTCACCAGATGGGTCACGTTCGTAGTAAATGTTGAACGAGACACAGCCGTATTTGGCAGTGCATTGGGATGCGCATTTAGCGACGTCGTAGGTGTCGAATGTATCAAACCTAGAATGAATTAGCTCGACACTTGGTTGCGAACGAAAGAGGATGTTTATTTACCCCATGTAACCGAATCTAGTTTGGATTGTTAGCTCAAGAAATGGTTGCGAACGAACGAGGGTGGTAGCTTACGCATTGTTGGAAGCTGTTTGGGCCTGGAATGACTGGGTATAGCCAGAGGGAGTCGCCGCAGCAGCAGCGACAGAAGAGTAGTAAGTGTTTGCCCGGAAGGCAGAAAGATTGTCAGTGTCGGCTCCGGGTGCGTAGGTAGGTGCGGAGCTGGCTCCAGCAGGCTGCTGAGCACAGGTGGTGGGGGTAGCCGCTCTCTTGGAGACGACAGCAGTCGCGGACAGAACATCGCTGATTTCAACGCTGACAGAAGAGACGGCAGCTGTGGCTGAAGCAATGAGGGCCGCAGGGTCGACGGTGATTGTCTGAGCAGTGGCACCGGTAGCTTCGGAGTAGGTCGGATCCGGGGCGGCCAGGACCATATCAAGGTCGATATCCTGAGGTCTGGGCAAGGCAGCAGCCAAGTTGGCCGCCAAAGCGGGGAGAGCATATGATGAGAAACGCATCTTGGTGGTGATAAAGATGGTAGAGAATTGGAATGGAAGATGAGCTTGATTCTGAGTTGTACTGGTTGCGATCACTCTACCTTATATACCACAGCATCGTCTGATGGAGGCTCTGGTATAACAGAGGTCTCGGTCTGGCCGAGTACTAGAAGATGCCCTTGCGAACGCCATGAGGCGTTCATGGCAAAGGTAAAGCTCACCATTTGCTGTCTGGGAGTGTTCGACAGCAGCTGAAGATGTAAAGGGGCTTGTAGAGGCTTGATAGTTACGGGGCAAGAACCTTGGTTAGAAGATACTTGGCGTGCGAGAAACGAGGGGAAGGTCGAGCAAGAGCCAGGGTGAGGTCGCGTGGAAGGGGAAAGCGCGATCCTTCCGCGATCGGGCTCAGCGAGATTGCGTCCAGAAGTGGTTAGAGCCAAAAGCTTACAGACCCTTGGAGAAAACTCCGGTTGGCCTTGGTCACTTGTTTCTTTCTGTTCCTGCAGAATACCTGTCAACATGTAGCATAAGCAACCACTCTTCTTCGGCGACAATCATGTCTGCTAATTCGCAAACCCAAACACGTTCTATCAACGATGTCGTTGAGATGGACTCACTCCGCGACGCGATGAACTGCCGCACAAAGTCCAACGACTCTCGATACCCCGTTTTCTGCCGTCCCCACGGGTGAGACATCGGGCTTGGGGCTGGATTTCAGCTCCTGTCTAACTTCCAGACTGGCAGCTTCGCTTCCCCAGCTTTGATTCTTTCTGATCACGATGCGGTGAGAGAGTTCGGAGTCTCCGATCAGACTAGTATGTTCTTGGACTCGAAGGATGCAAAATAGTCGACACAGAGCAGGAATTCTCATTCCCGGATGCTCTCGTCAGGGTCTTGTCAATTGTGGTGAAAGGTCTTGGTATGTCTCTCCCTGTACGACTCAGCCCAGCGCCTTGTAACTTCTGCTTCAGATAGTCTGGCCTAACGAGTATCTGTGTGACAAGCCCACGTGCCTGTCGGTGCCAGTTTGGGAAGATCATGCCGCCGCTTGATCCTTCCTTGCTAGCAAACTGGAGCCAGTCACAGCTCAGCAACAAGGTTTTCAGGATTCTTCCCAGACGGCAGACATCATCCCATACAACCGCGTCTTGCATGGCCTAGCTCGAATTATCTTTTCGACTCCTAATTTGCCCCCTTCGGACACGGCTTGATCGTACGTTTTGGGATGCACTGCAACTGCAGGTGACATGGTACAACTATGCAGTGTCTCAATAGCTCGTGCTATCCTCAGCAGCTGAAGTCCAAGCTGAGTCCACTTCAACACCTTTGAGGTCCGTGATGGTTGTTATTGTTGTTGTTGTTCTTCCTCACCAAGGGTAAGACAATGTTTCTAAACCAGCAAGCTGAGCTTCAGGGCTGCTGAGCCGTGACAGATGTCTCGAAAGACACGCGCATGTCCGGCAAAAACTACGGATTCGCGGCAGTCATTCCAACCGGCCGTTGGAGATTTGTACTACTGCTAGGCAACATCTATACCATATGCCGAATGCGCTTGGTTGTCTGATCGTATCTGCAGACGCGTTCGGAGTCAGAAGCTGAGAATACCCGTCTCGGTGTGTTGTATGGCATCAGACAGATACTCGTCCCTAACATTGTTCGGATTCCTCTCGCGTGTGAGCGCTTGGCTAGACATGCGCGAGTACGCAACCAAAGTGCTTGTATGGAATATACACACGGTAGAAGGTTCTTGGAAGATCGGACCAGGTCCATGGCGCTGGTGGCACCAGCCCACGCGACGGCACAGAATCAATTTTCTCAGCCTTACGGGTGCCAACCTCATCAGCCCTACACCAACCACACTTTGGAGACAGAATACCCAACAACACCCATCAAAGATTTCCAAGACACTCAGCCCTATCTTTGCTGTCTCTTCCCACCCATCTTTTGAGTCACCATCAGCCTGTGATTCACCTACGCTCGTGTCTGCCTTCTTCGTTGTCCCAGCACAGTGTTTCGGCAACACCGTTGTCGTGCGAAACGGTTTCTAGGGCAGGTGATCGTTCGGCAAGAGCCTCGTTCCGGCTTGTCCGTTTTGAGAGCCAAACGCGAGATCTTCAGGTACACGTGTTGATCATTTTCCCTTTCGTGCTGCGAGCGTTGAAGGAAGTTTTCGGAAATGTTGGTCGGCTCATCGTGCAGAGGTTGGGGAGTGAGGGGTACCTTGATGGGTGAATTGAGCTTTTCGAGAGTCCTGCGGAGGGTGATTGATTGAGATGTTGAGAGTGGTTGGTATGTTTTTGTGTCATTTGTCTATTGCCGTGAGGTGTGTTTCTTCTATATCCTTGCGTGTATGTACTTTTCTTTCCTGGGTATTATCGGCAGCATCTTGCTGTTCATCGTCGAGGACCATGTATTTCTTTCTTTATTCCTTGTTGTCTTCCTTCTTTTCCTCGTCGCCATTCTGCTTGCCAGCCTCCTTGTAAATGTCGCTGTCAAAGTTGACGGGGAAATGTTCTCTGCCCTCTGCATCCTTGTTGGTCCAGACGGCAACACTGCAACCAGGACACTTGAACACACCATTACCTTCCTCATCAATGGTAACCTCTCCCTGCTCCCAGCCCAGCAGATCCGTCCACACTTCTCCCTTGTGCTCAGGACCCACATGCATCTTGATCTCTCCAGGACCCGTGTTGCTCATCACCACCGCGCATCCATTTTTTCTGTCGTGGGTGCCTCTGCGTACCCAGCCGATGCAGTTGGGGTCGTCCCAGTAGTCGTTTAGCTCGCCGTAGGCAANGAGTTTGCGGGCGAGACACAAATCGGCGAGTTTATCGCCGCAGGAAGGGGGTTCGGGGTTGTCGCCTTTCATGCCGTAGAGGTCGCCGTAGAAGACACTGGGGTAGCCGTCGCGGCGGAGGAGGATGAGGGAGTAGGCGAGGGGCTTGAAGAAGCCTTCGACAGGGGTCTCGACGGTTTGGCCGGGTTGGGTGTCGTGGTTTACTACTACGGTCTGGGTTGTTGTGTTAGTGGAGTGTACTTGAGGGAGAGGAGGGCAATTACTTACCACTGCGTTGACGGGCATGTCCTGGACCAAGGTGTTGTCAAACACCTTTCTCAAGTCTGCAGCTTCGCTCTTGCTGATGTTGGAGAAGTTGTTGAGCAGCGGGCTGTCGTACAGCGAGAACTTTCTCTCCATCTGTTCAACCCAGTCGATCAGGTCCTTCTTGTTGCCAGTCCAGAACTCGCCGACGTAGAAAAGATCTCCATGTTCTTGTCTCAGTGCCTCAATCCACTCTTTGGTAAAGCGCTGAGAAAAGTGCTGTACGGCATCAAGACGGAATCCTCTCAAACCAACTTCCTTGACAACCCATTTGCCCCAATTTGTGACATCTTCGCAGACTTCAGGGTGGGAGTAGTCCAAGTCGGCAAACATGAGGAAATCAGCATTGCCGCCTTCGTCATCCACAGACTCACTCCACCCCTTGCCATCACCCTGAATCTGGAAAATCGCATTCTTGCCCGTGGCAGCGTCATAATCCGTACCTCCGAAGTGATACCAATGGTACTTTTGCTTGCTGTACTTGTCACCTCTGCCATCAAAGTTGAAGCCCAACCATGCGGTAATCTCTTTGCGGTCAGAGATTTGCTTCTCGCGGTCGTTGGAGTCGACTTCAATAACATGGCATTTTTCCTTCTTGTCGGCGGCGGCTTTGTGATTGAGAACAGCGTCCCAGTAGAGACCGATGCCCTTTTCTTTTGCGAGAGAGGAGAGGGCGAGGAGTTCGTCTTTGGTGCCCCATTTTGTGGCTACACCACCTTTCTGGTCGAATTCACCGAGGTCGTAGAGATCGTAGACGTCGTAGCCGTTGCCCTGTGGTTTTGCGTGTGAGTATGCGTCTCTGCTGCGGATGGGATTGCGGGGATGGTGGGGTGGACTTACGTTGGGAGAGCTGGCTTTGCAGCCGGGAGGTAGCCAGATGTTGGAGATACCAATGTGCTTGTAGGAGGGCATTGCATCGTGCAAGCGCTTGTAGTGCTTGCCATCAGCAGGCACATTCCACTCAAAGCCCTGAAGCAGGGTGTAGTTCTCGGGTGTAGGTTCCTCGGCGCCCATGTTGACAGCTGCGATAAAGATGCAGTGGTATGAATAGGAAGGAAAAGGAGAAGTGAGAAGACAAAAGTTGCGAATAAGCACCCAGATAACAATCACTCCACAGCAAATCAAGCTCCAGAGATATGACAGCACACAGCGTGGGCGTAAACAGGTATATGGGCCAGCTCAACAAGCCCCTCTCAACAATCTAGGCTGCCCTTCATGCCACCATCGACATCACAGCCAATGATTACACGTGGCCGTATACATCACCCAGCCCACCCAGCCGTTTCATAACAAAGCAGGAAATCTGGGTTCCCGGAGAGCAGGGATAAGGGCTAGAATTGACGTATGTGGTGCACGGCACGAACAACGGTTGAGTTTCTGACACATGCGGGTTTGCGGAGGATGTCTCTTGCTGATCCGGCACGGATCGCTGGTCCGTGTGAAAGACAGGGTGTTACTCGAGGCATCTTCGCAAAACATACCTCTGACGACGACGTGGTCTATGGAGATCATATCATGATGACAACTGTGTGATAGGGATTCCATATGATCACTTAGTGAGTCTGCTTACTTTGATATTGTGTTGTTGTGCGAGCAGTTGTGTATGATCAATTTTATGTTTCCAATTCGTGCTTCTGAAGAGCTCAACAAGGAAGGCACTGAACTCATGGGGTCTTTGGAGCAAACACTGTGTCTTGGGAAAAGCGACAAAAAGACTCTTTGAGTCAAGACACATCCTGATATCTGTGAAGACTACTGCTCAAGTACTTGATTGGAATCGACAGCACAACGTAAAGAGTGTTTTCAGGTGAACTCGTCTAAGCGTCTACACGGCTGTATGTCTAAGGCCTCCACCTGCCGAGATTCTACCACAACTCACGGTTCTTATCGCGACAACAACGCGTCAAGTCCGTCCCTCCCATATTCCGATCTGTAGCTTGCAACTTCGTCACCAGACTCGAGTGCAAGCAACGATCCATCAAGCGCAAACGCATCCTCCTGTTCAACTTCATGCATCGCCTTGACCGCCATCCTCGCACACATCACAACATCATTAACCATACGTCCAGCAAATCCGCTCTGCTTCAAACCCGCCACATCCCCAAACCTCGTTTTCCAAAATGCCCATCGCTCAACACTAAACCCGTCATCTCCATTCCATAAAGGTTTACTTCCATCACTGCCACCAATCCATTCTTTCCATATCTTGCCTTCACATAGCTCTCTGTTCTTGCAAAAATTCCAGAGGTGAGCGCCAGCATGAGTCAGCCATGCAGCAGCAGCTGGGATATAGATTCCTGCGCGGCGGATCTGGGGGTGGGTTGTGATTTCTACTTCTAGGGCTTGTGTCAAGGTGTCTCTGGCGATGCATTGCATGCCTCTCCATTCTTGTGTGATTGAAGGATTCAGTGCAGAAGTATAGATTGCTGCAAAGATGTTGGCGTGTTTGTACTGTTGGGCTTGTTCATGCCAGGTTATTGGGCAGTTGCCCAGATCTAGACTCTCAATCGTNNTCACACGTCTGTGAGGATTTGTTAGATTCTAGATCAGGTAAGAGAAGATGAGTTGAAGAGTAGGGCAAAGATACGCACTCAGAGCGGTCTCAGAGAACCAGAAACTGAATTCGGGGATGGAGCGCCAGTAAGTTCTTCCATTTTCTTGGAAGAGTTTGCCGTCGACGATTATGTCGGGTAGTTTAGAGAGTCGAACCAGCATCTCGGCGATGCGGCGATGGTCTTCGAATGTAGTTGTTGGATGTATGATTGCGCGAGATATCAGGGAAGAAAGACGACATGATATCTTCTCTCCTTCCAGTAGAAGAGGCTCATAGGTAGTGGCGATGCCATGAGCGGCTGATTTGGGATTATTTGACTTGTCGAGTAAGTCTTGGATGATTGATATAGTCTTTTGCTCCTCGGGTCTTTGAGAACAATATTTGTCGGCTCTCTGTATCTCTGCCCAACTCAGTGTCATGGTTGTGCATTGAAGATTGTCAAACTACAGCAAATGGCCAAGAAGAAAGAATGTGGTGTGTTTTTTGACCGCAATTTCTCTATGCGCGCGGTGTCTAAAGAGGGTTCACGATTCGAATTGCGTCATGGCAAAACACGAGTCAGTGTTAGTGTTATATACGTCCGTATCTCCTGAACCAGTAATCGACTTCCAGACTCTCCATCGAACAACACATCGACAGTATCCTCACGCCACAACCTTCTCAATCACAGCAACACCGTATTGCTCGCTGACCAAAACTTGCTTCTTCTCAAGAGACTTCTTGACTGGGTTGGGAGATTCGAAGATATCGTCGAGCTCCTCGANGCTGAGAACAATGAGTTAGTGTGCGTACAACAATAAAGTCAAGACGAAGATACTTACAGTACGGTTTCTGGTCTCCGGGAACCACACCCAGATGATGATAGTCTGGGCGACACACCAGATGATGAAGATGATATAAGTCTTCCAGCCGATATTCTTGAGAGAAACAGGCCAAGCAAACTGATTGAGCAGACCACCAGCATTGACAGCCAAACTCGAAAAGGCCATACCCTTGGCACGCATCTCAAAGGACAGTACCTCGACAGGGTACAGAGCCTGAAGAGGAGTGATACCGAAGGAAAAGACTGCGCCAAACATGAAGATCATGGCAACGGTCGCTTTAGCGGCGGCGGGGTCCTTGGAATCTGCGAACAAGCCACTGGCTGTGGTCATACCAACCCAAACAACAGCGCAACCAGCCATGGCACCGAGCATGAGAGGACGTCTGCCAAACCGGTCGACAAAAGCGCATCCGGTGAGAGCGAATACGAATTGGAAGCATGAGTAGCCCAGGTTAATGTTGGCTTGTTCAATTGATTCATGGTAGCCAGCAGTATCGAGCACAGCCCCAATGAAGTAAGTCAGGACAGCGTTGCCAGCCCNATCTGTGAGTGAAGGTATTGGTTAGCGTAGGCGCTATGAGCACATATCTGGTGCATGAGCTTACTGTCCAAAGATGCTGAAGCCGCAGTTGCACGCAAGTCTGTAGCGGGAGCTAGCCTTCTTGAACAACGCGCTGTAGTCCCACCAACGCTTGTCGGCACCGTTCAAATTCAAGAAATCTTCGTACTCGGAAAGTTGTAGCTTGACCCAAGCGCTTTCTGGGTTGCCCTGGCCATGCCATTTGGCGAGAGTCGCTGTGGCCGAATCTTGCTTGTTGTTAACATAGAGCCATCGAGGTGACTCAGGGATAGCCCAGACAAGTGCGCAAATGATTGCAGGGCAGGCCAACTGGAGCCAGAGAGGCAAGAGCCAAGAAGAGTTGCCCGTCAGGTTGAGGCCACCTCGGACTGCACCTGCTGCGACGATATTTCCAGTGAACCAGAACGTGTTGCAGTAAGCAGTCACCTTTCCTCGGTATGCGGGATGAGACATCTCGACGACATAGATGGGTCCTGCAGCAGAGGCGATAGAAACACCGAATCCNNTGCCAGTGTGTCAGCCATGCCAATTCACTGTAACTCAGAAAGTTCAAAGCATACCGAGGATGAATCTGCCGCCCATGAATTGCCCAAGCTTTCCATCATTGAACGTGGTTCCGGAGATGATTGTACCGACGATGATGATGAACGAGCCGATGAACATACCCCATCGACGTCCCCATGTGTCGATAGCAGGACCGACGAAGGGAAGTGCAACGACACCGCCAATCTGGTACATGGACGACACGATACCAGCCCAAATTCCAGCATTCGAACCATGGAAGAAAGTCTTGAACTGAGGGTTGATGAGCAAGCCGTTGAGCAAACTTCCGTCGTATCCGTTCATTGTNNCCTAAGCAATGCATTAGCTACATGGGAAGGAAGGAAGACAGCGTGAAGCGACTGACTGGCACAAGCAACCAAGCAGAGTGCATGCGAATAGCAGAAGGGTGGTCGAGTTCATTACAGTAGGGTGCTCTCGCATCAGTGCATCGTTGAAGGCCGTGCTTCCTGCAATCGTCTCGATATGTTCATTGTCTGCTTCGTGCGTGTCGACCTTCTAACGGGTGTTAGCAGTGGTCAATAGGGTATGAAATTCGGTGTATGATACAGTAAGGTCTGCAACCACATTCTTTTCGTCCATCGTCATGGTGGAAGATGACTTCTAGTTGCTCGACAGAGAGGATGTGATAGTGAAGAATGTATGAAGATCTGAGCTGAGAGATATGTCGGGGTGAGTGTGGGGATGTAGTCGATAGATATAGATCTGCATGCACCCCGCGTGGCAACCCCGGAGGAATCAATTTGGGAGGATCGAGACGGAGGGTAGTCCTCCGCATGCATACAATGACCCGTTGAAGCTTGCCGAGCCTTGGAAACACTATTGCAGCCCATTCTCACCGACATCAGCTGTTCAATACTCAGCGCTCCGTCCACAGATGCTAATTCGTGTATATAACAATAGATTGCGACTGAGCAAAATTGCTTCGATCCTGAAGGATTCGAGAGTCAAGATCGGGACAGAGGGCCGAAATTCCTAAATCTTCGAAGGGCTAGATCGATATCATCCAATGCCCAGAGCTCTGTGTAGACTGAGCGTGACAACCGCCATTAGCTGTATCCTGTTCTACCCCGCAAAGATGCATGGTCCTGCAAGGTCCTCATGCACATCAGGGCAAGCACACTGCTTGTATCACTCTCATTGGTTCCGCGTGACATTGCCAAGTGTGATCAATAACGCAAAGAAAGCAAGCGAGGAACCTAGATCAAGGACGAGGCGCTGTCATATGGAGAAGCGGCCCTGTATGCCTACCTCAGCGGACCAGTGTGCTGATTGTAGAGCCGACTCTTCAATCTGTGCAATTGAGCACCCGGAGAATTTGTACTGATCGGCCGAAGGAGCTCAAAGAACTTCCTACAACATCTTCGAGGGCGTCTCGTGATCAGTTGGATGTTATACTCAGCGAGCTCGAGTCTCGAGTGCTAAGCGGCACCGACATTGAGGCTGGAAACCCCGTTTGACAGCTTCGGCACAGAAGTATGGTTGATCGGTCGCGTCAGTATGCTTGTCACGGGCAGCAATCATTCCATGAAAGACAAATATGTTAGCAAGTGATGCCGGATGTTCTTCGTGTCTTTGGTCTTGCTCTGTTGACATTGGGTGCATTTTTGAGGTTGCCAGTCGGACTCACAAAGTCGGCGCACCTCGTGTCTCACGGGAAAGGCAAGGCTTGGAAAGTGGAAATTCTCCCATAGTCGCGTGATGTGGTGAAACGAGAGTCGACCTGCATACACCGCGAAATTGGTGGATTCGCGTTCGTACAATGAGACGAGTGGTGGCAGGTCGAGTCTCGGAGGAAGGAGGTCCGTTCCTGATTGAGAACCTCGGCTTGAGAAAGGCTGTCGGGGTGATCTAACCGCATTGGGAACGGAGCTCGAAGAGCTCCTCCGTCGAGCTTCCATCCCAATCTGGTTCATTGTCAACATTCAAGAAGTGGGCAGCCAGAAACTACCCGGCTCAAGGTTGTACACTTCTTCTCGGTGACTTTATAAGATGCGAACGTCTGCCGCAGCATCGGCTGTCGCCCGCCCCAACTCTCAGCAGACATGACAAGTACCACGGAAACGTCAGGAGCCCTGCTCGTGCATGAGCTCGAGAAATCATGGGAGTTCAAGCAGACCGACTCACACAACTGGATGCCAGTGAAGTCTGTACCGACCAACGTACATCTCGACCTGATCGCGAATGATGTGTACGTGTAGAAGTACTCCAAATGCGATAACCAAAACTAAGTCCAATGTTCGTAGNNCATCCCAGACCCTTTCCTCGGCTTCAATGAGCTCAAGTGTGAATGGGTGGCCGACAAAAGTTGGACCTACAGGACAAAACTTCCGGAAGTTGGTCCTTCAAGAGATGGCCAGATCCATGAGCTCGTTTTTGATGGTCTCGACACGTTCGCGACGGTCAAGGTCAATGGCAAGGTTGTTCTGGAAAGCGACAATATGTTCATTCCGTATAGGATAGACGTCACCAAGAAACTCAAGGATGGTCATGCTAACATACTAGAGATCGAGTTTCGTTCAGCACTGTTGGAAGGTCGCAAGATCAAGGACGCTCATCCCGAACACAAATGGGTTGGCTTCAATGCAGATATGGCTAGACTTGCTACAAGGAAAGCTCAATACCATTGGTAAGAACTTGATATATTCAGAAACACTGCACACATGCTGACATGGTTTAGGGGCTGGGACTGGGGCCCAGTGCTGATGACTTGCGGTCCGTGGCGAGCAGTCCGTCTGGAGACTTCATACGCTCGTATCTCCGACATGCGAGTGGACTACGACCTCGATGAGTCTTTGGACGATGTCGTCGTCAATGTCTCAGTCGCCACTGAACGCTCTTCCGAAGCCGAGGTCAGGGTTGCAATCCGGTCGGGCAAGGATGTGATCTTCGAGAAGACTGTATCAGTTGATAGCAAAGGACTCGCCAAGGCAGACTTTCACATCGCTCAACCCAAGCTATGGTACCCCCACGGCTATGGCGAACAGTCACTGTATACCTGCGAGGCTGTGCTAGTCTTGAACGGGCATGTCGTGCACTCTTGCAGCCGAATGACTGGAATCCGTCGCGGCGAGTTGATACAGGAGCCAGATGAGATTGGCAAAACATTCTTCTTCAGGATCAATGGCATTGATGTATTCTGTGGCGGCTCTTGCTGGATACCCGCTGACAGTTTCACGCCTCGTATCACGAAAGAAAGGTATAGATCATGGCTGCAAACGCTTGTCGATGGATACCAAGTCATGATAAGGTATGTTTGGTTGAACCATCTATCTGACTCACCAACTAACCTTTGTCTTAGAATCTGGGGCGGCGGTATCTGGGAAGAGGATATCTTCTATGACACCTGCGATGAACTCGGCATCCTCGTCTGGCAAGATTTCATGTTTGGTTGCGGCAACTATCCTGCTGCCATCAAAGAGTTCAGGGAATCCGTTGAGGCCGAGTGCGTTGCGCAAGTCAAGCGCATCCGTCATCATCCATCGATTGTGATTTATGCTGGCAACAACGAAGACTATCAGGTGCAAGAGCAGTGTGGCCTGATATACGACTACGCCGACAAAGACCCCGAGAATTGGTTGAAGACCGACTTTCCTGCAAGGTACATCTATGANAAAGGTACGTGACTGTTTTGGTTGTCTTTCCAGTCACGCCAGCTAACGCTCCTGCAGATGCTACCGGAAGTCATTGCCTCGCACTCGCCTCATGTACCGTATCACCCAGGGTCGCCATGGGGAGACGGCCTCATCTCATCTGATCAGACCGTTGGCGACATGCATCAATGGAATGTATGGCATGGTACTCAAGAAAAGTACCAGATCTTTGATACCCTTGGTGGCCGTTTCAACAGCGAATTTGGCATGGAAGCATTTCCCCATATCGACACCATCAAATATTATGTCACCGATCCAGCTGAGCTCTATCCTCAGTCACACATGATTGACTTCCACAACAAGGCAGACGGACATGAAAGAAGAATCGCAACCTATTTGATCGAGAATTTCCGTACGACAGACACCAGCCTCGAGGCATACATTCATCTCACACAACTCAGCCAGTCAGATGCGCTGATGTATGGCTACCGTGGTTGGCGGCAGCAATGGGGCCAAAAGCGACACTGCGGTGGAGCGCTTGTATGGCAGCTCAATGACTGCTGGCCTGTCACGTCGTGGGCCATCATTGACTATTTCCAGCGTAAAAAGCCAGCTTACTATGCCATGCGAAGGGTGCTGGCTCCTATCGCTGTTGCGGTCAAACGCGCGCATCATGATTGGAGTGTCGTCCATGCCCGACCCGCAAAAACAAGCTCATATGAGTGCTGGGTATCGAGCAATAGCACGCAAGAAGTGACAGCAACCAAAGTGGAGCTCAAGTTCATCTCCATTGCTACTGGCAAGGAGATCAAAGCAGCTTTGGTCAGGAAGAACGTGAAGATCACGGCAAATGGCACTACGAATATTTTCGATGGTGAGTTAAACAACGAGAAGGAAGAACCGCACGTCTTAGCGGCGAGGATCTGGATAGATGGACAGGATGGTGTTGTGTCGCGAGATATCGACTGGCCCCAACCGCTCAAGTACCTGAACATGGAAGGAAGAGGTGTCAAGGCGATCTTCGCTGAGGGTAAGATTACTGTGACATCAGAGAAGCCAACAAAAGGGCTGGTCTTTGAAGAACGAGAAGGGGTTCTTGTGAACGACAGTGCTGTGGACATTGTGCCTGGAGATGAGCAGGTCATCACGGTCAAGGGGTTGAAGCCTGGTGACCCGCCATTGAAATGGCGATACTACGGACAATAGATTCCAGCACCAAGACAGTTATGAACAACGGAACATGTTTGGTACATGATGCTGAGATCAGCATGCTTTTTTTATATATCCTCACATCAAAGTTAGGTGGGGAGTCGACGCCGCACGGCAAGGACGATCAAAGAAAGCTTAATTCTTGCCCTGACCATATAAGAAGGTGCTGTGCCCCAGACTCGATTGTTGCAACTTCCTTGCCAGCATCTATTCGATGCGTAGATTGTCTGCAGTCAAGCACATGTTCGCACCTTCTTGAAAGTGTAGACGCCACTTAGGTCAACAACGATTTACCCCGCTACCATGTTCCATACCTTCCAGGCCGCAAGCACTTCCAGTGAAAACACTACAGACGCGGTTAAGGTGACAAGGCCAACCGGAACAAGGCGAATCACGACAAATAATGCATGCGGTACGTTTGAATCTATAACCAAGGTGCCCGGCAGCCACTGATACAGTGTCNNAGGATCCTGTAGGAGAAGANNAAAGATACGCTGTGATGGCGCCACACCTTGTGGCCAGTGTGAGTAGAGGCTGAATGGTTCCAAAGTTGAGGACGGTTTCTGAGTCTCTACCAGGCGTATACTATCAGGTACGAGGCCTTCTCAGTAAAGAGAGCCGGTTGCTGATGCTGCTTCACAGCAAGCAGATGCTTGCCATTACTCAAAACCACCACCACGCGTTGTACTATCCAAGAAGTGAATCCGGCAACATCCCAAGATATGTACACCCGAGATGCTAACACTATCTAGGATGATGGAGGATCTCTCGGCGTCTGTTGACCAATATCGCTCGGTCTTTGAGCGTCTTTTTCCAGGTAGAAACATCGAACAGCTGGCGAAACTCTCCAAGGAAGATCTCATTAATACCATCGGACTACCACTAACAGAAAGCGATCATCCTACTCAGGTGTCAGGACTGGGTTCTCCGACATCGACCATGGGATCTGAAGGAGCTGAAAGCTTAGAGACACTCATACAGGCCCCAGAGCAAGATCCGGTTGCCGATGAGGCCACACGACATCAGACCAGAGTTCAAGGTATCTCCGACGACGTCAATGGCCTATCATTATCATTGGATAGACCATCCTCGTATGTGGGTGTCTCATCCATCACAGCTGCTCTCAAAGTCATTTGTAGAGTGGCTCCTGCGACACGGAGATTGCTAGCATTGGGTCAGACGGAGACAGCTTTGCCCAGCCGTGCAGACTCGCCTTCCTTCGAGACCACTGGTATCGATATCGGATATCTGCCACCTGCTGAGCTCGGACAAGTCTTGATTGAGACGTACTTCAGCAAAGTGCATCCACTCATGCCTATGCTAGACGAGCAACAGTTCTGGCAGACATGGCTTTATGGAGAACGTAAAGATCATGCTTGGCTGGCCTTACTCAACACAGTGCTGGCTCTAGGGTCTGTTATGTCGTTGGATTGTACCAGCAATGCTCATGAAGCGTATTACCAACGTGCTATGCAACTTCTAGATTTCAACAGCCTTGGCTCTGGTAACACTCTCGTCGTTCAAGCTTTGGGTCTTCTGAGTGGCTANCTAGTAAGTCCGGATGTTAACGCATGACTATTGATACTTTCAACTGACACTTGTAGCCTTCATTATGTTAGCAGGCCAAACTTGGCAAACAATCTTATGGGCGCGACTCTGCGTCAAGCCACTGTACTAGGCTTACACCGAGAATACACGGATTCCGGCCCAAGCAGTGGAGTTGCCACACATAAAGCTATGTCTGCTGATGTTAGAAGGCGGACATGGTGGAGTTTATACGTGCTGGATACCTGGGCGAAGTGAGTTGGATGCTCAATTCAGCCTAGATAATTGCTAATGCAGCATAGCACAACTACAGGAAGACCATCGTTAGGACAACCACATAAAGGCATCACAGTTCAAGTACCCTACGTAAGTCCGNNAGATGCATGTCTCAGCATGCGTACCCGGTACTAACATTTAACAATAAAGGTCAGAGACATCACCAATCCAATGACGGCGAAGTTCTTGCCTCTGATGCATAACGTCGAATTCTGCAAAATCGCTTCTCAGATTCAAGACGCGTTATCTGCTACACCCCTTCTACCCTTCGAGGAGCTCAATAGACTCGACAAAGAGTTGCTGCAATGGCACACTGACTTACCAGCCTCACTGAAACCAAAGACTTTGTCCGCCACCGGCAGTCGTCGGTCGAAACGAACAACAACCACAAACATACTCGAGACCCCTAGCATGATCATGCACTGGAGATATCAGAACCTTCGGCTCTTATTACATAGACCATATCTTTTAGCCACAGCATTACGAAACGGTAATGAGAGCTCACTTTCTGCAGAAGAGAAGGTAGGCATGGGTAGATGTCAAGCAATCGCTGCTCAGACAATCTCAGACATTAGCGATATGTGCCGCGAAGACTTGCTAGAAGGATGGAATGGTGTTTGGTTCATGTGAGTAGATGACTATGCTATTATCAGGGATCTCTTGCTGAGAAAATGAATCTTAGGNTACCAAGCAGTCATGGTCCCTCTTGTGTGCATCTTTGCGTCTTTGGGGAAATCGCAGTTGAGCCAGACAGACAATCGGCCCAACATCGAGGTAACTGGATCTCCCACCGAAAACATTACTGCCGAGGACTCCAGCCTTCACCTCAAAACTAGAATGCAAGAATGGCAGACTCAAGTCGAAAAAGCCCTCCAATTCTTCGAGAAAATGAATCGTTGGTCAGCGGCAGCAAAGAAGTCTCGCGACGTCGTATCACGACTCTACGAGGCCAGCAAATTTCTGGCTAGCGAGGAATACTTACACAATTCTTCGACTCACAGTCACTCCATCAACACACATGCCCTCGATTTTGATGTCAGCAGCCAAGCTCAACAGCCGGTTTCAACCTCAGATCCAACGACGAATGACATATGGGGACTTTCTCCCAACCGAGCAGCAACGCTAAATAATTTCTGGTTTGACGATATGATGTGGGATGTCCCTGTCACCTTGGACACTGATATATTCGAGAACACTGGAAATGGGTTTGAATTGGATTGGTTGGCTGGGTTGAACGATACGCATAGTGGAAGTGATGTGTGGCAATTCCAGCAATGATGACGAGACGATGGGTGAGCAATTATGCTGTGGCACGTATCATCTCTTTGCATTCACACAACTATCTCGGCGATTAGGCTTCTTATCTAAAGTCTCCCTCACAGCATGGTACTCTCCCGTCAAACCTCGTAACTCGTGTATAGCTGCAATAGTGTCTACTGTAAGGCAATTCAAATGACAAGCAACCACCGTACTCTTTCTCTCTATGGTTATAACACATTAAATCTCAATATTTTTTCGCTCCAAGAGCTGAATCTACTTGACATTGCTATCAATCTCATATCTGCCATTGTTCCAATCCGCTTCGTAAGCGTGTTGTGCTGGAGCTTCACTTAGCGGTGGATTGTAGTGCTGTTGAGTCATGGGTGCAGTGGAACCAGAGCCAGAATACGACTCTTGCGATCTAAGTGCCCCCATTTCTTTTTTNNTCAAACTCTTGACTTTGCGCATCATCCAGAGTAAACCGACCAATGCGATTATGCAAGCGACACCGAGGACTGCGCCAACAGCTGCACCGACAACAGTGGTGGTATTGCTTGAATCTGAGTTACTAGAGGAAGTTGCAGTGATGGTTGAAGTGACTGTAGCGGTTGCTTGGGTGGAATTTGCGTCATTGGTTAGTGAGGTGGCAGTGCCGGGAATTGTGTTGTCGATGAAGCGGCCGAGGTAGGAGGTTTGCTCCGAATCGAGGAGGAGGGTGTCGTTGTTGCAGCAGTTTGATCGGTCGGATGCTTCGCGGCAGCACCATCTGTCGAGAGTGCAGGGAAGTACGTTGTAGGCTTTCCAGCCATAAGACTCTTTTTGGTTTGTTAGACAGGTTGAGGAATGCTGGTGTAGTGGGCAGCTACTNNTACTGGCCATGGGACAGGCATAAGGACATGAAATGTCGCTGAAAGTCGAGTCGGTGCAGCCGTTGCCGTAGATATAGCCACTGTAGGAGCCCTGTGTGGCATAGCAAAGTCCTCCTTGGATACATATCTGTCACATGTTTAGTCAATTTGAATCGTCCGTGAGATTGTGCTGGCTTTACATCGGGTTGCCCTTTGTTTGAGGCCTGCGGAAGATATAAGTATGAATGTCATGTCTATTTCAGCAAGGGATACTCACGCAGCATGCGCTCACTGATGCGGTGGTATTACAAGGGACAAAGGAGTCATCAGCGAGGGCTGTGCCTTGGGTGTTGTAGCATCTGTCTTCTGCGCGTGCGATATATAGCAGCGATGAAAGCAAGAAAAGGAAACGCATGCTGAATTGGAACAAGCAGTCGAGCAGGGTGGTGGGAGAAGGGGAAAACAGAAAAAAAGAAGCCTAAGGCGTGGTGGTAGCATGATATGTATGGCAGAGCTGACTGGATCGGGCTGAGCATGTGTTGTTGCTAGAGTGCTCAGCCTCTAGCTGCAGTACGACCATCTCGCTTGTTCTAAAAGCGGTGGGGATTGGCCATGCCATTCTCAAGAAGGATGCAGATGGTAGTGATCTGTCCAATGAGACATTTCTGCGAGCAGTGGCTGTGCTTGGCGGACAGCTCAGAATCCTACGACAATGATGGATATTGATGGATTGGAGCCATGGATGCTCGGTATTAATGAGAGGAAGTTTGGCAGAGAAGGAAGCGACCGAAAGGGGATGATGCACGAGTTGGCGGTTCTCAACCACGGCGTTGAGAACGTGATATATGAGTATGTACAAGACCAGGCTAAAGTTGCCAGATCTGAGATGGCCATGGAGCGTCGCATCATCTCAAGAAGGTAACGACTTTATTTGCGGTCGTCGAGCTCGTTGACCAAGTCCCTCCTAGTAGCCAACATGATGGACGAGAGATTACAGGCAGATATACAGGAGGTCGATCCTGCCGTCGCCTTCCCAGCTAACCCGCAGCACGTGCACTCGACATGGGCCCGCACCTTCCACTCGCGACCGGAGCTGTACATCCAACCAGAGACGACTGAGGAGATCCAGAAGACCATCAAGCTCGCCCGCCGAAGCAGGAGGCGTATTGTTGTCGTCGGCTGCGGCCACTCGCCCAGCGACATCACCTGCACTTCGTCATGGATGGTCAACCTCGACAAGTACAACCGTGTGCTCAATGTCGACCGCGACCGCAAACGCCTCACTGTCCAGGGTGGCATCCGTCTGCGCGACCTCAACTTGGCCGCCAACACCCACGGCCTCACCATGCCCAACCTCGGCAGTATCCACGACCAGTCCATTGTTGGCGCCATCTCGACCGCCACCCACGGCAGCACCCTCAAGCACGGTCTCATGTCCGACTCGGTCAAGTCCATCCGAATTGCCCTTTCCGACGGCTCCATCGCGTCCTGCTCGCCCGACGAGAACCAAGATCTGTTCCGTGCCGCCCTCACATCCCTCGGTGCTCTCGGCATCATTACTGAAGTCGAGTTTGAGATGACGGATGCTACAAACATCGAATGGGAACAAACCTTGAAGCCCCTTGACTGGGTCCTTTCGCGTTGGGACAAGGACCTGTGGACAAACAAGGAATTCACCCGTGTATGGTGGTTGCCCTACATGAAGAGAGCTATCGTCTGGTCTGCCTCCAAGACGGACAACCCAGAAAGACCCCCAGTATCAAGCTGGTATGGAGGTTCCGTCGGCTTCCACACCTACCATGTTCTTCTCTGGATCTCAAACTACGTCCCTCGCATTCTTCCCGCCATCGAGTGGTTTGTCTTTGGCATGCAGTATGGCTTCTCTGATCATGCCGTTACTAGCGGTATCGAGCCCCAGCGAACCGGTCTGCTCATGAACTGTCTATACTCTCAATTCGTCAACGAGTGGGCCTTGCCTCTCGAGAAGGGCCCTGAGGCCATTACTCGCATGTCTGCATGGATCAACGGTGAGGAAGGTTCTGGAATCCCCTTCAGCAACAAGGGCTTGTATGTTCACGCCCCCATCGAAGTCCGCGTTTCCGACACCTCTCGCGTCCAGCCCAGACCTTGGATGGACAACACTAACCCCAACGGCCCCACTCTTTATCTCAATGCCACACTCTACCGGCCCTTCTTGAAGGACCCTCCATGCCACGAGCGTTACTACGAGGCCTTCGAATATCTTATGAAGGAACTCGGAGGCAAGCCGCACTGGGCAAAGAACTTTTCTACCGTCACTAACGACGACCTGCAAAACATGTTCGGCGACAACCTGAAATCCTTCCTACGCGTACGCAACGAGGCCGATCCTGATGGTGTCTTCCTCGGCGCATGGCACCGCCGCTACCTGTTGCCTGCTGATACCCCTCGCTTCGCTTGCGAGGAGAAGGAGTTGGCAAGAACACAGGCTTCCGATGGTGGCAAGAACTGGTTCGGCGATTTGACAAGCCACCCGAGAACTGCAGATGAGAAGACTGCTCTGCTCTCGACGGATCAAGTTCCCGACCATGATGGTTCCGAGGATGCACGTCGCTTCAGAGAGACTACTGCCGAGAGTCTATTTGGCACCAAAGTGTTTGATAAGATGTGATTAAGATGTAAATGATCATGTATGCTGTTATGCCACTTGAATGTTTCGACTCTCAGTTTTCTGAACTCAACGTATCGAGAATCAAAAGTTCGCAGCCATCAACTCAAGTTCATTGTTAATAGATGCTCATCAACATCTCAACAAGGCTAAGGCTATCTTGTAGTTTGAAGAATCTTCCGCTACCTCCTGGATTTGTGATGTCCGCGCTTCATTGCACCTTCCGTCAAAGTGCGGGTCCAAACACGCGACGTCCGGCTATTTTCATCATCATCATCATCATCGTAACTTCCTTCACGTACAGATCTAGGCAGCTTTGGCTCTCTCTATCGCTTGTGGACCTTCTCTAGCATGGGATAGAATTACAATTCTTCGAGCATCTACCCACCTAAATCCTTTTTTCGTGCATTTCAACATCTGAGCGCAACATCCCTTTTCAACGACGTACTACAGTCATCTAGCCCTACATGCGAAAGATCGATGCCTAGTTCTTCCGAATAAGTCTTTGCCGCTCATAATTGCTTCATTCAGCCTTCAGATCGCATCTCTCGCCTCATCCACTTTTCATCCCCTTGTACCTTGCATTCCCTGAGCTTCGCATTTAGGATTCCCCGTCCTCAGAATCATCGCTTCGACCATAGCAGGTCCCACGTCAGCTGGTATGGCGCAAGCGATCCCTGCGACTGCCCTCGCCGACGCTGGACTTGCTTCGGACGAGCAACGTGCCCAAGAACTCGATAAATACTACGCACCAAGCCACAAATCAGCGCTGCGATTGACGGAACGAGACTCGGCTCTACCTGCTTTCATGCAACTTCTATGCTGGCGCCTAGGCATACGACGGGCACTGGTGGGCCTCATTGACCGCGACACTCAATACTACGTTGCCGAGTCTACAAGAACCATGGATCTTCACAAATCTGACGACTACGTTGATGAGGACGATGGTCCGTTGGCTCTCGTAGGTACAGTATCAAGACCATCTTGGCAGCACGCTGACGTGCTGCTTGCAAGNAATGAGAGCCGTCCCAAGACGGGAATCCTATGTGCTGAAACCATCCGAGCCGTGACTGAGTCTGACGAGGAGCCTGCTTACTTCGAAGTTTGCGACCTCGCTGCTGATTCCCGATTCGCCCAGCTCAACGTTGTCCAGGACCTCAAGCTTGCTTACTACTGTGGAGTTCCCATAAAGACGCACAACAAGATAGTGATCGGCACTGTCTTTGTTCTGGATGACAAAGTTCGGGAACCTCTTTCCATGCAGCATATANNCACTGTGAGTGAGCTTAAGTGATTTTGAAACCGGTCATCACACACTCTTCCACTTGCCTTCATACCTACTCCACACAAAATTGCCCACGAAGGGCACCTGAATTCCTCACCAGAGATGTATCTTTTTAGTCTTGCATGCATCTCACTGATTCAATCAGTCCTCACATCAATCGCCGACAACGTCATGGTCCACCTGGAAAATCGCAAACAACGAATGGATGTTGACAGGATCATGAAGATGAACAAGTCTCTTGCCTCGTTCATGGATTCTCACCAAGACGAGAGAACTCGAACCACACCAGACAAAGACTCTCCAGGACTTGACGAGCTAGACGATACATGCGGTAGCACAGACAAATCTTCGGAGGACGAGCTTCCCCTGGGTAATAGTGGAAGAGAGTACGACCAGGTCTTCAGCCGCGCCTCTTTCCTACTGAAACAATCTTTGGCCTTACATAAGCTTGGTGGTGGTGTCATCTTTCTGGATACGGCACCAAAGTCTTCGGGTAGAAGCAGCTCAGCTCATCGTCCAAACCGGCGCCAGAGTGGACCGAAACGCGATTCTTCCAGACTTGCCGCTGATACTGCCCGGTTGTCACGCACTCCCTCAGATGAAGACGGGAATGTAGACGATAGTCACGGAGCTTTTGCTGCCATTCTCGCTTGCAACATCTGTGTTGCGTCTTTTGGCCGGCATGACCAGGCATGCCATTTGGATCAGAAAACGCCTGCAAACATACCTATCAGAACTCTTTCGAAGTTCATCAAGAAGGTTCCCGTAGGACAGATCTATTATTTCCCAGAGTTGCGTGACCCTCACACTGGCGAGATGGTCAGGACAAAGTGTGGAAATCCGCAGCATCAGGGCAATGTAGATGAGACCGACGTGAGATCTCTTTTCTCCCACCTCCCCGGAGCCGTTGAAATTATCTTGGTACCTCTGTGGAACACCCATCTCGGTAGATGGTCCGTTTGTCTCGTCTATACGCTATCAAGCGAACGAAACTTTACAGTCGAGATTAACTATTTCTTCTGTCGAGCATTCTGCAACTGTGTCAAGGCTGAGATTGACCGAGCTGCTGTTGTGATATCTGATCAACAGAAAGGTGACTTCATCGGGTCGGTCAGTCACGAACTAAGATCACCGCTCCATGGTATTTTGGCCTCCTGCGAGCTCATCCAGGAAACCGAAATGACGCCTTTCCAAACGTCGCTTGTTGACACGACAGAGAGTTGCGCGCACACTCTTCTCGACACCATTCAGATGGTCCTTGACTTCAGCAAGGTGAACGCCTTCACAAAGGACCAGCCTGGCGAGAAGCTGAACGTCAGACCACATATCGTCAAAGGGGGAGTCGAACCACTGCTCAGCACATATTCTCATGTCAATCTGGCTGCTATCGCGGAAGAAGTCATTGAAGGTGTGACGACGGGCTTCCTTGCCAAAAGCGATCCCAGTATGGAGCTAGGGTTCCCTGGAGAGAGAGCAAAACGTGATGCCAAAACATTCGAAGACTTGCTTGCCATGCCTCAATCGCCTGTGGAAGTTATTCTCGACGTTAGCCCTCCACAAGACTGGACTTTCATCACCCAACCTGGATCATACCGACGTATCATAATGAACATCTTTGGCAACAGTCTGGTGAGTGCAGCCAACTCTATCGATGCAACAGAAACATGAAGCCAATGCTGACAAACTTATTCTCGTAGAAATACACTGTAAGCTCAACACTATTTGCCAGACTCCAAGTTGTGGGCAGCGCTAATATAGATACAGGAACACGGTTACATCAAGGTTTCTCTCAAATGCGAAGAGATGACCACAAAAGAATCGGATCCTTTGATGGCCATGGTTGAGCTGATGGTTAAGGACACAGGCAAAGGGATATCGCAAGGGTACATGGACACCAAGATGTTCACGTCCTTCGCTCAAGAGAATCCTTTGGCTCCCGGAACTGGCCTAGGACTCTCACTGGTCAGGTCTCTGGTTCAGATGATGAACGGAGAGATTACAGTTCAATCCGAAGTCAATTCCGGTACACAAGTTACAGTGAGAATCCCAATGAGACGTGCCAGCTCAAACGATCACCATGATGGATTTCACAGACCAAACGAAGACGACATTCAAACTCTGCGTACAATCTTTCCTCGGCCTCAGATTGTGAATTTCCAACAAGACGTGCTACCCAACGACACGTCTCAGAAACGTGAAGGTTATCAGATGCAGAAACATGCACTCGCTGCTTGTATCAATGGCTGGTACAAAGTCGAAGCTCTTCATGACTGGGACCTGAAAATGAGGCCTGATATCATTCTTGTGGACGATGTTCATCTCCTCGGCATCAAGGAACATTTGAAACTTTTGGAAGAGTTCAATGCTGTCGTTGTTGTCCTCTGTTCGGACCGATCCAGAACAGCAGCGATCTCGAGAAACGTCAAATACTCCAAATTGCATGTCATGCCAAAACCATTCGGACCTTTTAAGCTCGCGAAAGCACTCAAGCATGCCCTGGACAAGCGAGGTCCCGTTGGTGGAAAAACATGCGTCACACCTATATCCAAGGAGGTCGGACCTGTTCCTGAGCTCAAGCAGCTGAGCCCGACCCTAAGACGAATCCCTTCCAGTTCGCAGGATCTGTCAAAAAGAGCGCGGAAGCCGTCATTAAAAGGAAGCTTTCCCTTCCCGTCAATGGTCGTCACACCAGCTCCCAAATCACCCACACCGTCGATACCAGGAATCACGCCTCAGATCGAAGTACCAGGAACCTACAATAAGCGGCTGAAGACTTTGGACGTACCTTTGTCAGAACAACAACCTCTCGAGAAGCACAATGTACTCGTACGCAGTCACAGTGAAGGTCATCTGCAGCATATACAACTCAAACGTGTCAAGCCCAAGATATTGCTCGTCGATGACAACGAGGTCAACCTCAAACTCTTGCAGACATTCTTTGTTCGCCGCGGCTTCACGGACATGAGGCTGGCTCGAGACGGCGAGGAATCAGTGAGGCTCTATGAAGATGCATTGCAGCAGCAAAATCCTTTCCACCTGGTCTTCATGGACATCAGTATGCCGGTATGATTTGACACCTCAACCCGTCTGACAAGCTTGGCCGCTAAATTCAAGACTAGNGTCATGGATGGTTTCAAAGCCACGAAACTCATACGGCAAAAGGAGATTTCGGTATCGGCACACTCGACCGAACCATACCACAGTCTGATTGTTGCTTTGACAGGCAATGCCAGCGCAGAAGACCAGACTGACGCTTTCACAAATGGCATGGATATGTACATGACGAAACCCGTCTCGCTCAAAGACGTTGGAGAGTTGATGAAGGCTTGGGAGGACAAGACGGCGGTATATGGAGCGGCGGGTGCAAGAGCTGCCCTTCTCGAAGGCAATGCAAGTGTTGATCAAGGTTAAGATGCATATTCTTGGATTACACGCTTCGCACAGAGACGACATGAGTATTCTTTCTTGACTTTTCAAATGTCATGTTCTCCTTTCTTCCCCAACTCCCCTGTCATTTCTAGCTCTCAAGACAATCGTGATACACAGAGTATTTTTGATGTTTTGGATCTCTCCATTACCCTTTTGGTAAGCTACATATTTCTTTTTCTCCCTCTGTTCAAATACGCCACATTGTCCTTGTCCCTTCCGATTCATCATACATCATTTTTTCCCTTCAGCACAAGACAATCAGATTCTGTTTGACAGAGAAAAGGTGAGTTTTGAGAGTTTTGATATTTGTTGATATGGGTGTGTCTACTAGACAGCTACAATGTGTATATATCTTCTCACACACAACAAAACTTAGCAAGAGAAGAAGAATATCCCGGAAAACAGAGCCTCTCGGAATTTCATACATGGTCCACGATCATTGCAATGTCCTCCACTCTTCCATTTGGCCTCTTGCTCATGGCATCTCGCAGCAACAACATCTTTGCTGTTCACATGGTGGACGAATGACTCACACTCCTCCCCTTGGCAAACCAACCCCATCCGCCAGCCTTGCCTCCCCCCACCCCACTGGCAACCGGCGCCAACATCTCGGGCGACCCGCCAGGACTGGGTCCCAACATTGAACTCGGTGTGTCAGGTCTCTGCACCAACATCTTCATTCTCTCCATTTCGTTTTCGTGCGCTTCCATCTGTGCAATCATCATGTGCTCCATGGCATCTATTTTGGCTTGCATTTCCTCTTTATGCTGCTCCATCTGTCGTCGCATTTTGTCGAGTGAGATTTGCAAGAGTTCGTTTTCGTGTATTGCGGTTGCTTCGCGGGTTTTTGCGGCTACGAGTTCAACGAGGAGGGTTTCGTCTGAGGGGGGTGCGTGCGAAGGTGTAGAGAGGATGTTTTGGGATGACAGTGAGGACTTGCGTTTAGGGATTGTTGTTGTACTAGTGGTGGGAGTGATGGAGCCAGAGTCTTCTCGTGCAGTATCTGCCTCGTCGGGTTTCCTGGCTTTGAAGCCGAATTTCTGCGGTTTGGCGAGGATTTCCGTTCCGTCTTGGGATCTGATCATGCGGAGGGGAGGACCAGGGCGATGTTGTTGGGTGGCGGAGCGAGGAGAGGGAAGGGGTTGGTGTGGTCGTACACGAGGGACGGAGATTGTGATGTCCGGGAATGAATTCGAGAGGTCGCGAGAAGCCTTCTTCTCATGGCGACGATAGAGAGAGCGGCGGACTCTGATTGATTCGGAGGGAGTTTCGCCCGCCTTGAGGGACAGTCGGGCGTCCTTGAGATCTGATGTCCTCTTCATGTGACGGTGTGTGCGGTCCTTGGCGACTCGCTGGCGCAACTTGACAAGTTCGTTCTCCAGCTTGACAGTGTACTCACTGGGGAGCGGCGCTTGCGATGGTAATGTCTCGCCATTCTCGGATCCACTGTCGGAGTCAAGTGATGTTTCGGCATCGAAAAGAGCACAGAGCTTCAGCAGGGAAGAATGAAGACCGGCATCCCTGTCTTCGCCAGGAGCGTTGCCGGCAATGATGCTGTGCGTTACTGATCTGACAAAGTTGGATTGTCTTTTCAGTGCCGTCACCTCTTCTCGGGTCTTCTCGTGGTCAATTCTGGAGGGTAGAGTCGTGCGACGCTGTCTGCGATATGCGTCTACTGTCTTCTTCTCACTGAACAGTTCAAGCAAGTCGGCGACAATCTCTTGGGCTCTTGTTTTTCTGGCCTCCTCTCGTTGAAGATTTGCTGCAGTCTGGGCTGCTTCGCGTTGCACTTCACTAAGTGCAAGCAATAGGCCCTCGACTTGTTCGTGCAAGTTTCTGTCTTGGGAGATGAAGGATCTGTGAGGCTTTGTTGGAGTAGCACTGTCTCTCTCAAGGTCATCAACCTCGGTAGGAGCAGTGCTGGCGTAGCTGTCGGTGCTGATCATGCTAGCTCCACTACCAGAGATGGAGTTGAGAGTAGAAAGCGACTGTCCGGATGCTTTGCGACGAAGAGGGGCAGCAGGCGAAAGAGAGTCGCTCTTTGATCCAGACCAGAAGTCAAACAGTCTAAAGGCATTTCCGTAGGTGCTGGTGAAGCCTAGAGCGCGGACAGTCCTATCTGCCGAGCCTCTTTCTGCCTGTTTGAGGAATTGCTTGCCGAGCTTGTCGAGGGCATCCCGAGTGACAACTTGCTTGAAGAGAGTGGTGACTTCTTCGATTAGTTGGTCCGGGTTGTTCTCGTATGGCTCCCAAATTTCGCGAGAAAGAAGCAGCTGCAATACGTCCTCCAACTCTGCCATGGCCAGTAGCTTTTGCTCATTCTTGAGGACCAGAGCCAAGGCGACACGCATGACAGTCTCATCCGCGCCCTCGGCAAGGACAACATCATAGATGCGGAAAAGAGTATCCAGAGGACATGTGGTAGCAAAGATGGTCATGAACCACTGTGAAAGATATGCAAACTCGACACCCAAGTTCTTGAAATGGGTGACAAGCTTGGGAGCTAATGGGGTAAGTAGCTGTTGAAACTGGAATATACGTGAGTGGAGACCAGTCAAGGAATGTGAGTAGGAGTCGCGGAGTCCGTGGGTTTCCATGAGCCTGACAAAGACGCAGAAGGCATCTCTAGCGTCCATCTTCATGAGCAAGATGCCAACAATGAAGCCCATTCCCTGGCAGTAGCCAATCTCCGGGTCGTATAAGTTGTAGCACTTCAGGACCTGGCCGAGCATGTTCTGACCCTCACCGCCAGCCTGGGCGAAGAGAGGGTGGTTGGGGAAGCAGCGGCCAATGTCCTTGTCAATGATAGTGTCCGATGTGGGTGGTTCGCTCTCGATTTGTGCCAGCAGACGGTCGAATTCCGAGTAGAGTCGTTCTTCACGGGCGCCGGCAATGCCTCCCCACACGACAGGCCTCAGGAAGTCGGGGACTCCTTTGTGTATCATGATTGGGGTCATGGTGGGCATGGATAATAGAGCCTCTTGGTAGTCACGGACGACAAAGGCCCAGAAGTCACCCAGACTCATGCCGAGGGCCTCCTTGGGGATGTGTAGGCTGAGTAGCGATGCGCCGCCAATCGAAGCAGTGCGGCCGGGGCTGGGGACGGTCACGGTGGCGATGCCGGCCTTGGGGTCGGTAGCGAGGGCGTCGTTTTCCATTTCGAGACGGGCGAGGAGAGCGGCCATGTGNNCTGTGCTTGGGTGAGTGTTTGTTTTAATGGATTGCTGACAGGGTCATGTCATCAGGCGTACCTCGTCATCGTCATGTCCGCCATGTCGAGGGGTGGACTCGTCTAGAGGAGAGCTGAGTACCGAGTCTGTGAGGGGTACGCTGACCAGCGAGTCTGTGTGTGCGTGGTGGGAGGGAGCAAAGTCGGGCGAGAAGGGCGTCTCGAGACGTGTTTCGAGGGCAGCCATTGTTGGCGGGCCGTCTACTGTCGATGTTCTAAGGGGTACTATGTCGTGTGTCGTGTATAAAATGCAATCGAGGGTGACCAGCAATCCCTATGTTCGTCTATAACATGTCGCTCTGGCTAGAGAGCAGACTGTTGGAGCAGTAGCAGTAAATAAGGAAGGGACGCGTCGAGTCGAGTCGAGCACAGTCAAAGGAATGAGACTGGTAAAGGATGTCGTCGCTGTCAACCAAACGAGATCGTTTTCTGCACACGCAGCTTCAGGAGCACACGTCGGCCTGCGATTCGAGTAACCAAGTAGCAACCTCGAAAATCTATCAACGGCCGAGTCTGAGGCAGCCAAAGGCAACTCGCTGTATGAAACGGCCATAGGAGCCCCCTGATTGCATTTCCGCGCTAACCGAACTTTCTTCCTGCAAGCACACGCGCCCTGAGTCAAGCTAATTTCATCTCCTCTCTATTCTGCTTGTTCCACCCATCTTCCATTGCTTCTCTAGCCATCCGCTCAGCAACATACCATCCGACGTGTCCTGCTGTGCCACTGAAAGTCACTCTACATCTCAGGAGGTCAACTTTGCTCCTCCTGCGAGACAGAACCAGTACACCTCCTTCCCCGCGTTGTCATGGCAAGTATCTCTTTACATTTCCACAACGTTACAACCTCTCCATAACCGTCGTCTACCGTGTGTCTGTCTATCCTCATCAATCGCTGCCGTCAGTTGTGTGTGTGTGAAAGACAGTACTCGAGTATTCCGCCCACGAGGTCATCTTCTCATCATAAAGCGGCACAAGTCTAATCACCTCTTCATATATTTGAAAACGCCATTCATACCATGTTTTTGCAACCGCGTCATGTCAAATTTGGAATGAGATTTGATTGTGATCGCTTCGCCACAAATTCTAGAAGTCTCGAGTTCTTGCAAGACTGAAGATTGGTAGGAGTCGCGACTCGTTTCCTACACACGAGTCGTTGCATGCCCGACCATCTACATGAACTCTACACGCCATCAATACACCGCTGACTTTTTGCTACTTCTCCTTTGCATAAACGGTCGACAGATACAAGCCTCCCGACGGCTCAAACAAGCAGCGGGTAGTGATAGGGGCAATAGTTCTAGAGTATCCTGTGATTGCCCTAAGACATGGGTGCATGTCGAACCGCCCAACAGGAGCATCTGTACCAGCTTTCCAGTTTCGAGGTCTACAAGACAAAAGAGCATTGTTTGTAGCCGCGCGGTTGTGCAGTCAGTCTTGTGTGCATCCAGGCGGCTATTTTGCTTGCCTGGAAGATAGACTCGAGAGTTGGTCCGTGCATGCTGTTGCGTCGATGAGCTTCGACTCTACTTGTCCCTTCTTCGTCTTCGTCTTCAAGGATTTGCATCTTCCATGGGTTGGTTCCATGAGCCATGCTCAATACACTTGTTGAAGCTACATTTTTGTGTGACTTACTGAGGTATACGTGTGTCTTGTTCACTGTGCCTTGGTACTGATAGAGAAGTATCTCCGAGATGGAGCAATCATTCAATCATCATCGTCTCGTTCATGTTCCTTGCCAATAACAAGATGTAGTGCATTCGTTACTAGCCCGACGGTATGCTTCAGCGCTGTTGGCTACACGTTCGTGCTCATCCGGCTCAGTTGCCCACTTCCGCCATTGCCTAACCTTTGACTGTGGTTTCAGTCCTACGATGAAGAGGTTTCCGGCTTCGTCGTGCGCAGGAGCTCGAGGACCGCTATTGAGTGGCTACGAGGACAACGTCACAGAGACCGAGCTCAGTGGAGGTAAAAGCATCAGCAAGAGCTGTGGACGATCCGGTCGAGTTCTTGACTCCTTGCAAGAGGAAGAAGTGCGCGGATTCAAACGTCTCGGATACTCGGTGGAAGGACAGTTCCAGTGGAGGAGGTTGTGAAGCTGAAGGATGTGATGGCTCAGAAAGACGGACTCTCATCGACAGCCATATTCTTGTGATGCGAGCAGAAGTGATTTTCGGACTTCGAGCTCGGAAGGGACTATGGAAAGCCGGAGAGCAGCCATGATAGCTGCTCAAGCCATCGAACGTGGTCTGCGCCTTGGGCCAGACCTGTGGCTGAGTGTGACAATTATGGTCGCAGTCCGACTGACATGATGGTGTGGACTGAAAACTGGCGATGGCTTGAACAGTCGGTGTCGTGTGTCAAGCGCCAATTATTGGATCCAGACGAGCTGACGGTTGTGGCTTGAATGGCTGCAGATCCTTGTATCCCTGGGAACCGTCATCAGTCCGACCATTGGCACCCGTGGAATGTGCAGATCAAATCTCAAAACCCCAACTGCCCATCTCTTTGTACCTCTGCAAACAAGACCAGCAGCATCGCATCCACCAGCGGCAGCGCTTCACTTCATATACTTCATCACAGAGGCTTTCAGGCACGAACGATCTCCAGACCCTTGTGGGCCCAAACAGCATCGACCTTGGACGTCTTCCCGCGCCTTGGCACCGCCTAGCGCAAGAGCGAGCTCACCGACGTCATCTGCGAGCACCATTTCGCTGCCGAACCTTGTTCAGCTCTCAGACAAGGCCAAAGCAAAAAAGCTGCTGTGCACGTCACAAACGACCAACGCTTCGCGCGACTCTTTAAACCACCCTGTGACCTGCCCTGTTAAACCATCTTCCTTCTAGACATAGCATCCCCACCACCTACCCACCACCGCCCTAGGCCACGCATTAATTAATCACATATCGACCTCCGACACATCAACACAATGGCTGTAGCGCGTATGTCTCTTCACTTAACATCAGAATCTCTTCAAAAGCTGACATACCTCGCAGGACCTGTCTTGGGATTGATTTCCCTCATTCTCTTGGGCGCCGGACTGCTCTTCCAATTCTTTGTCATTCTGTCCGGCGTGTCAAACACTACACCTCTCAACAAGACCTACTTCATTCAGGTCGACACCACAGGCACTTCGGCTCCTCGCAATCCCTCTCGCTGGACCTTCTTCTACATTTGCGAAGCCATCAACGGCCGCAACGGAAACTGCGGTTCTCCCGTCCCTGCTCTGCCTTTCGACCCCCCAAGAAACTTTGGCAGCACCCAGGGCGTTCCTGAGTCCTTTATTGGAACCCACCACTACTACTACCTCTCCCGTTTCATGTTTGCTTTCTACCTGATCGCTCTCTTCTTCGCTGCCATCGCCTTCTTCACCGGAATCCTTGCTCTCTGCACTCGTCTTGGCTCTTACCTCTCCGGCCTCACCGTCGCCGTCGCTGCTTTCTTCCAGGCCCTCGCAGCCGCTCTCATGACGTAAGTTGTCAATCACGACCTAGCTCGATTTTGTTCAGAAAACTAACATCCTGCTCAGNNCGCATGCTTCGTCCAAGGCCGCAACGCCTTCCGTCGCAACGGACAGAATGCTACCCTTGGCCGCTACGGCTTCGGCTGGACCTGGGCTGCCTTTGCCGCCTACTTCCTCGCCATGATCCTCTTCTGCGTCGGCGGTGCCGTTTCCAAGTCAAGCAGCACCACTCCCCGCAAGGGCGGCATGTTCGGTCGCAAGGCTAGCACCCGCTCGCGCGGCAGCTTCATCGACTCGGAGAGCCAGAGACGCGTCAAGGAAGAGTACGAGTAAACAGGATACCCTACTCCAAGAAACACATTGTTTTGTTTTACGAGTTTCCTTTTCTTTCTCAATGCTCATGATATCCCCCTCCACAAGACTATCATTCTTTGTGGATGTTGGTGTATGATTACACCGACCCTTTTTCGTAATGTTGTCTCTGGTTTTCGATGGCTGTATCATTACTATTCCCCCGAATTCCCTTGATTCTTGTTTTTAATGTCCTTTTATGCGAGCAATGAGCAAACACAATACCTAATGTCTTTTTTTCTCCAAACTTTTGGTGTAATACATCCATCTGCTCTCTTGCATTGTCATTTCTTCTCTCCATTTCTTGATATACATATCTTTGAATCCGGAAAGCATTTTTGACCACGACCACTCATTTTCTGTGTAAACACTGCTCACTTTGGCTTTTTTTATGTTGTTGGTTGTTGTTGTTGTTGAAAAATACTTTTACGGCCCGTTGCATAATATGCACATTCGTTTTTCTCTCTGCATCGTCGAAGTGTGCAGCGGGTGGTATAGCTGCCCTAGCAACTGTAGATACCAAGATGGCCTGTGCTTAGTGTGGGAGTCCAGATGACAGGGTTGTACCAGAAACAATGCTCTGTGTCCCTACTCCCATCATTTTTACCCTCTACTACACTTCTAACACTAGTATTTGTACTCCTTGTTACTATTTACGTGCCTTACAGGCACCTGAGCCAGGCACAAGTCCATCACATATGTGGTTGTTGAGATATCATCATCGTGGATGATCATTTGTCGGCTTCCCTAAATGTACACAGCGAACCATGTTTTTCCGAGGTCGATCATCTCACGATACGTGGATCTCACTCTTCAGGCTCATCAAAACTTCAAGAGCAGATACTCAAAGTGGTTTAGATCCATCTCTATGAATCTACACCTCTAGGAGATACGCAGTGGTACGTGATTGACGTGAGATCGAGCAGTGCAAACAATCTTGTCAGAGCCTTGACAACTGTGAGTTATATACGATATTATGAAGGCTCAACCAATAACATCCGGTGTGGTCTAACGGCTAGGATTTCTCGCTTTCACCGAGGAGGTCGGGGTTCGATTCCCCGCACCGGAACTTCTTCTTTGCTTCACTGTCTCCCTTTTTTTTTTTTGCATCGTCAGAAGCTTCCTTCCTTTGTATTGATTTCCACTGTGACACCATGTACACTGTCTACAATGATCTTACGATGAGCCGCATCTCAGTCTTCGATAGCATGGCCGAGCTTTTCAGCGGCTGCGATAAGTGTAACAGAGCTCGCGGCGATAAAAGGCAAAGAGGCAAGTACAAAGAAGAGATCAGGTAATCAACAGCTTTTCGTCCTCTTGAGAATACGTAGGTATCAATCTGTCAACTCGACAGAGATAGGAGTAAAGTCCTTCATGTCCTCCCGATGCAAAACTCCTGTCCAAGAAACAATAGACCTTCCAACGCCTTGCTACTCATGCCAATGCGGTAATGCTATCATAATATCGGACCCCATTTCTCCATGATCAAAGTCCCGAAACCTTGTAACTTCCTCCAATGTCACCCCTTTCTGCATCGGCAGACGCTTGGTAACGATCACCCTGGTGAGTGTTGCCAAAACTGGAGCTGCGACGTGTTCGCTCATGATGTTGGGTGCCGCTGATGCTCGAACTGCGACGTCTCTTCTCGTCATAAACATGGTCGGGAGCGCGGTGGGCATCTCGAGGCACATTTAGACTATCACGAGTACGGTCAGAATCGGCACCATCATGTGTAGTTCCAGACAAGGTACCGTCATAGCCGCGTGAACCGGTAGGGTTGCCTTCACTTGCAGAAGAAACCTGCTTGATGGGAGGAAGGGCGGGAGCGGGACCGGAGGGATGAGTGTTGCCGTAGCCAGTGTTGCCATAGTTTGCAGGAGCACGAGGAGCAGCTGCAGCTTGGCGAACATCTTGTGAGTGATAGATGCCGCGGCCGTCAGCAATGTACTCACTACGTCCGATTGCCACGTTGGGTCTGGCTACATCTGCCGCAGTAGTTGCCGTGTCCTCATCGACCTGGAAAACCTCGGCTTCTTTGTCGTTGAAGTCCTGTCCAGGGTTGGCCGTCTCGTATTCCAGAGTTTTGATAAATTTGTAGAATCCGACAGCCAGGATGGATCCGAGGAAGGGACCAAGCCTAGAATGTTTGTCAGTACTCAGTTTTCATCAGAGATTGCAATTCTAATCACCAGTATATCCAGTCTGCATGGCAAAAGAAAGTTAGTATTGGTCCATGAAAGAAGAAGACGAAAAAAAAAGATAGAAAAGGAAAGAACGAAAAATACGAAAATAACCCGAAAAGCGCGAGAAAAGTTCAGAATCTCCACTTACGATAGCCTGGAAAGACGCCCAGAACAACACAAGGTCCGAAGGAGCGGGCGGGGTTGAGACTGCCACCAGTAAAGAAGACACCGGTGAGTTCGGCGATGAAAAGCGCCAATCCGATGCCGATGGGAGCAAGGAAAGTTCCCTTGTGCTTCTCAGCAGCCAGCATGAGAATGGTGAAGACGAGCATGGCGGTCAGGAACATCTCGATGAACAAGCCTCTGACGATTGAAGTGCCACCTCCGAGAGTTGTCGATACGTTCATGGCGGAAGGGAAGAGGCACGAGACGATTCCGGCAGCAGCAATGCCGCCCAGGATCTGGCCAATGAAGACGAGCAGACCACGGACCCATTTGCAAGCACCGATGAGACAGAGGGCAAGAGTAACCTGTGAAGGATATTAGGATGTTGCGGGAGATGTGTGGACATGTGGTCGACTCACTGCTGGGTTGAAGAGGCCGCCAGTGATGCGGAAGAAGACCCAGGCATTGACAGCAAGCGAGAAGCCAAAGGCCAGTGCGATGTACAACAGGGCAGATGTGTTGGGGGCTTGGGTGATAGAGCCATCCTCATTGCTCGACGATGCATTGCTGGTAGCGGCATTGGCGACTTGAGTAGCACTGAAGGCGAAGAACAGGAAGAGGAAAGTTCCGACGAACTCGCCGACGACGGCAATGAATTGGTTGCGGACCTTGTTAGGGAGCCAACCAAAGCCAGCGAGGCGGTGTTCATGCTGAGAATTGCTTTCGCGGTGCTTCATGAAAGGGAGGGTAAGGCCTCTGCCTGGACGGTCGAGATTCATGGTGGATTATGAGATGTAGGGTCGAGGTTGGTGTAGAAGAGATGCGGTAGTGGTGGTGGTCTGAGGATGTTTGCTGCAGGAAGCAATTGTGCGACGCAGGCACTAAATAAGTTTGAGGTAGGACAAGCACAGGTTAATGCCAAAGCAAGCTTGATGCAAAGCTAACGAGGATGGGAGTCGATGTGAGATGTAGAGGAGAGATGCGAGGCGGAGGCGAAGGTGAAGACTCGAGCTTCGAGGCGACGCGCATACAGACAATCGTCGAGGAAGGAGCCACCGCGATGTACGGATATTTCATTCTTAAAGCATGACGAAAGTGCTGCCCGCACGGCAGGCGCCTTTGCAGCCTCTCAACACTGAACCTCCCTACTCGTTTCAAAAACGGCACGCCCTCAGCGTCGTGCCGATCTCTGGTACAGCCGCGTATATCTGTAAGCTTCATACGGTTCGTTGGACGCTCACGGAGAGGAAGACGAGAGATGCTGAGACAAATTATGCCACTGACGCAGTCCATCCTCTACCAAAAGGAGATCCACGATCCACCCCCACCTCACCCCACACTGCTGAGAGACCTTTTGTCGACTTTCTCCTTCAAGTCTCTGTGCCCATCATAGTTTGCCATGTACATATCTCAGCCCGTGCCGCATCATGCAAGGTTGTTTTTGCAGTATCTCCCTCTACTGTTGTTCCGCATAGCCGTTGCTTATATCAGTATTGGTGAGGACTTGTTTGGATCTGCCAATGCTTACAACGAGGAGATCGGTTTTGGCGACACACGGACCTCTAATAGCACGGGTGATGCGCATCAACCGGCAAATCGTTGATGTCACATACAAAAGTGTCTTCACGTGTGAATCCGATTGTTGAGCAGAGCCTCGAGATATCGATGGTCAGAGAAATCAATTCTCCGATCAGACATGGTCCTGACTCGAGACGTATAGAAGTAGGAGGGAAAGCTCGAAGTCGGCGATGTGAGTAACCTCGAGTTTGATGGCCGCTGCTTCGCGAAAAGGTCTGAGAACGGTGGAGAACGTGTTGGCAGCTCCAACACCCAAACGAGCTACCCGTTCATCGGGTTGGCGTTCCTTCTGCACTTCAGCTTTTCCACTCAGACTGATCCATGCCTTGACGTTGTTTTGTTCGCTCTCACTCTGACAAGGGTTGGCGGGGGTGTAGAGAGGATGAAGAGCAGACAGTCAGTATCGCGACATCACGTGTATGATGTCGGCTGTCGGCAAAGAGCCGAAGATTGAATGATCAGTCCAAAGTCAGTCATGCGGCGCGCAAAAGGCAAAGCACGCAGAGTACCTCGACACACGGTCACACCCCTCAGTCTGGCGTGGTTTGGCGTGTTGAAAGAGAAAAACTCTCGAGTGTTTATCTTGAATTACTTTCTGTTGTTCGCAGACGCGTCCACCTGTTGATACTCTTCTCATTCTGTTAGATACAGCCAAACACTTCTCCCACCTCCAGCTTGTCGCCATCATCATTACAGCTTGCCATCGCCACTTCTGCCTGACAGTCGGGTCCGGCGGGCGCATACACCGAGAGCGCCCTAGTGATATGAACCACGCTCGAGACAAGCATCAACGAGTTTGTTAATCGCTGCGGTAGCACGCCCTGTATATTTAACCCCATATCACAGCCAAGATGCGGCCTTTACGACTGCTCCTTTCGCTGTCGTCGTGTTTGATCTTCATCATCGTTCTGTCGTTTGTCGCCGCATCCAAGACGAGGTCTGTGTCTGCAGCACGCGACCAAAACAACCGTCTCGGAGCCTACTTTAGCTGGAACTCGCCCTCGTCGCTATTTCCACCATCAGCCATCATAAGCTTGACCGACGACAACTCGACCTTCTTCCTCGCCCGCCCCGCTGCCTTCGGCCCGCCGTTACCTGGACATGGCCTCAGCGGTCAGATTTGGATAGGCGCCGGCTTCGGCGACGACAATCCTGGCCATGGCGGTATTGCTGGAGCAGAAGGAGAGCTCGGCTGTAGCGACGTGCCAGGATGGAGTGACGGCGAATATTCCCCTACAAACTTCGAAACAATCCCTCAGGAGCAGGATGTCAAGTCAGGGGCCAAGGGAAGCAAGAATAAGAGGAGCTCGGAACCCGAAACACAAACAGAGGGTGGCGCTGCAGACGTCCAGGTTGATGGCACAGACGACCACCTACACCAACCACTGTCTTCTTCGTCTGATGTCGGCTCGACGCAGACGTCGAAGAANGCCAAGAAGCCAGGACATGCCGACATTCAATCATTGCAGGAGACGGCAGAAATTGCAGGCAAAGTTGTGCTGCTGAGCCGAGGTGGATGTGGCTTCCTGGAGAAGGCCAAGTGGGTGCAAAGAAGAGGGGGTGTTGCTTTAATCGTCGGTGACGATATGCGTGGAGGTCCGTTGGTAACCATGTACGCCCGGGGCGATACATCCAACGTTACCATCCCTTCCATCTTCACATCACACACTACCGCACATCTCCTGTCCAAGCTGGTACCTTCAGGAGGTTTCCGTGAAGGCATGTCTGCTCAGGACGCAGCGCGTCTGGGGCTAGGTTTGCCTGTGAGTGGCAATCCCACCGAAAAGAACAAGAAGCAACCAGACTCGACCAACACAAGACCCACTTATTCTCCAATCGTCAACCGTCAGAAGGACGATGACGATGACGACGACGACGACGACGACGAGGAATCAGGAAGCTGGTTGGGCTCACTCTTCTCGTCTGAGGATGAGGATCGCCATGATAGCCGAAGACCACCTAGCAGTGGTAAGATCGATTGGGTTTTACAAAAGGACTTTGAAGATGAAGTACCGAAGAGGTACAACACCAAGTCTACCAGTACCACCAAATCGACCAAACAGACAAAGGCACCCAGCAGTGATGAGTTTGTCATTGGTATCCATGACTGGCGAGACCCAGACTTGCTTGACTCACAGATCAACGCTGCTCAGACAGCATCAAGGAAGCTACCGAAGTCGGTCGGACAAAACTCTGCTGCACCTCATGCAGGACCTAAAGGCGGCAGCATTACCCCGGGCAGTGGAGAGTACCATCAGGTTGGCGAGAAGCCAGTCAATCTCAAAGCTCCCAGGAAACCTGAGAAGAGTAAATCGGGTTCCAAGAAGGAGCCAGCTGCCGACAAGCCCAAGTCATGGATGGGTCGTCTCGTTGGTTCTGATAGTCAAGAGGATCAAGACTCTGAGAAGGTCAAGTCACCACACATCGTATCACAGGTCAACAGCAAGCCTATTGTTAAGACTACCGGCGAGCATGACAACCCAGACGGGTCGCACGATGGTCTGTGGGTAACTCTGACCCCTGCATCCATGTCTTCTTCGCCCTTCTTCGACACCTTGCTGGTCTTGGTCGTGTCACCTCTTGTCACATTGACTATTGTGTACGCCCTACTGCTACTTCGCTCTCGCATTCGTCGTAGAAGATGGAGAGCTCCTAAATCCATCGTTGATCGCTTCCCTGTACGGACCTATCACACTGTACCCAGCAGCAACAGTTCCAATGCTCCGGAAAGCACTGCAACATCTCCAGATGCACCAACCCAGACCACGCCTCTTCTCCATGCAGGAGCACGACCAATCTCTCAAGCAAGATCAAGACCAAGATCTCGTACAGTCAGTGAAGTGCCTGTGTCCAACTCCAGCCCTGCAAACACCCCAAGCCTGGATCAAGTGCAGGAGAAGCGCGAGGCTGGACTAGCTGAATGGCGTAGGAGATATGGTGGTAGACAACGCGATTGTGCCATCTGCATTGATGAGTTCGAGGATGGTGTTAGCCGTGTTATGAGCCTACCTTGTGGCCACGAGTTCCATGTCGATTGCATGTAAGTTCTGCACATGTCACTTGAAAAATTCGTTCTTGTCTGACTTTATCTAGTNACCCCATGGCTCACAACCCGCCGCCGTACATGTCCCAATTGCAAGGCCGATGTTGTGCGTTCGTTTGGTCGTGGTGGTGGTTCTTCATACTCGTCATCGTCAGCCCAACCGCTCCTCGCGCACTCACACGATGACTCGTTGGACATTGACGACGTGCAAGAGCAAGCAGTCAACACTCGCAACTACGATCCTGTTGCAAACGAGCCACTCACCGATTTAGAGCAAGGAAGCGTCGATCCTGACCGCACAAGATGAACGATTCAGGATCGATATTCATGACTGGGATGACTGGCGTTCTTCCCTCGAGTCTTTATGAGCTGTCTCTATCTTCTTTTCTCTTGCATTGCTCATAGCATTAGCGGTGGAGTGAAATAAGGATACTTGTGAGATAGATCTTTGCTTCATGTTTCTTCGTCTTCTGGAATGAGGCTTTGCCCTTCTCTAGCTAGTCATCTCAACAACCTTCTCCACACACCAATGGAGGTTTCTCTTCTCTCCATCTCAAATTTCGTACCATCATTGTCATCGATGTGACCAGGATCCCGGATGGCTTTGGGTCAGGGCTGCAGTAGATGCATCGCATGCTGCTCTCGTGGCATGATAAAATCAGCCGCAAGTCCATTGCGCCGAAAGAATCCGTGATTAATATATGCCACATGATATGCACCTTGCATGCACTTCCAAATCATCATGACCTGCATCTCACCCAGCTGCACTCATCCGGAACCAGGATTTCTGATTTCTCCTTCAAACCTGGCTGGCTGCCGGACGTGCTTTTCGTCTGCGCTGTTTGATTTGAAGAATCAACTTCACAATTGGCTGATGCACGATATGCCGGTGCAAGCAAGATCCATGGATGTTATGACTTTTAGGCAGTCATATAACGGCAAGTATTTGTATGTACTTTCAGGACGGTCGGATCACTTTTCCAAGATCGTAAAGGAAAGGAGTTGGTTCTCACAAGCGCGACGGTCCGCTGCCGACGGACCGTGAACGGATCGAAAAAGCAGTGTCTTGGCGGCGATGCCTTTCCGCACCTGCAGCCGCGTGTTTCCCTTTGCACTTTTTGGATTCGCCCAAAGTCATCCCCTGCATGATGCAGGATGCGCTATGATGGGCTTTCGAGAGCCACACCACCACAAGCTTGAAGAAGAGGTCTTGTTCGCCTCTTGGATATTCGTTCATTCACCGGTCTGGGCAGCAAGTCACTGTTGGAGTTGACCTGGAAGCCTTCGCGTAAATAAGCAAGGTTTGAGAGTTGTCTATTCAAGCACAGTTGACTTGTATATGTGCAGCCGCAGAAGCTCCCAAAGTCACTACAACACCATAAGCTCTGCGGTGCTTTCTCTTCGAGAACTTACTTTAGGCTGCTTGCATAATCACCCAGGTTCGTGGTAATTACCAAAGTGCTTCCATGCAAGATATCTATTCGCGACAAAATGTCTCAATCCAGCGGCTTCCCAGTCCTACAGGCAAGCTTCACAGGATCAGGAAAGCACACGAAGAGGTTCATGATTTGAATCCGGAAGAGTCACGGTCTAAAGACGCCATTTCGAACGCGAGCTCACGCCAAAAACGCAAGTCATGCTGCAAGTTGACGGTTGACGTGCAGAAAGCGGTTTGTGGAGACACATGGCTAAAATCCAGAGCCAGAACGCCCCTGATAACCTTTTGACAGGAGTTCTAGCAACGCGCCGTCCACTCACACGTCGAGAGGACTTGCGCCATCGACAAGCCTTTGACCCAACATCCCGTGTACATGTGTCTGAATCCAAGTCGCCATGCGCTATCTACCCGCATCTGCACAAAGGTGGATGGGCGGGCCATGAGGTCTCTAGCGTAGGCATACCAATAACTAGTCCACTACTTGTACCCGTGTCCTGGTTTTGCCCTTTGCCCCTTCATATATCCATCAGGCCGTCATCTGATCTGATTTATCTGAATCCACCTTCGCTCAATCTTTGATCTGAACCACTCCACCGGAATACAGATTTGCACTCGGCAGTCGTTTAACTCGGGCATTCCCAGAACTCCATCGACCAACATCAATCTCTGACAGTCCAACAACGTCACCGTTGCCATTTCTGCAGGACCAGTCTCGTCTGCGTTGCGGTGTAGAAAGCTTGAACACCTCTGCTCTCTTGAGCATTGCTCAAATAGACAGACGTTCCACAACTCGTGGTCTCAAGGACAATCGGACTCGCCACTGATCACACGCAACACAATGGCGACAGTTGTTGGAGCTACAGGGCCATCTGCAACAATGGCAAGCTCTTCATTACCGGCCAAATATTTCCCGTTCCCGGAGAGCATGTCGCCGTTACCGTCCGCCCTCAAGAAAGGAATGCTGGTGCCAGGGACGATTGGTCTCTTGTCGGCTGCCTCGGCCATTGGCATGCTGCTCTTCATCATCTATAGATTCTTGACATGGCGTGCTCATTACAAAACCTTCGTCGGATACAATCAGTATGTGGCGTTGATTATCAATCTGCTGTGCGCGGACCTATTACAAGGTGTCGCGTTCATGTTCAGTTATCATTGGGTGTTCACGGATGGCATTGTCGCACCTTCAGTAAAGTGTACTAGCCAAGGATTTCTTCTAAATGCAGGTTAGTCGTTCATATGAGCTTGCCTTGTGCAATGATACTAAAAATGCACTCCTNNAGGAAACCTGTCTTCTGGCTACTTTGTGATGGCTATCGCTCTTCACACCTTCTATGGTGCTGTCAAGGGCCGTCACCTCAGCCACACCGTCTTTTATTCTGCTCTCGCCGGTGGCTGGTTCTTTGCTCTTTTCCTATCTGCCATGGGACCTATACTCCACGGAAACCATTACTATGTGAGAGCAGGTGCATGGTGCTGGGCAGCCCCCGAGTTTCAGACAGAACGTTTGGCCTTTCACTACATCTGGATTTTCGTAGTCCAGTTCGGAACCGTGGTCATCTATGTGCTGATCTTCCTCCACCTCAAAAATACATTGACGACCATCCTGCCATCTTCACACTCGACCACACACGCCAAGGTCGATAGAGCTGCACGCTTGATGCTGATGTTCCCACTCGCCTACATCATCCTCACGTTACCTCTTTCCGCTGGACGTATGTGGAGTATGGCACATCACCAGTACACAGTCCACGAAGGCTACCAACTCGCTTCTGGAGCCCTTATCGCTTGCTCTGGAATGGTAGACTGCCTTCTCTACACACTCACCCGTCGAAGCCTAGTCCAATCTGCCAACTCCTCCGAAACCAAGAGCACAGCCAGCGGTCTCGACAGCTACGATCTCTCTCGCCTCAACGGGATCACACAAACGCGCACCGTCACCGTCACCGGCGACAGAGTCTCTACCATCTCCAGCACCACACGTGTCAGTGACGACGACGACGACGCATATTCCATGCGCACCATCTCCACCAGCCCGAAGAAGAAGCACCATCACCTTAGAGAACCACCCCGCACACATTCGCCCACAGGATCCATAGACAGAATCATGGGAGTTGAAGGTCTAGATCCCAGAAAACCGCTACACAAAGTACAGATCTCTACATATGAGGCTAGAATCTCTGAAGACGTGGATAGTCTGAGGGATAGCGAGAGATCGGATTCGCCTGTCAATGTCATGAGGGGACTTGCCAAAATGGTCAAGTTGCCTAATTTGGTTGATAGGAAGTAGTTGAGTTTTCTTCTTGGTGTCTTTTTATCTCTTGTCATGATGATTGTATTTCTTGTTTCTTTGTATATACCCTCTCTTGTTCGTATCTTCTTGTTAGTCATACGCTTTCAGATTCAGATATACTACAGCTACACAGCCTTTTGCATTCCCTCAAGCTATTCAATCGCCCACAATGCGATTATCTTCGCAGATTGTCTGCTTGTCCGAGAAATTGTCGGCAATACCGTCTCAATCCTCCACCTCGCCAATTCCAGGGCCAAGCTTTCTCCCCACACAAATATTTCGTTTATTCCTGCCACCTCAATTACGACACCATATGGCCAACCCCAATTTACTGGTATAGCCTCTGCCGCCCAATTTCTCAAGGTTCATGCATTATATACAGAGGAATTAAACCAAATTGTATCATCCAATCATCTTCTGATTATCAGGTCTCGTGGTCTAGCGGTATGATACTCGCTTAGGGAGATGCTCCTGCATCTTGAAAACTCTAAGCCAATTGCGAGTGGTCCCGGGTTCGATTCCCGGCGAGACCCTGATCGACTTCTTTTGCCCATTGGAGCATTTGTCTTCTTTTTTTTGGGTGCAGGGAGAGTCTAGGGATGTTCTGATCGGGGCTGGGAGTGTGAAGCCTTGGGTTTTGGTGGGAGGAGAAATAGAATTTTGTGTGCGATGATTTTTTTGGCGTTTGAGAGCATGGGGTTTGTTCTAAGAGAGGAGAAGAGGAGCAGGGAAGTGGAGGACCATGAAGGTTTGCTCAAGACTGAGAAGGGAGGCGCGGATAAGAATGGATGGAAGCACGATTTGATAGATAAGAAAAATAGAAGCTCTGTATACTCTGGTGTCTATACTGTACATATGATTCCCAACCTCACGATGAACTCACACCGGAGGAGGTATGGAAGGCGAGTAAACATCTCTCTGCACATCCGCCCCAAAGCTATGCACCTTCTCATCCACTGGCGATGACGACTCCGCCGACCCTGATCGCTCTGGCATCTCATCAACCTTGCCCTTCTCCGCCTTCAAAATAAGCTGTCTTCTCTCTTCCTCCATCGCCTTGTGCTCTCTCTCCGCAACCGCACAACGATGGTTTAAAGCCACAACGCACAAAGGCAAAAACACAATTTCCCAGGTAAAGAGGATGGGGAGAGCTTGATAGAGACGATCAACTGCGCCACCCGACCAGATCTGGATCAACACTTGCCAGACTTCATGAGCAGGCAGTGCGTAGGCCCAGCGGTAGAAACCAGGAGCGAGTTCGAAGGGCCAGATTGTGGAGGTGACGTTGAGGATTACCCAGGTGAGGACAAAGAAAGGCAAGAATTTCATGGGGACAAAGCCGGTTGCGACGTCAATNNCTGTTGAAAGTCAGTGACTAAGTCTTATTTTCGGGCGGGAATGTGGTTGAAAGCTTACCACTGCAAAGTTGATGTGCATGAAGAGCCAGATGATGACCCAGGTGCAGAAGAATTGGCCTACACCGACGGACCAATTTTCTCGGAAGGCCCAGATGTAGCCGGCCCAGCAGAGAGAGCCGACGAAGGTATAAGATAGACTCAATACCAAGCGGATGATGCCATTGTTGAGTACTGGAAGATGCGAGTACAAGTTAAACTCTGCACTGACTCCATTGACAGCCATGAGGAAGAAGAACTGCATGATGATAGGCATGACCATAGCGACAGTGTTGTACAACACTCTCGTCCCCTGGCTCGTCGGCATGATATTGATGTCTCCTCCTTGGATCGGATTGAGGAAAGTTTGGAGGGCGGCAGGGTCGTTCTTGTTAAGAGTCTGCAGAGCACCAGTGCCGTTGATGTGGTTGTACGCGACACGGGCGACTGCCATGAGCTGTGACATGCTGGACTTGATCGTGCCCTCTTCCATAGCTGGATATCTGACCTCGTTCCAGACATATGTCAGTGTGTTTGTCGGGTCGTAATGTGCTGCTGCATCTCCACCCTGAAGGGCAGCTGCAAGGCGTTCGGAAGCGCCAGCGTGAGAGAATACAGCAGCCCAGTGTTCTCCTTTTCTGACTGCTTGAACAATGTCCTCGACTGCTGGGTACTTTACGCTGCTCTCAATGTCGAAAGTCGGAAAGGTATCGGCTTTAAGTTGTTGGATGGCTCCTTGAAGACTCTTTCCAATGACACCACCATCGTAGTCGACTGTGAGGACATGGAGGTTGTGCACCCTGTGTTCTGATTTGAACAAAGAGCCGAAGAGGTAGGACATGTTCACAAGGAACAAGATCTGCAGTAGCATGAAGGAAGCAATGGCTGCGATCATGAATGGCTTCTTTCTGCCGTTCCAGAATGGGTCCTTGTGCCCTACTCGATGGGCAGATTTCTCTGGTAAGAAGAGACTAACGAAGCCCATCGTGAGATGTGAATGATTTAGCTCGAGGATTCCTGGAAAGAAGAGAGCTGATATGTTACGATGATAGCAGTGGTGGGTATTGAAGCTGACGACTGATAGAGGAGTGTGCAAAGTATGGACGAATAAGACCTACAGTATTACAGCGGCCCTACCTATACATATAGATGTTCACGCCTCCTGTCTGAGTGTGACGTTTCTAGAATCCCTGACACACTGTCGGATGATCGGAGGTGCAACAGTTCCAAGATTGCAAAAGCAAGTCGGACCAGCGTCAGAGAAACAATCGTGAGCAAGTGGTCCCGAGTCGGGCTTTCAAGCTCCGATGTGGAGGACGAGGTTTTGCAGGGCTTTAGGGCTTCGGCAACATGTTCCGAGACTTCTTTCTCCTTGTTCCTCTCGGATCCGGAGGCAGAACACACCCGCTCTATCACTGAAAGTGCCTGTCTAAGAGAACGAAGCTGTCGGTGGTCGTCAGAGGAGGTGACCGGCGCGATCGGAGCTAACAGTGCTTACGCCGAACTTGTGTGGTGTGAGAGAATCTCGCGATGGCCGTCGTGTACCCACCACGTTTCGAATGGTTTTATCATTGAACATCAACCCGTCCATCGAGGAGCCATCGCTCATCTATTTATGCCTGGGGTTTCGGACTCCGATGGGGGAAGTCTGGTTTTACCAGTTGAAAACGACGATCCTCAGTAAATGCCTCTTGTTATCAAGTACTTCTCATTTTGGTATATATTGCCGGCAAAGCAACCGCATCAAGACAAAACCGTAATCGAGTGATGAGAGCCTATAGCAAACAGGACTCAAGAATGACGGACTAATCATAGATTGTATCGAGTATAAAGTCTTAGCCCTCTCTTTTGTTGTATTCTGTCGTTCCGCGGATCAACTTATGAAGCTCATTTATACGTATATAGAACCTTCATGCGAGTGCTTAGTATGTGATGCAACATGCTGTGGAATACACAATAGTCCCAAGAACCCGAGTAGGTTCCATCGAGAGACGGCATTGCATTAGCTCTCTCTGGTCGCAATTCTGATCCAGGGGAAATTGTGCCTTGATATAGGTCAACGATCACTTTCTAAAGGCATGAAAGGAACGTGACAATTATGATCTGTAGCAGATAGCAAGGGTATGCGCAAAGAGAAAGAAGATGCACGAGTAGAAGGAATATCGATGGGTAGAGAGAAAAGCAAAAGAAAGAATGCCTCGAGGGAGAATCGAACTCCCATCTAAGGATTACCCAAGCCATGCTTGGTCATATTGATGACCGATATGAGACCTTTGTACTAGCCGTTATACTATCGAGGCTTGATGAGTGACCGGCCAGGATGTTAGGGTTCATATCCTGATCTTTGTCTTCCAAATTGTTCAGACTCAAAAAGTCTTGGCGTCAAGCGAAAATTTTCCAGTCACCAAAAGTTTAAGATGGTTGTTTTTGCTACAAAAACAAAGCCTCGCTGGTCTCAAACAACGCTCCACCAGCAAAAGAAGATGATGATCAGTACGGGGGTCGAACCCGCGACCTTGGCGTGCCTTATATCATGGGTGGATATTAGCACCACGCTCTAACCAACTGAGCTAACCGATCAAGTTGATGTGAAGCCGGCAGCCAAGGGAGTGTAACAACAGAGTTCCTGGTCCCGAAGCAACAGCCAACTAGTGGGTGCAAGGTCGTCGAATCTGGCTGACCATTCACGGATCCAGATGCCGGGAGCAAATTTTCCTCGAAGCAACAAAGCCGAGGTTCCACCGCGACCTGGGATGTGCAAAGTAGCAGAAATTGGCGACGACATACAACCTGGATTCATGGAAGAAGCGAGATGATATTGATATGATGCCGAGTCCCGGGAATGCAAGGGGTTGAAGACAGCTTGGTATGCTTGCTCAGTGGATTTGGCGATCTGCCATCCAATCCGAGATGACCCTCTTGCCCTGCTCGAGAGTACTTGCTTGAGTATGCAAAGCACCAAGGACATCTTTCCTGGTAACATCCAGTCGTAGGTCTCTACAAAGGGTTTCCAATTGGTCGGCCTGAACTCGAGGAACAATCTCATCTCCGGAGGCGACGACCATTAGCACTTTTGGTGGGTAAGATGATTCGGCGATCTTGCGCAGAGCATCTTCACTATCCCACCAGCTGCGGAGGAATGGCCAAAGGTGCTTGTAGGGTACCCACCAATCTGGGTAAATGGCTGCAAGCATACTCTTGATGCTGACGAAGGGGGTTTCCAGCACGAGGCGGGATATTCGAGCAACATCAGTGGTCTGTGACGATTCCGAATGTTTTGATGCGGCATATGCAGCAATTCCTGATCCGATGCTTTGGCCCCAGAGGATCATTTCGGTGTTGCCAGGATCCTGACCATAGTTCTGCACTGCCCAAGTCACAAAAGCTTGTGCATCCTGTTCGATACCTCTTTGATGAGCACGTCCAGAGGATGTCCAATACCCACGGTAAGACAGCGCGAGCAAGGTCCAGTCATGTGGTGATTCCTTTGCCGCAGCTCTGAGGATGTTTGAGAGCATCGGTGTCCGAGGAGGGATGGATGCGCCATTTCCTTGGAAGTAAAGCACAACAACTTGTTTGCGTTTGTCTTGCGCAGATGCAGAAAGGATTTCCGGACGTGCGACGGCCACGGAGAGTCTCGTTCCATCCAGAGATTTGATCTTTCTCTCATCCCAAGACACCCCAGCCCATGTCCTTGAGTAATCTTCCAGCTTCTCACGTCTTGAACCTGGGGGAAGAGATGGCATGTAAATGATTTTATTCTGGAACAGGACCATGAGCAGACATTTGTGGATCCAGTGGCCTATGAGCAGGCCAACAAAGACACCAGGCACCAGAATGAAGGGCGAGACACCGGCAAAGATGGCTCGTCTCTGACCTTTCAAGACATGGCTACATCTCAAAGGGTGGGAGCGTCGGATTGGAGCAGTTCGTGTGGTGGTAAGCAAGCCGCGTCTTGACTGCGTACCCAGCGCTTGTTTCAAACAAAGGTTCGGTCGAGCATGACCAGTGAACAAACAGCTCAATCTTGAGTTCATGTCAGTTGGCAAGAAACAGAGGAAGCTCCAGGGTCGAGAGTGCGTGACTTGGGGGACCCCGATGACGTCGATGCAAGCCAATCAAAACGCGTTCGCACCCCTCGCGTCCACCCTCCAATTTCGCGTCTTGGATTGTTTCTAAGGGCGTAAGACCAGGTTCACTTTCTTGATCCTGTTTCAATCCATCGCGATGCGATTCTGTCTTGCTCACGTTGCATAATTTAGCCCATAAGTATTGATCATCCCGCTGTCACGAAGCCGAAGCGATTGGACAACGACGCCATCAACATGACACGCATCAGCACGCGCTCACAGCCCCAGTTATCCGAATCCTGGGCAGACATGGACGACTCGCAGACTGATGAAGATGAATTCCAACCACGTCTTCGTGAAGCATACTACAACACTCACAAATCTGGTGCCTTGCCAAACTCAGCTAAGACAACTGACTTTCACGAAAGTCCATCACAGAAGCAGGCCTCTTCAAGCCGTCGCAAACGGAATGCTTCCCAGATAAGCCAATCATCAGAGTTCGTCATGCCTACGCCAGAATCCAGTGGTTACCTTGAGACTCCTGCAACTAGAACGACGAGACAGTCCCCAAGGCCTGCCATGAGAGCTTCAGCCATCCGCAAATCTGTGCCTGTCAAGCGTGCTGCTCCAGTCGTTCCATCACCAAGACGCAAGACTGCCAAGTCTACCACGCAGAATGTCTCGCCGGACTATCTCCAACAAGTCTGGCGGAACGCTGCTCTCCCGCTGCTCAAATATGTGCTGTCAGTCTTTTCCATTGCTGCAAATGCCCTCAAGCCAATTCTTGGATACACCTTGATCGTACTTCTGATGGCGGTTGGTATCGGTATCGCAAAGACCATGGTGGTACACAGCGTTACCAACGCTCTATCGCCGCTGTGCAACATCCCAGGAGCTGGCTATCTCAATCTTCCCTTCTGTACTATCGGCCATCATGATGGACACAGAGGCCCTGTCGAGTTCGACAAACTGGTCATCACACAATCCAACTTCGAGGACATTCTTGAGGCCTCCGTTCACCAAGCCGCCCTGCCCCTGGCCATGAAAAACTCGGAGTTGTCCATCAGGGACCTTCGCACAGTAGTCAGACACTCCAGCCTAGGCTCTCGCAATGAGCTCGTCAACGAGTTTGATGGTTTCATCGAGACTGCTCGCCAAGCCAGTGATGGCCTGTCACAATTCAACTCACGCATATCACGCGCCCTTGATGGCATTCTCTCCGCCAACCGCTGGACGATGAAAGTGCTGCAAGGTATCGAAGCCACTCCCGACTCCGAGGGCGTCATTCCTCGCTTCTTCTCGCAGTACCTATCCGCCTTTTCTCTAGCCATACCCCAACAATCCTCTGAAGAAGTCATTTACGATCAATACATCCGTCACACCTCCGAAGTCGAAGAGCAAATTCAAGTCTGCATCCTCGAGGCAAATACCCTCCTCGAAGTCCTTGAAAACCTCGACGACCGCCTACATCAAATCCAAGACATTGCCCACCGTGAAGACCTCAAAGTCGGTGATGCCAAAGCTGAACTCTTGGGCTTACTCTGGACAAAGTTGGGTGGCAATAGAGGTCCACTGGCAAAGCAGGAGCAACAGTTGGCAACCTTGAACGACGTAGGCAGATATCGCAAGACTGCCATGCAACACGTCATTTCCACACTCGTCAAACTCAAGGACATTGAGAATAATTTGAGTCAATTGAGGGATGATGTTGCTGCGCCTACAATCGTGGACAGAAAGAGAATGCCATTGGAGATGCATATTGATCTGATCAGTTCTGCTGTTGATCGCTTGCAGACGGTTAGAGATGAGGGTCGCAAGGAAAAGGAAAAGATGTTGCAGGGGACATTGCATCAGATTAATGAGCATGCTGCCGACAAGAGGATTGGATAGTTAAAATTCTTTGGGTTATTGAGTTTATGGGAAATTTGGGCATAGGATAATGATATGGCGTTTTGGATTGGCTGGTGACATGGCATGGGTTGGGTACTAGATGGTGCTTCATGGGTTTTGAGCAAATGACATAATGACACTTTTTTTTTTTTGGATTAAGCAGTTCACCGCTTTGCACCATGGGCACACCGGTCTCCTGGTAAACGAACAGGGGGCGACTCAGGGCTGTTCGTGACAGTAAGCATTTCCATACCATGCCGCAGGATCTGACGATGCAGACCGATGTCCTCGAGTATTAGAATGAAGAAGCTGCGTCGTTATGCCCAAGGGTTATCCATGTCCAGCTGCCTTTGTCGAGCTCTGATCGCCATAATGATGGTATCACCGGAACGTCGCGCTTTGATCGACGGGATGAAGAATGGTTTGAGATGAAGAGGGAAAATGCCATTAGACACGCTCAGAAAGGTTTGATAACGGAAAAATAGAAAGTTACAAATCACGCTTGGAATTGAAAAAGAGGTTCACGCAGTCTAAGAACCTGCACTGCGCACAAAGTACAAGAGTCTGAAAGGCAAAGGTCGCTTCTATATTGACCCACTGAGCAAGACCTCAACGGCGCCTTCCACGCTTCCACCACTCATGCGCAGGGCACGAACGTTGCGCTCAAATTCGTAGAAGCCCATGGCGTTGAGTTGTTGCAGTTGAGTGGCATATTGCTCCTCTGGCGGACGGCTGTCCTGCTGTTGTTGCGGTGCACCAAAACCGCCCATACCTCCCATGCCACCCATACCGCCCATCGCTGCAAACGGATTCATGCCGCCGCCAAAGGGGTTGGCAGCTGCTGCACCACCTTCACCACCAGCAGCGCCTGAGTTGTTGTTGTTACCGCCGTACATGCCTTGCATCATGTTCATTGCTGAGCGCATCATCTCGGGATTTTGCATCATCTGTTGAGCCATCTGTTGGATGGGATCTGAGCCACCACCTTGGGCACCGCCCATACCACCGAACAGGCTTGCGAAGGGGTTTGCTTGTGCTTGGGTAGCGTTGGCACCGGGAGTTTGACCTTGAGCGGGAGTTCCTTGACCAGCGGTAGGAACGGNGGGAGTGCCAGCCGGCGTTTGACCTTGAGCGGCACCAGGGTTACCGCCGAACAGAGCAGCGAAGGGGTTCGCGCCGCTTCCTGCACCCTGGCCACCGCCGAACATGGCAAAGGGGTTTGGCGGAGGTTGCTGGTTCTGCTGTGCGTTTTGCGAGGTTGAGTCTGACTCGGAGGTGTCTGTTGCGCCAGGAGCAGGGAAAGCACCAGCGCCGCCCATGCCACCACCACCCATGCTTCTCTGCATGTTCATTTGCATTCGGATAAAGTCGGGGTTCATGAGCATGCGACGAAGATCGGGGTTGTCGAACATTTGCTGAGCCATGGGGTTGTTACGGAGCATAGGGTTGTTGCGCATCATGTTGATAACATCGGGGTTGTTCATGGCTTCGTTCATCTGTTGGGCAAAGGCTGGGTTCTCGAGCATTCGTAGAAGCTGATCCGGGTCTGGGGGCGCGCCCANTCTGTAATGCTTGTCAGTGGCCGTAACGAGTGAGCGGGGTATAGCAGTACTCACACCTCCGTCAGCGCCGAACATGTCAGCGCCGGGCAGTTGGTGGAAGCCAGCATAGCGTGCGCCTGTCAGTTGAGCCAGGGNGTTGTGTGCGCCAGTGCCGGCGGCGATGTTGGTAGGAACATTGGCAGCTGTGCCGGCTCCAGCGACCGGAGTCGAGCCTCCTTGGTTGGCAGGGTTCTGACGGTTGTTGCTCTCGGCTCCCTTGACCAGGTGGATGGTGTTGCCGTCCTTGATCTTGTAGCTTGCTAGTGTCTCGTGGTCCTTGAGCACACGACCGGAGTAGATCAGACGTTGGCGCTCGGTCGGGATGTCTGCGAAATCTGATGTCGCCAGCTTCTCCTTCAGTTGGCTGACGGTAGAGTTGGCTGTGATGGTGATGGCATATTTGGCGTCGTTGGACGACTTGACCGTAAAGGTCAGCTGTTGCTCCGTCTCGTCCGACATGGAGGTCTCTTGTGTATGGTCAAGTATGGATGTTGCTTTGTCAAGTCGAGGTGTGGTGTTGTTGTTCTCAGGCGCACGTGGGCTGAGTATGAATGTGCTGTCTATCAGTTCAGTCGCAGTCACTTCCCTCTCCAAGACACGCCAACCCGCCGCTTGGAAGGCCGCAGAAGCCCAAGGACGATGACGTTGAGACCCTTGCCAAGCACTTGCGATCGTGCGCGAGTCATGGACCGAGGCATCACTTCATCCTCCGCCTCCGCATTTCGGGTATTGTCTCTTGTCCTATCAACTGCATCTATACACCTGTACAGCCATGCTTTGCTCCTGTCATCTCACCCGCTATCTGTTATCAATCAACATACCGCAGTCATGAGAGGAATTCAAGTCAAGGAATATCTTCAGGTATTGTCTTCCTAATCCAGCTTCGAGGCTTCACAACTGACAGACCATCAGGGTCCTCAAGACCTCAAAGTCACCGACCTTCCCGACCCGACTCCCAAACCCAACCAATATCTGATCGCCGTTCATGCTGCTGCCACAAACTTCTTCGACTTACTCCAGATTCGTGGCAAGTACCAACATCAACCGCCTTTACCATGGGTGTCTGGTGCCGAGTTCTCTGGTGTTGTTCTCAAGGCCCCGCAGTCATTGCCAGGAGGAAGAAAGCCTACCTTCAAAGAAGGTGACAAGGTCTTTGGTGCATCCCAAGGTGCTTATGCTACCAAGGTCTGCGCCACCGAGGAACAATTGAGACCAATGCCCAAGGGCTGGAGCTATTTTGAGAGTGCTGGCTTGATGGTTACTGCTCCCACCAGCTATGCTGGTCTGGTAACAAGAGCTGGTATCAAGAAGGGTAAGACTGATGAGCGGTGATCTGTGCTCNNTGAGCCATGGCTAATAGAAGTAGGCGACTGGGTCTTGGTTCATGCTGCTGCCGGAGGTGTCGGTCTCGCCGCAGTCCAGATTGCGAAAGCTTTCGGCGCAACAGTAGTTGCCACGGCTGGCACACAGCACAAACTTGATGTTGCAAAGTCGTTCGGTGCAGATCATCTGGTGGATTACAGACAGAAGGACTGGCCGGACAAGGTTAAGAAGCTGACTCCCAAGGGTCGTGGTGTCGACATTGTTTATGATCCTGTAGGACTTATCGCTCAAAGCATGAAATGCACAGCTTGGAATGGGCGACTGTTGGTCATTGGCTTCGCGGCGGGTGATATCGAAAAGATGGCCACCAACAGAATCCTTCTCAAGAACGTCAGCGTTATGGGTCTGCATTGGGGTGCTTATGCTACCAACGAGCCAGAGATGATCGAGGTAGTGTGGAAGGGCTTGTTCGATCTCATGGACAGTGGCAAGTTCCGCGGAACATGCTATACAGACAAGGAGTTTGTCGGACTCGAGAAGATTCCCGAGGCGCTGAAAGCACTTGGAGCGCGCGATACTTGGGGAAAGGTGGTGGTCAAGGTGCCGCAAGAAGGACAGAGCAAGCTATAGATGGCAGGTGCCGATCAGGCAGTCAACGCAAACTCACTTCCTTCCCAAGTCGCTCTTTCCTCATGAGACGCGCTGAGGAAGCACCCACCCACCCGCCTCAAAACTCTGCGCGTCTCTCCTCCAATGCCTCAATTCAACTATACCCTCCCTTTACACTACTTGATCAGTCACTCTGAAAAAACCATGGCGTCTCAAAGCAATTCTCAATATGTCCTCGACGATGCGCAGCGCCGTACCCTGCAACACCGCCTGCTCCTCGAAGAACAGCAGCGCCGCATCGAGTCTCGCAAGATGCTGGAAGCCTCATACCGCGCTCCGATCTGCCCCAATTACAGTGTCTCTGGCCACTCAGGTTGCTGGTATTGCCACCAGAATGGCAATGTCCAGTCATCAACCTCGACTGACAACCTCTTGAGAAGTCTGGCTCGCTCTCAGTTCCAGGCAAGTCCTTCCCCCGTGCCCACAGTCATGATATAGCTATAGAAATGCACAGTCGCTTTCTCAACAGAGCGAAGCCCACGGAGATACCAACACCCTCGGGCATCTCCATGGCCACACCTTTGTTTTAAGCGACTGTGAATTTCTACAGCTACATCGTGGCTGGCTTTGAGAGCTCTAGTCACATCAGTGACTGACCGTTGCTAGGCTACTCCTACTTCTATCAAGACAGAAACGCCATATCTTCTCTCTTCGGCTTCGACCACCTCAACCATTCCTCTGATGGACGATGAAAATCAGGAGCCCTACCGCCATCTCATCTCCAGCAAGCCTCACATGCCCGATCCTACTCCAATCAAGTCTGCTGCTGTCGCTCCTCTCCCGGTACTGCCCAAGTCTAGGCCTGCTCCTCCACTTCCTTGGAAAGAACTTCCCCTCGAAAAAGGTTTCGTCAGCGTCTGCATTCCACCTACCTTCACTCACTTCTTGTATCTTCCTGTGGAAGTCCGCAAGCGCATCTACACCTACCTCGTCCACAATGGCGAGTATGGCCTTCTAATGCCAAAAGACACCAGAGCCTATCACCAAGCCCCCATCACTCGTGTCAATCGTCAGATTCGCAGCGAGTCTGTCGAAATGGTTTACAAGGTGAATGCCTACGACGCAAAGAATCGCGAGCTCATCAAATTCGGTCTCCTGTCTTTCAAGGATCGTGTTGGAGATTCTCGCTTGAAGCTCATTCGCAATTGGACATGGTACACAGCAAAACGAAATCTGTGCATCAACTTCCCTACCGATGGCGGAGGCTACCCTTACCAGATCACCTACAATGGTCCCCAAGGCAACGACGAGATCAACGCAGTGGCCAAAGAGAGAGCCAACCAAGTTTTCAACTACCTGAAGAAGCAAGGCGCCCTCAATGGCTTCACAGCTGAGCATGTGGGCGCCATCAGCGATATTGTCCTTCGCATCACTCCCAAGGTCAAGGCAAAGACGGATGGAGAGTCTACCAAGTAGGATGGTGGACATAGTTGCTGAAGAGCTGAGGATACTATCGAGAATCTTATGAAGATATGGCTTACACGCATGGATTATGGCTGATGGCTTGGAGGATGTGGACGACCGACTCTAAATGGTCACAACTCTGTTTCAGAAACAACTTTGCATTTTTACAGCAGAAGATGACAACTTGTCAGGGAAAAGGATAGTGGTGGAAAATGGGCTTGCTTTTATGACTGACATGGCTATAGCTTTATGGAAAAGTGAAGTTCGACCAGTATGCTCCTGTACGGAGTAAAAAGTTGAAAGAAGTCCAAGAGTGCTTGTGTGGTTGATGTTGACGCCTGTACAGGAGGACGGAGTACTCTCGGCTCCGATATCGCACAACGTGGCAAGTGCTCGGCACCGGACCGGCTTTCCGACTTCCCGACTGCCCTCTTCAAAACAAATTAAGGATGTGACGTCTGGGTAGGAAAACATTGGTCAGCGGCGACATTTAATTCTCGGTGTCTATTCGCTCTTGTTACGTGGTAGGGCGTGCAATATCAAGGTGAAACAGGCAGGCAATTGAAAGGCCTGAACTCCGAAGTCGCTCACACTCTAGCTATAAGGATCTCAAGACCTCCACCCATCAAGGTAATTAGGTAGCTCCAAAGTTTTTGCAATCAAGCTACAATATCAAGAATACCCATTCCGACCCATATCAAGGACCTGGACAACAATCTCAAGAACACGCATTTTTTACTACATTACGATCACAACACACGGATATCTTTCGCAATGGCCATGACTGGAGCAAAGCGTTTGAGGGAATTGATGAGCAAGGAGGACCATATCGTCGTTGCACCAGGTGTCTACGATGGTCTGTCTGGTAGAATTGCTCTCGCCGCTGGTGCAGAATGTCTTTACATGGTAAGGCCACCCTGACATCCCAATGCCCTCTACTCTTCCTTATCGCACTACACTCTGAAAACTCTCAATCGCTAACACCCTTCCTCGAACAGNACAGGAGCAGGAACCAACATGTCCCGCCTCGGCACGGCAGACCTAGGCATCGCAACCCTCAACGACATGCTCTCCAACGCCTCCACCATCACCTCTCTCTCGCCCTCAACCCCAGTAATCGCCGACGCAGACACTGGCTACGGCGGCCCCATCATGGTATCCCGCACAGTACGCCAATACGCACTCGCCGGCGTCGCCGCTCTCCACATCGAAGACCAAGTCCAAGAAAAGCGATGCGGACATTTAGTTGGCAAGCAATGCGTCAGCCGTGAAGTCTACTACGCAAGACTCCGAGCAGCAGTAAAGACTCGCGATGAGATGGGTTCAGAGATGATGATTATTGCCCGCACGGACGCCAGAGCAGATTTGGGCTTTGACGAGGCGGTTGAGCGTCTTCAAGGAGCTGTGGAGTGTGGAGTCGATGCTTTGTTCCTCGAGGCTTTGCAAAGCACTGAAGAGTGTGAGAAGGCTGTCAAGATTTTCGCTCCCACACCTGTACTCTTGAATATGGTGCCTGGAGGCAAGACGCCGCAGATGGGTGTTAAACAGGCAAAGGAGATTGGGTTCAAGCTTTATATCAACCCTACGCTTGGCTTGGAGGCCGTGGTTCGCCCGATGCAGAAGGCGTATAAGATGTTGGTTGAGCAGGGTACGGATGAGTGCGAACCCATTGGTCCCAAAGCTCTCTTCGAGATTTGCGGATTGAACGAGGCCATGGCTTTCGATGAGAGTGTTGGTGGTGCCGCGTTTGGGTCGAAGTAGGTCAAGTATAGCGAAAATACTTATGATTGAAGTTCCAATTTTACCCATCAAACACATTTCTAGAGCTCTGTATACATGGCCGGGACTTTACGATGGCGAAACGGGATAGGGCGGGCTGTTGGTGACGCTTTTCTTTGAGCTTAATATGACGCTTCCATTGTTTGGAACAATGCATGCTCTATCTCTTTGAACCCCTCCTTTCCGATGAACAAAGACATTGTCACTTACTCACCCTCGCAGTCCATTGCCTCGAGAACCTATATCTCCACTCCAATGTCTGCATGTCCTCTCCTTTTCCTTTTACGTCCAACCCATCACCACATACCCAACCACACCACCACAATAATGCCTCACATCATCCTCCAAATCCTCTTCATCTTCTTGGTGACAGCCGAGACTTTACTCTACACCTTCTTCCCTCTTCACGCTGGTAGGATAATTTACGACTTGTATCTGTTCATCAGTGCCCACTTGAGTCTTTTGGTCATGCTGATTGAGATTGCTATTAGTGAGTTTGTTGACAGAAGTGTGAGGTGTGCTCTTGGTTTGGAGTAGAGAAGGTAAAGGTATCGAGGAGGAAAACGGTGAGAGAAGGATGAGAAGTAGGTAAGTGTCGTTGTTTATTATTATTCTTTTGTCGAGTCTTTCTTTTGGTAGGAGCAATGTATTTGTCTTCCTTCCCTCGAATAACCAGTCTTTTCTTTGTCTTTGTGAATTTGTCTTTCATCTTTTTGTTTCCTTTGCTTTTGTCTGTTCGACTGCTGCCCGAGCTCCGCTGTTTCTCTTGAACCTGATTTGTCACCCACGTGTTCGTCTTCTTTGCTTCTGTCTGTTTGGTTGCTGCCTTGTCCTGTTGAAACGCCAGAGTCTCCAGAGCCTGCAATAGTGCCACCTACGAAAAGTTAGTGGTGGGTTGGTGTGATTGTCGTGGGGAATGACTGGAGACGCACCATGCCAACACCTTTGAGTGAGCATGACCTTCAGACCAACAGTGTCGTACCCTTCGATAAACTTCCATCATAAAGCCCAGTACTGGCCTCAGACAATGCTGTTTTGTCCAGTGGTCAAACAAGTCTTCCATATCATGCAACATTCCGGATCCCTCAACACTTCTCTCCTTCGGCGTTAACATGATAGTAGCACTTGTCCCGATCCGGCAGCTTCCCCTCGTGGTCGGTGACTTCCTTGTGAGCAAAAGCCTTGGTCAAGTCGACGAGCGCCTGATGACTCCACACTTCAGCCGAGTCCATGACAGCATCGATATCGCAGCGGTAGACGACGAGATCGAGGATGAATTTTCTCAGTGGCGCGGATGGCATCGTGCGTTTCCAGATGGCTCTGACCTCGTATCCAGGACAATCGTTGATACTCAGATACTCGAGTGCATCCATGGCAGCGTTTTGGATCCAAGGGACGAGGAATTTGTCGCCAAAGAGCCAGAGTTCGATGAGCTCGTGGCAGTCAAGGTCGTGTTCGTCGAGAGAGCGGGTGTAGATGAATTGGTTGAAGATGTCAAAGATATCGACTCGCTCATCAGGGAGAGATAGTTTGCGTTCAGCAGCCTCCTTGAAAGAGCCGTCAAAGGCGCCGCGGAAGTAGTCAGAGTAGAAGGTGAGGAGGTCCTTGTGCATCACGAAAGCCTTCTTCTCGGGTCCGACTTCGATGGTCACAACGCCATTGTAACAAGCACTTTGATTTGTTGTTAGTGCATGGAAACAGATGTCTGGCACAGTGGAAGACTCACCCGGGAGGTTTCTTGCTCAGACTCGACACGGCTCTTGCGGTTGATCTTGGGGGAGGTTTAGCAGAGGTTGTCGACGACTCTGGCGCGCTTCCAGAGGATGTAACCATCATTGCGTCCTCCAGTGGGACGACGCCCATAGGTGTTGCGAAGGCGTTGGTCAGACGAAACGCAGATGTGTCCCATGAATGGTTGTAAGCAGCATCCCATCCCAGGTCCATTGTGATATAATGACGAACGTTTAGGGGTGTTGATTGTAGACGAACGCTGAATGAAAGAGTGTGAAAGTCGTGCAGCCGTATGAGGGACGGTGCACTGGCCGAGTGTCGAAACAAACGTATCAAACGAAACAAACGACTCGGCGATGTTGATAGCCCGTCGACGGGGCGATTGGAGAGACCCTTTACAGGACGTGTGGCCAGCCCCGGATCCTTGTTTCATCGTACCTCTGTCTCGTGCTTTCGATGTGCTACAGATTGCTACATCATAGCTATAGTCTATAGAAATGCAGAGTACCTTGTAGAGTAATGTGATGTTCCGGAGAAATGACATCTTGAGCCTCTCTCTATGGACACGCAGCTGATCTCTGTAGCAGTCGTGCATTTCTATGGTATATTATAGCACTAAAAGTTGGCGCGGAAGGCGGTTTGAGCATAGGCAGGTTGTAGTCAGTCTTTGCTGTCAGCATGATGGAGACATGGCCTAAGAGTTTCATGTGCTCCCAACTTTCCACAGCAGAGTGATCGAGCTATTGCGAGCTACGGCAACTATCTACTCAAGCTGAGCATGAGAAGAGCCACGACTTTGCATCTCTTTACGCTACAGATCGTTATGTTGTAGCCATGAAGATGCAGAGTACCTTCCAGGGAAGAGTAATCTCCCGAGAGAGACACCGTCTTGAGCCTATCTCTGTGGACTCACGTCCAATCTTGATAGCAGCTGTGCATTTTAAAGCATACTATAGCACAATGACTTGGGAAGGAGATTGCGCATACGCACGAGATGTAGTCAATCAGTGCTATCGATATTACAGGAATGTAATCTTGTAACTTGAGTTGACTACTTGTACTACGGAAGAAAGCATTGTAACCATCTACTCAAACCAGACAAGGTTGTGCGTGCGAAGAGCCACGATATTGAATCCTTTTCCTTCTTTGTTCAAACTTAAACAATGTCTTTGTCTTCGAAACCATTGAGACACTATACAATATGTCTCTCATCCATCACAATCATCTTCGTGCCATATTCTTTGTCTCTGTAAGCCAACACTCTCTCACTCTCTATCGTATTTTGCAGAGATCGAATATATAATCATCTTCGCATTCCCCTGAATCCCAATTTCATAACAAACCTTCCCTAGCAACATCGACCAACTACACAAGATGTTCAACTTCACTTCCGCCTTCATCATCCTTAGCATCTTCACCGGCCTCATACTGTTGGTGATTAACAACTCTCCCGCCGCTTTACTTATCGACATTATCGGCCCTGTCGAGTTTGGCCTCCTGGTCATCCAGATCATCTTCGAGCGCATTCTGGTTCCCGCTCTCATGGTTTGATACTCCTTGACAACGACATTCTGCATTGCCATAGCTAGAGAAAGCTCAAATCTTGACGACGAGAGAAACCACTCCATTACACATTTGATCGGCGACGCAGACGACGACAATGGGGTCTGTATCGCCATCTCTATGTCTCCAATAAACAACGCTTCCCACCGCAGTATCGCGATATTCTCCATTCCCTGTAAACAACATACCTCTAACATTGAGATGTCGACTCTTCGCAATCGATGATCGTGACCTCGTTAGCGACTTAGGAGTCGGCGACATCGAGGTGTCGAGGCGGCAAGCCAAAACACGTTAACCAAAAGCACACAGACCAGAAAATGTCCAGGTTATTTCTCGAGGCTCTTCTGAAAGAAGATGTTGAAGAGTATGAACAAGAAAATGTTGTTCTAAGTAAAGACGGGTTTATATACTCGTCAAGTAAAGAGGTGTTACTTACTTTGCTGGCAGAATCCCTTGCTTTTGCAGAATTCTTTGTGTGCGAATGTTTTATTGTAACAAGGAATTGTAATAAGATAGCTCATAATGAAAGAAGAGGAGAATAGAGAGATCAAGAAGTGTTGTAATATGTAATTAACTTGGTTCAGATATATATGTACAAGGTGACAGAACCAGATGATACGACTACAGATATAGATATGCAAGAAAAGGAAAAAGGCTTGGGGTTCGTGCGGCGCTTATCCAAAGCAGCCGCTGATTATGTCGTTGAGGAGAGTTATAGCATTCAATGCTAGAGAGTGAACCTCATGTCATGAGAGAGACTTCGTAAATCATCGTGACGAAACACTTTAACCAGAGCTGTGGCTGCAGAGGGGCTTGGTGGGTGCGGCAGTGAAGTACACCTTGTTGTAGACGTTGTTGCCAGCGTTGGAAGCCTGGGCGGAGGGAGAGTTGAGGGGGCCACCAGTCTGGCTGGCGCTGGGGAAGAGGAGGTCGGTCTCATCGGGCGAAAGGGTGTCTAGGGAGCAGCCAAGAGCACCGACGCCGAGTGCAGGGGAAAGCTTGCTGAGAGCCCAGTCGGCAGCCTCACCGGCGGCCTTCTCGTCTCCAGCGATAAACAAGGGTGTGATAGAGCGGAGACCCTGGAAGACGTCGCAAAGGACGTTGGTGACGTTGAAGTTAGGTGTGAGGAGTTGTGAAGCACCGGGAACAATGATGTTCGAAGGGTAGATCTGGAGGAAGGCATCGCTGAGGGCCTCGACGGCACCGTAAGGGTAGCTACGGCGGTACCAGTTCTCGGGCCACTTCTCGGGAACGTACTCGAACTCGCCAGTGTTCTCGTTAAGCTGCCAACCAACGATGCTGGAAACGGATTCGTAGTTGGGAACACCTCCAAGACCGTAGGTACCGTTGCTGAAGAATTGAGGGTAGAAGGCGAAGGCGCCGAGGGAGACGATCTGGGGGAAGGGGAAGGCGTAGAGGAAGGGGTTGTACTGCTTGCTGAAGTCGGCGTTCTTGGCGTACTGCTGAGCCATGACGGACATGTCGTATTGCTTGCTGCCCGAAGCTGCGACGAGAGCAACACTCTGCTTGACGAGACGGGATGAGACGTGGTGGTTGTCACCACAGCCAGTATAGTAATCCTCACGATGGGGAGATACATCGGCCTCGGCAGTTGAGTGACGGTTCAAGCCACCGACATTGCCAGGACCAGCACCGAGGTAGAATGACTCGGTAGCAATATCACCATTGGCGAGAATGGAGAAGACAGCCAAGACTGTGGCAAGGTCGGTACCCATGTTGAAGCCACGTGCGGTGGCCTCCAACACTTGGCCATAGTTGACATAACCGTCGCGAGGCAAGTACCCGTAGTTGGCAAGCAGGTTGAGACCAGGGCAAGGACCACGGCTGTCACCAGCACCAGGTGCCTGGAATGTGTAACCTTCTTCGGGACGCTTGTCGTCAGGGTTCAGAACACCCTCGGCGACAGATCCTTCAAGTCTGTCAGTATGGATCATATCGAATAGCGTCATCGAACATACCAANNGAAGACCTCTAACATCACTGACCAGAGCACCAACGACACCGCCGAGGGTGTTGCCTAGGCTCCCAAGGACCTGAGGTTCTCTCTTGGCCAACTTTTCCTCGGCGGCTCTCTCCTGGAGCATCTTGATCATATCCTCCTTGCTACCGCCCATCATCTGGGGGAATCCCATGGCAAGGGAAGGGAGCACGGCTCCTGCAATGGCGAGATTGAACTTCATGATGAGGGACGTTCAATAAAAGTGATTGATTGAGTGTGTGATTAATCCACCTTGAGGAAGGGGGAGGTCCAATATATACAGCTTTCTACGGGATTACTCTGGCATCAGGTAAGGATGAGCATTCTCCACGGCCCAGCAGCTGTCGAACTGTTTCTGGTCAGGCCAATGCTAGTGCGCCTATCATCGAGGGTACATTGAGCAGTTGCTGCACGTCGCGAGAATGCATTGACGGATGATCATGCCCGATGCTCAAGAGCTGGAGTAACGATCAGCGGTGACATGGGTGGCAGTATGATGGGATCCGCACACCTACAACCCAACGAGCGGAATTGACAGTATCGGTCCCTGTGCGGCAGACCATCCTTGCGGACAGCCAATTGACAGCCACAGGGAGCACATACAGTTTTTGCGTGCGAGGACCATGTGCGGTAAAGTCGGGTTTCATTCTCAAACTGTGCCGCCGTGCCATACCTATGACGATGGGGTAATTGACGTCGGCACTGAGCCAATGGCTGGAGGTTGGCGTGGAGCGAACGTTGCACGGCAGCAGATCTATAACGCTGCCTCGTTGGCGTACCGGTTCGTGGATATGTTGGCCACAACCATCTCCCATTTTTCGGGTTGCAAACGTGCCTCACGGATTGAGCTCCTGGTTGCGAATCAGGGCGGTTGTACCTTTCTGTACATTGCGTAGGTAAGGTTCTGGAGATCCGCTGTGGCTTGCGGGATGGGCGTGCAACGGGGAAAGAGCCTCATCGCTGTGAAGTCCCTATGTCTCAATCACAGTTGCCCCTGGACGGTAAGCAGCAAGCCAGTATTGGATGTCATACATCGTGCGTCTGCAATATCAATTGATGAAGTCGTGGTTTGGCAAAGGGGACTCAACAGGAATCCTCGCTCGCCAAGCTCACTCTCCCCAGGAAGTTATTCAGCCGCACGATGATCCCTCCTTCCTGATTCAAACACTTTCCGACATATCATCCCCGAATCGAGCGATCGGAACGAGGATTTAGGTCATCGTTCCCCTTGTGGGTACTCCTTTGCCATCCCTGCGACGATGATGTACGTCTTTGTGCCATCATCAGCGGGGATAACCAATGACGGTGATGGCATTTGTCGGCGGAGTTTGCTTACCTTGGCCTTCTTGACTCGATCGCATAGGAGATCGTCTCCGTTCGTCAGCTAACGAATCACCGATCTTGTCTGAAGAGATAGGCGCGAGCCGCCATCTTGTGCTTGTTAAGCCATCTGCATATACTCCGAGCACTCGAATTCTGGTAATAGAGATCCTTGTGTACCAAACTTCATATGATACTTTGACCCTTTTCTGGTTTATGCATCTCTGCTTGCTGTAAGGTGATCTACATAGGTCAGCAATTGTGAATTTTCACCTCGGCGGCTTGTCTGACGGTAATGATGCTGTTGGTTGTTGCGAACAAGGTGGTTTATCGTGGACAGGGTCATCCCTGTTATTGCAGGAAAACAGTTGGGAATTGGCATGCATGCACGCAGAGGAAGCATACAAGCCAGTAGAGCTTTCTTAGAATATTATCGCATCGTACATTGACCACTGCGTGCATTTCCAAGTGTCAATGGCCGGCAAATATCTCACGACGAGATCCCCTGCGTGAGACTACCTGTGTCTTCTCCACCCGTCAACTGTAGCGTTCTTACATGCGAACAGAGGCGGAGAGACATCAAGATCCATCAAACAAATCGCAGAAATCATTTCCCAACACATTGTGATTGGCTTTCTCTGGACCACAAGACCTTAAGAGAAGTGATATACAGAATCACGATTTGCCTCTCTGACAGAAAAGAGTTTTTGATGCTAGAAGGTTGCGTCTGAGCAGCATCCTCTTTAGGCAAGGTTGCCACGGCTCGGCGTTGTGATTGACTCGAGACGTTGATCATAGGGATCTGCAACGAACATCGACATCATGAGTTTTTACACATGTCCATCTTTTCTGCATGCATACCATGCATACAAGATATACCGCGGCTCCGGCGAAGATCATCTAAGATCTCGTTTAGGCAGATGTGTTCGTTCAAGCATACTCGATCATCGCAAAATGGTTGATTAGCACCAGGCAAGCCACCTTCGTCAAAAGAAGATATTTCGCATCATTCAGGACGTCGCCTTTCCTGTGTTGAGAACTCTGAATGCTTAAGAAGAGAAAGTGAATTGCATGGCAATCGTCGTGCTGCTCTGAAGAAAACTGCGATGTATGTATTGCCATTGGGTATCTTGCCAGCGTTGGAAATGCGAACGAGAAAGAAGAGAAAAAACACAAAACATGCCACCCATAAAACAACAGATCAAAATCCTGCGCTCCAAGAAATGCAAACAAGAAACGCCGATCCGCAATGCAAGAGATAAACAACAAAACAACCTCTATCAGGAGCTAACGCCAGGTAAGTACAACAACATGTCTTCGGATCCAAATTACTACTGCTATTGCCGATGCCACTGTCACGATTGTGTCGGTCGCGAGTGATGAGGGTTGTCTCTAGCCATGGTCAATGGTCCACGCTTGCTCATGAGGTCAATTCCGCTGTCCATTTCACTGCCGACGCTCCGTCGGTCGGGCTCGCCAAAATCCGGGAGAGCGCCAGGTTTCTCGTCAATACTTCGAACGCTCTCAGCGTCGTCGACTTGCGAGGACAAGTCGTCCGCTTCGTCCCCCGAGAGGATACGACCACCGAGTTTGACTTCTGAAGACGCGACTTCGTAATCGAGGGCCTTTTNTCCGTCCTTTATCAAACCTTCGGTCCAGTAGAGGCAACGCTGTAGAGACTGATTCATTCGCTGCGTGTCCATGAGTAATTCGCGATGTCTACTCAGGTCGAGTCGTAGGCGATTTTCATCTTCAGCCCGCTGCGCAGCATCGCGGTCAGCCTGAGCGCCTGGTGACAACGGTACAGCCGAGGAATCGGTCGACTCTTCATCAGAAGAATCTTCCTCGGGTTGTGAATGGAAAGGACTCGATGGTCGAGCGCCCTCATCATCTCCATCAAAGTCGGGTAAATCAACTTCTTCTTCCAATATTGACAGATCTTCCTCGGCACCACTTTCCCTCCTCTGAGGAACGGCAAATTGACCAGCTCGACTCAAGCGACGAAAGCGTTTCAACTCGGCTTTTTGTTTCCTGAGTTCGCGCTCCAGAGACTTGTTGATGGCCAGGAGTGATGAGTTTGAAATCTCAAGATCGAGGACTTTTCGTTCACGGCGCGCCTCGGCGTAGGGATCGACCGGTAAAGCATCGTTCTGTATCTCATCAGAAGGTGACGCATCGAGTGGACCATCGATTCCATTATCTGGCACAGGTGTAGGTGAATCAAGAGGCTCGTCCTCGCCGACAGGCTCTGTGATAGCTGGTATAGGATGTGACTGTCTGCGAACATGGTCAGGGCTACCCGTGTCAATTGAGGACAGACTGGTGCTCCGGAGATGAGACGGTCGCAGCGATGCAGCACTGGTCTTCCGTTGGGTAGGTTGCGCAGGATGAAAAGGCAGTGGGGGACCACCGAGAGCGAATATTTGGGAAGCACCTTTCCTGTACGAGAGATGAATGTTGTTCTTGGGTGGTGAGGTAGGACTTGTCAAGTAGTTTGAGGCCGAGGAGACAGCACTGAGAGGTGGTGAGGCTATGGCCGGCGTGTGAGCCGAGTCCGGAGGAACAGGTGATTGCACAAAGAATTGAGGCGAGCGCGAGTCGGTAACGGCCGATACATTGGAAGGGACAGGAGAGGAGCTTCGATGCGNAGAGCGGTCTTGGCTCTGCAGCTTGCTGCTGACCATTGGCATATAGGAAGGATGGCGTCTTTCTCAGCCTAGGAGCTTGAGCTGTCGGTTGAGGTTGCGGTTGTGGTTGCGCGTCGCTGGCATGGAAAAACATGGNNGGCTCGAGTCCTTGTCTATCTTGGTCGAGGTAGGACGGGACGCAGGGAGCGGTGAGACTCTGGCGGGATGCGCGGCCTGTGGCTGTAGAGTTGAAGCATTTGGCCTGGCAGTATCTGGTGTTTTGACAAAGCCTCGAACAGCTGGACCAGATCGGGTAGTGGATAGGGCTGGACGAGGGGGATTTGTGTTGGTCGGTCTTACAGAGCCCACAACGCTCTTTGCCCTACTGGAGGCGGCCAACTGGGGGCGGCGCACAGCAGGCTCGCTGTTTGTGGGAGAGATCATGAGGGGTCTCTTTCTCGCATGACTTGGAGTGTCGTCGTTGGGGGATGCAGTAGTCGGGGTCGAGTTTATTATTTGGCCAGCTCGCGTCTTTCCGGCCAATGTGTGTGGGGTGGCATGCGAAGAGGCGACCTGCGCCGTCGGACGCGTCGAGGAAAGAGGCGAAGGTGTTGGTTTGTGGTTGTTAAGTTTGGGTCTGAATTCCGACTCTTGCAGTTTGGGTCGAAAGGGCGGTGTTGACGTTGTTGTTGTTGACGTCGCTGTTGCCGTCGAGGAGGGCTTGTCCTGAGCGAGACGAGGGGTGTTCGGCGTTCGAGCGAGAGCTGGTTTCAATGGCACTCCAGAGCGGGCAGGAGCGGTCGGAAGAGGGTTGCGATTGTTGGCCATGATGGCCTACTGTTATGAGGAAGGAGCGGGTCGATTTGTCTGCACCAACGTTGTCCGCCACCATCCAATCATCTCTACAGCGATATGCCTCTGTTCAAGTGCCGGTGCATGGTCTGTACGTGTGGAATAAGAGACCGGCCTCTGCGTACTTGGAATGCGAGCGTTAAACGTCGGTTGCCGTGGTGGTCACGCTTAAACGACGTCCAAGTCCTGGAACAATCTCCAGATGACGCTCCAGCCCACCAACGACCCGCTCGGCGAACTTTCTTTGCCTTGACACTTTTATTTCTCCTTTATTTCTTCCTTTGTTTTTGTGTCTGCCCCGCGTTTGTGACCGCCTTGCCATTTCGCCCGTTGACGTGAGGCAACATTTTGAACGCTTCCCGCTCTAGCCTGTGTCAGAAGCTCTACCCTCTGGTGACCATCACCAGATGCGCAACCCTACGAATAGACATGGATGGCCCTGCCCGCCATGACAGCATNCCCTCTGCTGTCGACGACAGAGCCCCCACCCCTGACAACCCGACCGACCCCGATTCGAGTCAACATCACACTCTAAAATATCACCTTCTGGGCCCATCTCTCACAAAACCTGGCCAAGATGATGTCGACCAGAGAAAAGTTTCGGAAATAATCTACGAAGCATCAAAGGGCAGCAAGTTTTTTCTTCAAGAGGAGCAAAAGGACAAGAACTTGACAATCAAAATCAACCGTATTCTCGCGAAGAAACGTCAACTCGATCGTCTCGACCTAAGCTATGACTTGCGAAAAGCAGATGAATACGTACAGAAACTCGAGCTCAGTCGCGACCTGACACAGACCATCGTCCACGTTGACTGCGATGCTTTTTACGCCGCCGTCGAAGAGCTTGACCGTCCGGACCTGAAAGATGTGCCATTTGCTGTTGGAAAGGGCGTCTTGACAACTTGCAACTACCATGCAAGAAAGCACGGTTGTCGCAGCGGGATGGCTGGTTACATCGCCGACAAGCTCTGCCCTGAGCTCATCCATATCTCGCCAAACTTTGAAAAGTACTCGGCCAAAGCAAAAGAGATTCGTGCTGTCTTGGTCAAATACGACGCTCGATTTGAGGCTGCAAGTGTTGACGAGGCATATCTCAACATCACGGACTACTGCGAAGAACACAATATGAGCCCCGAAGATGTCGTCCAACAACTTCGCGCAGAGGTACATCAAGAATGCCTGATTACCGTCTCGGCCGGCATCGCCGCGAATGCAAAACTCGCAAAGATCTGTTCGAACAAGAACAAGCCCAACGGCCAGTTCACGTTACCGTCAGAACGCGCCAGTATCATGTCATTCATCAAAGAACTGCCCACACGGAAGGTGAATGGCATTGGCAGAGTGTTCGAGCGTGAGCTTGACGCCATTGGGGTAAAGACTTGTGGCGACATATTTGCACAGCGTGCTTACATGTCCAAACTCTTTGGCGAGAAAGCCTTTCAATTTCTTATGGGCGTATATCTAGGACTTGGCAGGACGAACGTTCAGCCAGCAGAAGAGTACGAGCGCAAGAGCGTTGGCACGGAAAGCACGTTCAAGGAAATGTCAGACCCTCAACAGCTCAGAGATATGCTTCGACACGTTGCGGAAGAACTCGAGAAGGATTGTGAAAGAACGCAATTTAAGGGCAGGACCCTGGTCTTGAAAGTCAAGTTGCATACATATGAGATTTTAACCCGTCAGGTCGCTCCGCCGAAAGCCGTACACCAAGCTGATGACCTCTACAAATTCGCCTTGCCCATGCTCGTCAAGCTGGAAAAGGACATTCCAAAGTTTACCTTGCGCCTTATGGGGCTGAGGCTCACGTCGCTGATCAGTATGAAGAAAAGCAACATTGACACCTTCTTTGCACCAAAACCGCAGTCTGCAGCNAAAAAGCCGTCCATGTCTGCCGGCGAAGGCGAATGGGAGCAATGGCCTGACTCAGAATTCGAAGATGCCGCTCGCCAAGAGAAGCAGGATGACTTGGATACCCTGGAACAGATGAGTCAGGAGTACATCGAAGAGTACAAAAATACTCCGAAACCATCAACGGTCGGGCGCGCAGGAACAATAATAGCAAATGTGCCTGCAGCGACTTCCGAAGGTACAGAACAAGAAGAAAAAGATGAGCAGGAAGAAACATGGAGCTGCCCTATCTGTAGTCAGCCACAATCTGCCGACGCTGTTCTCTTCAACCAGCATATCGATGGATGTTTGTCGAGACAGACGATCAAGGAGATTGTTCGTGAGAACGCGTCGCCGTCCCGTTCACCACAAGAGAAAGCTCCTATGCCTGGACAGGGTAAGAAAAGAGGTCGGCCAAAGGCGCCGGACCCGCACCCGAAGCGGCCAAAGAGCGCCTTCTTCTCTCGATGAAGTCTTTGTCGTAGTTAGACTTTATTTTCAGCCTGGGTATAACCCAGTACTTGCCCAATCCTTGCGCTGTGTATCAATCCATATAGCCGAACCTCCATCCAAGTCCGAAGATTGCTCGCTTAAGTTCAACATTCAGCTTGGATGTTGACGGCAAACAAATCGGCTAGTTACAAGTTTTGAATCTTGGACATGTATGCAGCTTGTTATACGAGGCGGCTCATCCTTCTCATATCAACGTGCAGAATCTCCACTATCGAGCCCTANTCGTTATCCGAGACATTTGCTGTGTCGTTCATGGTGGCTGTTTTTGAGCCTCACTTGACACTCCGCAAAGCGGGGGTCGTGAAATGTCCTCCATCTTCAGCTCCTCAAACCTGCGCCTCGTGTCTCTGACATCAACAAAGACACGACTCTATTTCATAGCGCAAGAATTGCTATGGAATTGGTCGCTGCTACAGACGCCTCTGTTTCCTCATTGAACATGCAAAGGCGNNAGCTAAAAATGTGCATGCAAGCCAGGTTTACAATTCTCCGAAGGGCTAGACGCGTTTCGGGACTGGCGTTTATGCAGGTCCGGACAATAACACAACCCAATCTGGGCAGACAAGACGGATATGGGTATGTCAAGTATGGGTCCGACCTATAGATAAAATATTGGCCGGAAGCCCTGCTTACATCTTGCGAAAGAACTGGAGCCACGGTAGGAAACCAGGCTTGGCCGTGCCTTCCATGCGCTATCACGAGTTTTAGACCGGGAAGGTGCATATGCTTTGTGGAAGACAGATTGCTCGCATCGTCACAGGCTAAATTTGTCTCTGCACGCAACCGATCTGCTGTCAAACCATGCCGTGCAACACAGTCTGCAGAGACACGTTTTGACTGAAACAACAACGAAAATAGCTCTTCAGCATCTGTGTGCGTGATGCTCTGCCAGAGCACGATGACGGTGTTGACAGACTACAACAAATATCACAACGGCCCAACTGTGCGGACTCGAGGAGTTAGACACATACTGCCAGCACATGCATGCTTCGAGTCTATGCTGATATCACGGCACGGTCTTGCCGGACACTAGCATAGTCTTCCGCCCGTATACGCCCCTCCCATACCATGTCTTCTCCAGCCGAACCGCAGTCTCTTCATGTGTACCACACCTGGCTGGATGCGAGGGAGACGTACCACTATTCGTGATGTAGGATGCTGACAAGCATATACGAAACTCCGAAGGATGCTTTCCTGAGTGGATATACCGCTGGATAGATATAAAGACAGGTCCTCACTCCCCACATTGATCAGCAGCAGATCATACATACCTCTCATACCTGTTCCTCATACTACTACTTCATCTTCATCATGAAGTCAGGATTTGCTCTTGCGGCTCTTGCCTTTGGTGGCATGAGCTTTGCCCAATCAACCGTCCTTGCCACTTCCGCTGTTGAGATCGATGGTCAAACTACAACACTTCTCGGCAACATTGACCCTTCAGATATTGCTGCTATTCCTGAGCCCGCCGTGCTTGGGCCCCCAATTGGTGTTGTCGAAAGCGTTCCTTCGGCTACATACAACGCTGCTGCGGCGACCGCCTCACTCCTTGCCGCCGTTGTGGCAGCTACTGATGCTCAAACTGCTGTCATTGCGCCTGAGAGCACTGCTATCGCTGCGTCCAAGTCTGTCGTGCCCGTTTCGTCAGAAGTTGCTGCTGCACGTAAACGCTCATATGTTGGTGGTCTTTCGGGCAACCTTCATCGCCGCGACTTGAGCTATCCTGTTGATACCTCAAAATACGTATGTACTTCTTTTGAGTATTTGATGTCGAAAGCAACGATGCTAACAAAGATACAGAATGTACCTTCTGGCTACACACCGGCATTTGTCAACCTCCAGGGTTCGACTCAGGCCAACGGATATTTGACCTACAAGACATTGTCGACCTATGACCCTCAGCAATGTACTTCCGCCTGTGACAAGATCAGCTCGTGTCAATTTGCCAACATCTATTACGAAAAGGATCCCGACAGCAAGAACAACCCTGTCGATGTCATCAAGTGCTCTCTCTACAGCATGCCTCAAACTAACTCTACCGCAACCAACAAGGGACAGTGGCGTGGCTCGTTCCACGTTTTGGTCACTGGTAGCAACGGTTACAACAAGGCTGCTGCACCCAAGGCCCCTGCCGGTTACTCTCTACAGACTCTTCCCGCCGCTGTTAACGCCCCTGTCTATGATAGCGCGGGTCAATGGAGATTCATCCAACCTGTTTACCTCAGCTCCTACGACCCTGCTCTCTGCGCTGCCGCTTGTGACAAGCAGACTGCATGGGACAAATCTCAAGCTACTGACAGCTGCAACTACAAGACTTGTGTTTATGCAAACATGTACATCTTGTCGCAGGATGGAGTTCCAAAGACCGTTGTTTGTGCTCTCTACACCGATGTCACTGATCCAAAGTACGCCGACAACTACGGCTATTCTACCGATACCGACTCCTACCAGGTCTCAAACTCGATCGCCCTGACCAACACCACTGCTGTTAAGGCTGGCTACCCACAAGTGTGTGCAGCTTCGTCCGGCGATATCTCGTACCTAAACTCGACCGGAGCCGCTTTCTGCACGAGCTACCTCGGATACGTTGCGCCCACAACAACCATCAAGACCACAGTCACTCCTGGTGCCTCCACCGTCTTCGCCACTGTCACTAATGTGGTCACCGTCACCTCGGTCTACTCTACCTCTACCCAGACCGTCACTGCAGCTGCAAAGAAATCGAAGCGTCAAGCGAATGTGAAAATCATCACAACCACCGTCGAGCTGCCATTTATTACCGTTAGTGGCAACGAGACCGTGGTCGACTATCTGACTAGTACCTTGACCGTCAACGCCGTTTCCACTTCTGGAGCCGTCATCACTCCTGCCACAGTTGACCCTGCAGCAACTGCTGCTGCTCTTGCCAAGCGTGGCGCCATCCCTACTCCTTCTTCTATTCTCTACTGGCCGTCTTCAAAAATTTCGTCTGCTTGTTCGCAGATTGCTACCGGCACTGTCACCAGCACACAGACTGTCACTGTATCTGGATCTGTTGTCACCGCTGGCGCTACTTCAAAGGTGTCGTCAACCATATCAGTTGTTTCCACTATTACAGTTACTGTTAGCGGCAGCCAGCCAACTACCGTCAGCTTAACCACCACCAGCACCAGCAGCTCTGCTCCTACGTCCACTTCTGCTCCTGGCTGTCCCAAGACCGTCGGTACTCAAGGTCAACTCAGTCTCGGAGGCTACTCTCTCGGCTACCTAACCCCAATCACCTTTGGTTCCGATCCCCTCTACTGGACCCCTCTCGGCGGCTTCCAGGACGAGTTCATTTACGACACGACCGGAGACTTCCTCTACCACGTCGATACAGGCTACTGTCTCACGCTCGGCGACCCCACCGCCACAAAGTCGCCCAAGTATGTCAACAGCCCCTTCACCCTCGAGGCATGTTCGTGCTCGACCAGCACAACCGTGACACAAAGCTTTACCTTCAACAAGCTCAAGGTCAAGAGCGGCAAGACCCAGATGACCAAGAACTGTCTGGCCATCAAGGGAGACAACTCGGGCAGCAAGTCTTACTACCCCAAGCTTGTTGACCAGGGCGATGATGAATACCCCTTCTCTGCTGTTTATGCCGGTACACAATTGGATACTTGCATCACCTTTGAGGCTGATCAGTAGATGATCTTTTGATTTCGCTCGGTGTTTTGGGGGTTCTTTTAGTGTTGATTTTTACTTTTATTTTCCCCGCTTATACCAAAGGCAAAATACAGTATATTGCATTCTCTTCACAACATCAACATTGGTATTTATCTAGCAACCTTTTGACCCTCACTTACCACACCGTCTTTTTCTTCTTTCGTCTAATGCCAAGCAAAGATGAAGCAGAAAGAAACATATATCGGGTTGCCATGAGCCGTGGATAAGAAAGACTTGATTGCCTATTCTAGCATAGTGAACCTTGGACTTACATGGAGAATCGTATAGCAGAACAGTAAAAGGTGAGTATTGATAGTGATTGCATTTATGGTTCTTGCAATTGCCAGTAAAAGCTCTGAAGCCATGCTAATGGATAATGATGGGTAAAAGTACAAATACAAGAAAGGAACATTCAAAGTTCTTTCCATGAAGAAAAAAAGAATGATGTATAGGAACAAAAACAAAAAAGCCATCGCTATGCAAAAACATGTCGGATACACACAAAAGAACCGACCCAACTCTCTACCGTACACGAGGTCGATGACTGCGATCCCTTCCGTTCTTGTCCAATCTTCCTCTTCTGCTCTTGTCGGGTGGAGGAACATACTTGACGTCCTTGAGTGCCCAGTCGAGGAAGTTGAGCATATACGCATCTACATGTCCGAATTCTTCTTCTGCATCTTTGGCTTCGTCGACATCCATCGCATCAGCAGGTTCTGCGGGCGTGGGCGGCACACTCGTCTTCGGCGTCCTTGAGTCTCTGCTTTGATTTGCTGTGGCGTTGTTGCCAGCGGCGTCAAAGTCAAAGTCGTCGGCCTGGCCTTCCTTTTGCTGGGCGTGAGCGGCGGCAACATCTTCTGCGTCTTCGACCGCCTCGAGGACTTTTTGGACATTGTGTTCGCCGACATTGTTGCCGAAGACTCTCTCTACAGCAGCTCCGGCGAACGCATCTCCCATGGCTTCATCATCTACAGTGGCGGCAGGAGCGTTGAAGTAGTCAGTCGTGAACTCTCCTTCTTGAATGACAACCTCATCAAGCAGACGCTTCTGGTTGGATTTGCGCAGAATGTTGACTTCGATGGTGTGCTCAGATACGAATTTGTAAATGTGCACATCGCGAGTTTGTCCGATACGATGAGCACGGTCTTGACATTGTTTGTCCATCTGCGGGTTCCAATCGAGATCGTAGAAGATGACTGTATCAGCACCAGTCAAGTTCATGCCCACACCTCCAGAACGTGACGAGAGAATGAACACGTCAATACGAGTGTCGCGGTTGAAACGTTCCATCATGTCTTGACGTTGTTCAATCTTTGTGCTGCCATCGAGACGGAGGTAGCGGTAGCCATGGATGTTCAAGAACTGTTCGAGAATGTCGAGAACGGACGTCATCTGTGTGAAAATCAGGGCGCGAGAACCACGAGATTGAAGCTCACGGAGCAGGTCTGCAAGCCGTTGCAGCTTGCCACAGTCATACTGAAGCAGGCGTTTGTCTGGAAATGCGATAGACAAGCGCACACGAGACTCGTGGAAGGCGTCTGGCTCAGGCGTTTGGGAGACTGATTGAACATTGTAAATGATGTTCCGCGGAACCATGTATGGCAGAATGTCGTTGGCCACAGCATTGGGAGTGATGCATGCAAACTTGCGGACGAGAGTATTCATCGCCTTGGATCGTTGATCAACACTCTTTACCATGTTGTGAACTAGAGAAGAAGAGTCAAGATACCATTCGGAGTGCAGAATCTTATCCCGAGGAGGCGATTGTCGCAGACGATCAGTCGTGTAGGTTGTACATCTCTCGACAAGATCAGTGCCATAGACGGGCGCAAATTCGGTCCGTTGTTCCGTCAAGAAGGCACACTGACGCAAACGATTCAGCTTGTCCATCGCAGTCTTGTGGTTTTGTTGGCCGATAACGGAATTGAAAGAAGAGCTGTCAAGCGAGCTGGCGCCCAGTCTCTCGACTTCTCTACGCACGATCTGATCCATAGCCCGACTGGCTCTGAGCTGCTTGCTGCGTCTGATGTGATACCTCGACCTCGACTCTCGGCTTGTCAGATTGAGGCTCAAGAAGTTCAGGTCTAGCACTTCGTGTGGGTCTTCACCGAGCATCTTCTTTCGCAAGAACAAGTCCTTGATCTCGAAGTCTGCTGCAATTGACCGAGGTTGACGGGTGTAGGGCTTTTTCATGGCGTATGAAGTGACGATGGGACGCTCTTCAAAAAGATCTGGATGGTTGCAAACCTTTCTTAATGACATCAATGCTTGTGATACACTGATCATATTACCAGACGTCAACTTTGCCTTCGTGTCAGAAAGACCCATGAATGCATCGTAGAGCTGGCGTTGTCGTTTTGACAGTCTGCAAATAACAGTGTGTTCGTACTTGCCAGGAAGCTGTTTCTCGACCGAGGACTTGAGACGACGCAAAAGGTAAGGGCGAAGCGAGTGATGCAACTTGTTGACGATGTCTTGTGCTTCATTGCCAAGCTTGCTCTTGCCATCGACAAAGATCTCGTCAACAGGCCTGCGGAACCACTCTGTGAACTCTTCAAGATCACCCATACCTTGACCGTCTTGACCAGCAGTCAAGAAAGTGAGAAGTGACCACAACTCGATGATGCTGTTTTGGAGAGGCGTACCAGTCAACAAGAGTCGGGCATGTGTCTTGAGTCTGATCATGGCTTGGTAGCGCTGGGAGTTGAAGTTTTTGATGTTGTGCGCTTCATCTAGAATCATGTAATGCCATTCGGGAACTCTGATGGCTGGTAAATCCTTCAAGATGAGTTGGTAAGAAGTGATGACAACGTTCCAGATATCAGGATTGCTCCAACCTTTGCGCTTCTGCGCTCTCTCTTCGACAGAACCATAGTATGACAGAACCTTGAAGCCAGGCAAGAACTTTTTGAACTCCATCTCCCAGTTGAGAATGACTGAAGTGGGTACAACAATCAGATGAGGACCCCAAATGTGGTGCTCTTCTGCGAGATGAGCCAACAGAGCAATGGTTTGTATCGTTTTTCCAAGGCCCATTTCGTCCGCGAGGATACCATTGGTCTGGTTGGCGTACAGCTTTGCAAGCCAGTCAAGACCCTCATGCTGATACTCTCTGAGTGTACCTCTGAGCAGAGAAGGGATCTTGACTTTGGAGGACTTTCCAGGCTGTGGTGTGTCGCTAGTCTCAGACATCCTATCAGTCTCGTCAAGATCAACACTAGTGGTAGATTCGGCTTCGGTGGGCTCAATAGTGGTGTCATCCTTGGGTGATGTTTGACTGCTTCTGTCCTCTGCATGCGAATCTGCTGACAGCATATTGTGGTGAGGACTAAGAGAGTGAGCGTGGAGTTTCTGGGGTGCAACCTTCTCGGCATCATTATCGCTTGATAATGCTTGTGGATGTTCTTGCCGTGCCGAGGCAGTCGAGTCTTCCTCGAGCACATTTTCTGACACTGCAGGTTTGTTGTTCTCGATTGAACTGGCGTGGAAACTTTCAGCGAGCGGCATCGCGGCAGCTGAGCTCTGATGAACCTCCATAGCTTCCGACACATCCAGATCGGGTTCTCCGTTGTTCTCCGCATCGGATTGCTCAGTATCAGCTCCGTTCGTCTGCCTGAGCTCGACTTGTTCTGCAGAATCCTGGATGACATTGGCGAGTTCGTCCTGGTTGTGATCTAGATCTGACGTGAGTGCTTCATCTTGTTGTTCCACCANGTTCTCGACTTCTTCAGACACTTCAACGCCTGAAGTAGTCTNGACTCTCTTTGCGAGAGCTTTGCGTCCACCAAAGAAGCCAAGGAGACCACCGTCATCTTCGCTTTCACTCTCTTCTTCCTCTTCGTCATCTTCGTCGTCTTCTTCCTCATCGCTCATATCTTCATCACTCATGTTTGTGGATTCGTCGCTGTCGTCAAGAAGGGCATCATCCACCTCGTCCAGCTGGATCTTGGAATAGTCTCGCTCCTCCTGGATTTGTTTGTCGTTGTCTTCCGTGTCATCAATCTCAGCTTCGTTGTCGTCTTCGTCCAGACTAATTTTCGGGGTGTCTGCCGTATCCGATTCTTGACCTTCGTCGACATCCATATCACTAGCATCGTCCTCAGACTGTTCCTGCGGTATGTCTGGAATATTGCTATATTTTCGACGAAGGGCTTCTGGGGAAAGGTTCACATCATCGTCTTCCCCTTCCTCGGCGTCGCTACCTTCAGACTCGGATGAGGTCATGCGGTGGTCTTCGTCGAGGTCCTGGCCGGATGCATCTGATCCTTCTTCGTCAGCGGAAGCACCTTCGCTAAGACTAATGTCGTCGGCGTCATCGTCGTCATCACCATCCACAGACAGACCGGAGTCCAGTAGCGCACGACGTTTATCCAGCAGATTTGTCGATTTCTCCAGCATACTCTGCATCTTGAGTTCTCGTTCAATCCTTTGCTCTTCCTCGTAACGCAATGCCCTCCGTCGATCAATCTCGGCACCGACAAGCTCCCATTTTCGTTGAACATCCTTGACAGTTTGTCGGTAAATGAGTCTGTACCATTCATTCTCCTGCTTCTCTTTTTCTTCTTCGGTCTGAGGCTGTCGTTCTTTCCATCTTGCCAGACAGGCGTATGCGACTCTTTTGGCACTTTCCATGTGCGCGCGCTTCTCCTTCTCCATTAGAGTTCTCAGGAATGCGCCATGAGTCCAAAGATGGTCCCAGTGGTTGTATTGTTGGGCTGGCTCTTTCTGGTCGTCTGGCAAGTATAGCGAATTCTTTTCCTCGCTCAGAGGACCCCCTGGCTGAGCGGCTTCTAGAATTCTTAAACGTGCCAAAGCTTCCTTCTCAGCTCGCTCCTCGGGTGCCTGCTCGATTCTTTCTGGTGCACGACGCTCAAGACCTTGATACCTATCATCTTCTTTGTTTTCGTATGCGGCCTCCTTGCTCTTCTGGTCGTAATGGGCGATGATGTCTTCGAAAGACTGAAAGCGTAGTGGATTGACAACGTGACTCGGATGACGAGGTAGGAAGGAAAATTGTGGTCGCTTGAGCTTGAGCTTGACGCGTGGCGTTGAGGAGGCTGGATCGGCTGACGCAGGCAGTTGCTCGGTGGAAGCTTCAGGTTCACATTTGGCTGGACGGCCGGCTTTGCGCTTTGCTTGTGGAGATTGTGACGACGGAGCGGGCTCTTCTTTCTTGACGGCTTCAGGCGAAGTTTCGAGGTTCTTGATTCTGGCAGAGACGCGGGATGGACGTGGCGGAGTCTTTTCGCGCTTGGGCACAGGGGTTTCCTTTGGCTTGGGTTGACTTGACTGTTGAGCAGTTTGAGCATTCTTCAAGGCCGAAGCTTTGCTGGCCGGAGTCTTTGCGACAGGCTTTTTGGACTTGGGAGTCGCCTTCTCAAAGACAGGGGGAGCTGGAGCATTGACACGACCTGATCTTCTCTTTCCGTTGTCCAAGATTGTGGTGGGACCTTCGGCAGCGAACGACTTCCATGGCGGCGAGATGGGCTTCGAAGCAGATCGCGATCTGGAGGCGGACTGGAGGTCGGCGAGCTTGCGCTTCTTGGAGTTGGTAGCTGGTGGTGTCGAAGGGCCGTCGGACGCGTCGAACTCAATCTCATCTTCGGAGCTGAGGGNGGAGTCGGAGTCAAAAAGAGTCTTGTCTTTGGCAGGGGCAGGTTCGAGGTTGTGGTTCAGCTGTGCGTCAAGCATAGACGTGTCATGGACGGCATGGTTGTTGTTGTCGACGGAGGTGTGGTCGTCTTGAATGTTTTGATGGGTGTTGGGCGGAGGCGGACTGGGGCTTTCATGACCGGCGTCGTGTTGCGTGACGCCCTCGTGCCCTCTTGCTCCATCAACGCCAATCGAGCGGCCTTCAAAAATAGGAGCACTGGGAGCTCAGAGTGCACTGGTTATCATGCCGTTTTCCAAACTTCAATATCGGACGTCGTTTGGTAGAGAATGGCGAAAAGACGTCACGGGGCGCGGATTGTACAAAAGTTCGTGTTGCGCGTTTCCTCTCACGAATCTGGAGACGTGGAAGTTGCCGACCACCTCCAGCTATTCCGCTCCGCCTGCCAAGACGCCCGAAGCTGGTCCATGACCGCGCATACCGATTCGACGTGCTTGGTGCTTCAAGATTGCTGTCACCACACACCACAACGTACGCTCCCTCCCGATTCTCTCTTCGACCATCCATTGACGACCTGCCAGATGCTCTCCCGCAGACTCGCCGCGGCACGCCCGCTCTCCAGCGCCGTACGAGCCGTCGCTCCCCGCACCACCCTCACACAGTTGCGTTTCGCTTCCGAGAACAATGCCAACAGGGAGAACTTTGTTGGCGAGATGTCCGTCGAGGACCCCGGCATGGTGCGTGAAGAGAGCCATCCGACGCCCAACAAGGACTCGCATTGACAAAGCTCAAACAGNAACGGTGGATACGTCAANCCCCCAGCAATCAAGCGTGCCTTCCGCGACCCTTACGGCGATTGGTGGGACAAGCAAGAGCGTCGCAACTTCGGCGAGCCCGTCCACGAGGATAACGACACTCTTGGTATCTTCTCCACCGAACCCTACACCCACTTCAAGCCCGGCCATGGTGCCGTCCTCCTCGGTACCTTTATCGCGTCCGTCTTCGTCCTGATGGGTGTTGTCCGTCAATACTACCCCGACAAGCCCGCCGTCCCCAGAACTTTCCCCGGTGGTCTCGACCGGGAACTTGGCGGCGCCGGCGCTGTCNNCCCGTGAGTCTTATTGAAGAGTACGCATGGATGACAGAAGTGCTGACCTTTTGTGTAACAGGCCCGCACCGACGAGAAGGAGCCTTTCTAAATAAACATTTGTCCATACCCAATTATACGTCTTTTCTTTGTCATCAACCTAATGTTCTGGCACGGCACCCGTGAATCATGTTGATGACAGCTGAGCTCTTAAACCAGGCAGCGTTTATCGATGGAAGCTGCGCTTGCTAGCCTGTATTGGTATTGGATGGAACTCATGGGCCGAGGGCTGGTGCAGCTGCCTGGATTTTGGTGAGTTTATAGATCGAGGCTGGTTGTAGAACCAATTCACATCCACTAGTAGCTGTCGACGTATAGTCGATGTTGCAGCATTATTGCTCGCAATCTTCTTGAGGAAACTGCGCAATTGGCAGTGTTGAAGAAAGACATAGCAACTTCCAAGTTTGGCGCGACATCCACAACATCCACGCCATCGCGCCTTCTCTGTCACCTCACTGACCCAACCTCTTTCAACACGGTCGTTCTGCGGATTCCACGCTCAAACTCTCATTCTTGCCCGTCGTACATCACCACCATGAACAAAGACACGCGCAAGCTGATCCTGCGCCTCCAAAGCGAAGACTTGACAGCTCTATGGACTGCATCCACTGACAACAATTCCGAAATTGACGCCACTGTGCGTGCCTACCGCCGCCAATTGGACTTGTTGAATCGTCACCTCGAGGACACACTTCAGGCTAGGACAATTGAAGATGCTATGGAAGCCGTCGACCATGGGGCACCAACATCTCTCCAAATTACTGGCGTCAATGCGCCTATCTTGACCAAGCATGGTGATGTTCATCAAATTGGCGGTGTCTACTTGTATCCTGACACGCCTTCCTCGTTTTCATCTGTAGCTTCAACCCCTGCACTTGTCGTTGCGACAACTGCACGCTCACTTCCTCAAACCTCTGAGCGTCCTGTTGTGCGTCTCCCTCCGGTCCCCATACATCCCATCGTCCGCCTTCCTCATGTTACACCAAGTGCGGAAGAGGGCGAGAAACAAAGGAGCTTGTTCAGAGAAAAGACTAAGGCTGCAATTCGACGCAGACAAGAAGAAAAAAGCACTTGAAGAGATCGAGCGAAAAGACAGAATCAGCGAGAAGATCGACACGCTCGAAAACCCTCCCGAGAAGGTGGTCAGCAGTTCGTCTTCAGTGTCCACTGACCCACCCGCAACTGCTACAGCAGACCTCAAACGCTCTGCAGACCACCTTGCAAGCCCCGATGCCCCGCCCTCCAAGAAGCAGGCGAGCGCCGTTGTCAAGAAGGAGCCTGGTCTTCCTGCACAGAAAGATACGATAAGGGATAAACTAGAAGATCTCCTCCAGTCGTCTAGGTCGTTGTCAAGTCCGACCATGCGTAACAAAATGGCGCAAAGTCGCGGTCTCAACCGTGGCATTCCAACTGGACCCAGAGCGCTGAAGCCCGCACGAAGATCCAACACATACCAGGCTTTCACTGCCGCAGTGCCTATAACATCCATAACTCCCGTGGTGCCTAGTTTGTCCTTTGGCACCAATGGTAAGCATTTCGGTGCCTTCGATGGTCCTCCCCAGTCAGGAGGTTTGCCTCAATCGAGCTTTCGGACCTCCACTACCTCTACCGCTCTTGAAGCTGTTTTCAACGCTGCTCCACCCTCCCAACAGAAAGATTTACTTGGTATGGCTCTTTTTCCCAAAATCGAGAAACAGCAGCCTGAATTTGCCGGCAAGATCACTGGTATGATCCTCGAGATGGACAACGCTGAGCTTCTTCACCTGACCACAGATGACGTTGCCCTCCGCAACAAGGTCGATGAGGCCCTGAGTGTGTACTGTGCCCATCTCGAAGCCAAGTGTAATAAGGAGCCCTGAGTGGTCTCCACAAATTTCTCGGCCATTGTTACCTTCACCAATGCATCAACCTCCGCTTCAATCATGTGTTCAGTGAGGTGTTGTGGTTCAAATCTTCTGGCAGCTTAGTTGTGCTTGTGTGCGATGACGAGAACCTTCCTCTCTCGAGGTTGCGGAGACCAAGGTCTCGGGTTAACAGGAGGGGCTTGGGGTGAATGTTCAGCTTGTGGTCTCCAAGAATGTGATGCGAACGAAAGGAGAATGTTGCTTTCCCATTCTACAAACACAAGTCTTGTAGGGCATGTGCTTGATGTATGTCGAAGCAAAGTGCTTGACAGCAGACGAAATGTAATATTCGCTTAATCACAAAATAGCTCGCTTTTGTTCCTCGCTCCACAAGAATCTCCTCTTTATACGCATGTTTTACGCTTAGTAGCTTTCTTCAACGTCTTTCTTTGCCAAACCGAAGTGTCTCCTTAACTGTTTGATCATGTTGCAATTCTCTGTGACCTGATGCAGTAAAGAGACATGGCCGGGTTTTGATTCTTTGGCAGGCGTGGCTTTTCCCTACCATTGGATGTTGACAGACTCGCAGCTTCCATACCTGCTCACTTTGTGTTCAGATACGACAATTTCCTTTGCTCTCATATCGATGGCTAGCGTTACCCTTATCGAGTCTAGGTTTCTCTTGTTTTGTGGAAAATTTGCAACTCCAAGGACAAGAAAGCGGATCTCATCGTTTGATGTCATTCGAGACTATCCCGCTTCTACAAAGTGCATTCTTGTCTATCACTACGATCTTCCAGCACAAAGTTTGCTGGTTATGCTTGGCGATTAGTTTGACGTTCAGGAGAGTGATTCTAACCGCTTCTGTGGCGAAAAGGTATATAGCCAGCTATGTATTCTGATCAATTGGAGATATCAAGACGCTCGAAGATTATGCTCAAGAGTCTTCGGTTTATATCATCAAAGTACCCCTGGACTCTGACAGTCACAGAGGCTGCGATATCTATATATCATGCCAAGAAGCCAGAAGACCTCACTTGTCTTGAGGCAAAAGTCAACGAGAAGGACGAGCTCCTTCAGCAGCTTCGTTCCTCCTTCTATGCCGCCAAAATTTAGGACCTGTGACATGGTTACTTGGGGGTAATGTCAGTATTCTGTCTGCATATGGAAACTCTGCTATCAACCTTCTTCGACCGGTTTTAGAACTTTTATCAATTATTTGTACCAAGATCTCGAGCACCCAAAAGCTGCAGCAAGAGGCAATTCAGCTAAGTCGTACGACGGCACCACAATCCATGTGAATAAGGCCCTACTTGTCTTCAGACGCGTCAAGCACTCAAATTAGATACTCTCGTGAGAGACAATAAGCAAGCCAGACGAAAAGTTTGAGGTTTCGGCTGTATATATCTGAGAATCCGCAGTGCCATTTCCTAGAGCACGACCGTGTCATGACGCCCTTCAGTCTCGAGGAACCCATACACGTTAGCGTGCATTCATTCTTCAGACTGATGATGCATGAACTAAACAAGGTTCGTCTCCTCCGAAGTTTCAATGTCTCGATCAAGGAGTTGAGATCAGACAGCGTCTCCACCTCTTTCTGGGACCTTATGGCTTGCAAAGCAGGATCGATAAATTTTGCAACTCTCCAAGCCGTGACTGTCTAGTGAACCTTCTGAGTGAAGTCAGCAGTGAACGGACTCGACGAAGACCGGGCAGAGGACATGGAGATCTCGTCAGAATAAGTGGTTTCCGTGACAACATTCACTTGATCTTTCGTCTCCAGGTGTCACTTCTCACTCGCTCGGAATATCGTTGCGGTTCCCCTCCATGCCACTGGAACATCTTCTTGACCCCTGTCGCATTACACGTAACACGAGCGACCCACTCGTTTCCTAGAAATTCTACGACGGGATGAGCATGAAGTGTTTCGCGAGTTCAGAGAGCGGCGTACTGACGAAACGATACGTCTATTCGCTGCAAGACTTGACGGTGCTGTTTAAGCCATTGTGCTAGTATCGCTTGTTGTAAGAGTATCTGGGTGGCCTGAAGACCCGATGAAAGTAGCTCCACTCATAGGCCTTGTTTTGCTTGCCTTTGGCCTTCTATCGATACGGTGCGTTGCACGGGAGCGTCCAAACAAAGAGAAAGGGAGAGTCGAGATCTAAACTCTAGAATCGGCGAATCCTTACTAGCATACCAAAAAAATAAATGTTCATTCTACACCAACACCCTCATCTCAACTTCTCTTTCTTGTATGGTACTGCTTCTGGTTGGAGCAATTATTCAACTAGGTATTTTGGACTCCGAAGTCTCGATGTTTGAGGCCTAGATTCATTGATCGGTGTTTTCGTTGTGAGAGTTGCCGGATATCACAGCAATTGAGGTTTTACCCACAAATATATACAGGAGAGACATTATGGTCCAAACACTCTGCCACACAATCGTTCGATCTTGCGGCAAAGCCGATGTAATACAGAGCTTGACTGCTCTTGACTTGCTCTTTCCCCTCGATCCCTCTCCTCCCGAGCTCTCACTGCCTCTTCACGTCGTGCATCCTCAAGTCGTCTTTGCTGTTGGAATGGCGTCTCACGTTTTGTTCCTGTCCCACCTCTTCGCGTGGTGAATGCTACAAACCCGTTCAGAAAATCGTCCTGACGACCAAATGTTCTCCTGTCTCGTTTCGCTCTCGTCCGCGGTCTCGTGTCGTCTCTTAGTAAGTAGTCATACTCGATATCAGGGCATCCGTTGCAGTCAAATATGGGTTTCCCACAGTGATAGCAGAATTCATGGCCACATGGACAGGTCATCCTTGCACACCCTTGAGATCTTTCGCACATTTGGCCACATTTCATGCACCGCTGCCATCTCTTCTTGTATGCTAGCTTGAGAGCCTTTTGCTCGTTTGTGTCTGGTAGTGGACAGAAATAGCTTTGATGCGCAGGTCCTTTGCAGTCTAAGCATGTATCGGTCTCACAGGCTTGACAGTGAACAATACGATCTTTGGCCTGTCCTGGAGAGAGAAACACACTGCATCGAGCATTTGAGCAATAAGTCCGGTCCGGATTGGGAGTTTCGAATTCATCAATCAGAGGAAGCAATCTTTGGAGCTCCTCTGACGATAAAAGTGGCTTTGCTGCATCGAGAGAGATGTTGCATCTCGTATGGCACTTGACTGGCCACTGTGATTGATTGCGAACGGCAGTGGATAATCGCACGATGCACTTTGTGCACCAATAATGGCCACAGGGTACATGCACCGTCTCTTGACTTTGCACATTCAGACCGGACCAGCAGGCTGGGCATATTGGTTTGACAAGCTGTGTGGGTGCGGGTCCTGCGTCACTACTCTTTTGTGTGTTGGCGAGGCGCGTCGATAGTGGATTATCGCTCGTATTCTGCAGGAGGAGTGGAAGAAATGGTGAGACGCGGTGGTCCATCGACGCGGATGTATTGATCTCCATGTTGTCGAGAGGTGGTGGAAAGTCATAGGAAGTCTTGCGTCCAGAAACGTTGCAGCAAGCCTTGCAAAGTTGCTGGGAAACAAGCGAAGATGGATATAGTCGTCGCATCTCGAGATTATATTATGCCTGAAGCGGAAAGAAAGACACGTGTCCTAGGTTTGAGTTGGTTTGCTCCTTCTTGCGCGTGGTTCCTTGAGTTCAAATCCGAGTTCGCTTCCACCATGTTGTGACAGTCACAGATGGCAGTGACGTTCATTCCTGCTAATACCATAGATACACATCGCTGCCTTCGAACCTACTGTTTTCGTGACAGTATATCACAGTCTGCTTATCGTTTCCTTACAAAGTCTCATACTACACGACATTTTCGAATTCTACCGCTTGTGAGGCATGGTACGGACGAATTTGAGTGAGTTTGTTTTGTATATCTGGATGCAGTGAAGATAGCAGACGGGATGGTGTTCGATGTACAGTGCAACATGTGACTATATGAATCTTCGGCAGCTAAGAGTCATAGCCTATTCGTCTCCACGATCCTGAATCAAATCATTCACTTGTCTATCTGCCAGAAGGCAACTCCCGATCATTACCATTTCACATCCAGGTCTCATCCTCACGTCAAAGTCTCTTGTAATGGCGGAAAATCTTCAGCAACCACAATCAAATGGATTCCCAGGGCAAATATCACAAATTACCAAGCACCGCTTGTATAATGAGCCTACGAATGCCGCAATCGAAAACATCATCTCGCGTGCTTTCAGAGTCCGAAA